ATATATGGAGAATATCCTAGCCGATTCTGGGGAAGGGCTGGTTCAAACAGGCCAGAGTGTGGACTACAACCTTTGGAAATCGCTCTTGGAGAATGATGACCAAACGGTGCCCGTTGTCTATCCCGAAACCATCAAAAGAAATGTCAACACTCATGAAATCAGCACCGTTCAACTGACGAAAACTCTCAGGCGAGTATACGATAAACGGATGCTGTTGGATGATTATAGTACTTTACCGTTTGGAACTCGCATGGAGTAAGTTAGAGTGTCCTTTCTGTACTTGTACAAAAAATTCGCATTATTTTTTTTTGCTAGCTAGCGGGCCGTATTCGAAGGGATGCGCAGGGAAATGATGTCGTTGGAGCAAGTGTCATAGTTTTTGATTTTGCAGTTTGTAACTGTTAGCATATAATAAAAAAAAATTAAATAAAAAAGCAAAAAAAAACAGGGCGAATGCCTCAAATCTGTACCGGCTTTAGCTTGTCTGCGGCCAGGTTGAAGTCCTTATGGCTTTGAGCTTTCGTGGCTGAAACAGAAGCCTCTAGCGGTAATATTTTGTGCTGCTGCATCGTGGTGTTATATAACTGTATGGAAGCACCCACAAAATATGATGAAACGTGGAATACATTGGCATCGCAAGGTACTGCATCGAATATACTAGAAGAATAATGCTAGAGAAGTACAAAATCGGAAGAATGGTTAGCAAATGCGACCAGATGATACGCGTTCCGTTAATTGAGCTTGTATTCAAAGCGAAACATCTGTAAAAATCTACGGGAAAGTCATATGAAAAACTCCGTTTTGCAACATTTCGCTGCAAAAACTTGTAGTTTTCCGTAGTCAAAAAACGGAGGCTTTCGTTTTGGAATTCTCATTGACTTAACATACATTTGCATAACTTTTAGGGAGTTTTTCGTTTTCACTTTTGGAAGTTTTTGGCTTTTTTTCATCCAGTTTATAGTCTTAATCGAATTTAAAATATAATAATTCTGAAACAAAAGAAACCACCCGTGCCCGCAGCCAGCGCCCGTTCCCAGACTCCGTGCAACGGTCAACACCCGTGCGGACCCAAAAAGGTCACCCAGGCACGTAGCCAACTCCGGTGTTTACCCGTGCACGCAGCCATCCTGTAGTTATATTAAGGGACACTCGGTAATAAGAGGCAACTCTGCCAACACATCCCCTTAAACTGCCCGCACTAGTTATCGGTTCCCTCGACATCAGAGGCTAACAACTAGTGCGGGCAATTTTGTTGGATTCGCTATCTCTAAAAGATAGTGTAACCAGCGTGCGAGTTACGCTACGTGTTTCGATATTCATGCAAGTACTGTAGAGAGTATTTTGGGTTATACCGCAAGTTTCGAGCATAGACGAGACAAGAGCCATTGTCGCCTTCAAGTTTCGAGCATAGACGAGACAAGAGCCATTGTCGCCTTTGCCTCAGGTGCAACTACGATTAAATGTCGATTCTTTTAGACTGGAAAGTAATGTCCATGTTGTTTGAAATTTAGGCAAAGGTAAGAAATGTTTGTTATATATCCGAGATTTTATAAAAAAAATAATTTTGTCCGCCATAGCGAACTAACACAAGACAGATATTAGTCATTCATTGTGACATTTGCATAGTGTGCGTCTGCAACCGTGCAAAAAGACCGGTCGTCGCAGACGACCGCCGGTCGTTTTGGACGGCTACACACGTCTGTAGCCAGCTAACACTTTAGTCGGACCGCACCTAACAAAACGGAGGGAACACCCTCCGGACACGCATGGACAGCCCTCTGAAGAAGCAGCCCGCTGAAGAAGCAGCCCGCTGAAGAAGCGAGCATCACACACGCCCGCTCGGCAACCGGCGTCCCGGTGGACACTGCGGACCAAACCGAGCCAGTGAACGCACACTCCGGTGAACGGGTAGCGGAAACCGCAGAGGGTGGACCGTAACCCGGCACGGCAGCCAGATCACCCTGCCCGGATGGAGCGGACCAGCTGACACCAATGGTCACTCGGCAGAGTTCGACCAAGGGCTCAGTCGACCGCTTGACGGGCGAGTCAACCATGCCGTCGCCGGTTGACAGTGTTCGAGCCGAAATTGTTTCAGTGTCTCTAGTAGACGGCAGCCCGGAATCGACACCAAACGCGGACAGAACTCGACCCAGCTCGACCCGACCCGAACGAACCGGTATTGCAGACGCCGGAAGGATAGGTGTTCCAGAACCTTAGCGGGCCGCCGGACGGGATCACCGTTGGCACGATAAACAGACAATCGGCCCATCTGGTAGTCCAGTTAGCAGCCACCCGGAACAAGATCGACCGGAAGAAGGCAACCTTGCGACTGTTACCATCCTGAAGAGGGAGAATGCGATCACGGCAGAAGCCACCGACCGACTCCAAAAACGGGTGGACAGTTTCGCGACCGAGAGCGTCTACCTTATGCATGAGTGCAGCAAAAGAACCGAAGTGATAGAGATGCTACAGCGACAACTTCGAGGATGGCAACAAAGAAATGGACGCGTATAACAAAAAGCTCAAAAAATCTCTCTGGTGGAGTCGACCGAGGTCAAAGCTTCTAAGGAGCAGACAGATGTATTTTTGAAATACGTCAACCTAGAACAGGAACGAGTAACAACGATACACCGGACGAAACATCTTGAGAAACGAGTGGCCGGCTTGGAGACGACAGCCCTGCGCTGCGGAGTGTTACTGCGCGGCCCCTTGGGTCGGTGGGGTTGAACGACACGGCACTTCCGACTACCGTTGCGGCAAGGCAGAGAAACCCACCGAAGGAGCCTACCGAAGCCGGGCGGGCAGTCGAAAGAGACTGGAACAGATAGGAGGCTTGAGGGTCGAACGTCGTAGCCGTACAAACCCATTCTGAGCGATGGGTCTAGAAGACGGAAGGAACAGGCTAACACGGGGAACCTGATCGACGTGGTGAATGATTGCGGCACATCTAACAGGATGAACTTTCGATATCAACTCGGCGCGGCATCTCCCGGATTTTCCTGGGGTTTGATGCCAAACCCGTTCGGTCGCTTCAATAGCGCGACTGTTCTTCCGTCAATTACTCCGGCGCCGTATTTCTGGCATTGCGCCGAGGCCGGACCAATTTGTGTAGGCGGGACGCGAAGCGCCCTGGTCGACGGGATAACCTGGCCGATGCCGACCGAGACCAACCACATGACCGGAAAGAGAAACCGAGAGGCCGGGCCGATGTTGATCGGAGTCGACACAACGTTAGCAAAGCGAATAATCTTGTACGAGCGTTGGTATCGGCCATCCGGATGACGGACCTCCCGTCAAGTTCGATGGCGATATGGGAAAACATGACGGATGGGTATTCCACCTTTGCCGCCTACACAAAAGGCAAGAATTAGTCGGGTGCGCATTAATCGCCGAGTTCATGGTCGCACGTGAGCGGGCTCCAACCGGACATGTGGCGGACTAGTACTAGGAACCGACGGCAGAAGAACCGAAGGACGGTTGGCCATTCGGTGTATGGATCTAGTAACTGCAAGTGGCTTACTCGACCGACGATCTCTACAAAACCGCCGGACATAAATGGAGCGGGATGGACAAACACGACGCCGGGCGGCACGCTTGCGCCTGTGCATCGATTCTTAGCGCCGGGTGGCCGGGGTGACCCTGTGAAGCTTAAACTAGCGCCAGTTGGTAGCGGCTGTGCCGTTCCCGGCTGTGCCGTTCCCGGCTGTGCCGTTCCCGGCTGTGCCGTTCCCGGCTGTGCCGTTCCCGGCTGTGCCGTTCCCGGCTGTGCCGTTCCCGGCTGTGCCGTTCCCGGCTGTGCCGTTCCCGGCTGTGCCGTTCCCGGCTGTGCCGTTCCCGGCTGTGCCGTTCCCGGCTGTGCCGTTCCGGGATGTGCCGTTCCCGGCTGTGCCGTTCCCGGCTGTGCCGTTCCCGGCTGTGCCGTTCCCGGCTGTGCCGTTCCCGGCTGTGCCGTTCCCGGCTGTGCCGTTCCCGGCTGTGCCGTTCCGGCTGTGCCGTTCCCGGCTGTGCCGTTCCCGGCTGTGCCGTTCCCGGCTGTGCCGTTCCCGGCTGTGCCGTTCCCGGCTGTGCCGTTCCCGGCTGTGCCGTTCCCGGCTGTGCCGTTCCGGCTATGCCGTTCCCGGCTGTGCCGTTCCCGGCTGTGCCGTTCCCATGCCGTTCCGGCTGTGCCGTTCCCGGCTGTGCCGTTCCCGGCTGTGCCGTTCCCGGCTGTGCCGTTCCCGGCTGTGCCGTTCCCGGCTGTGCCGTTCCCGGCTGTGCCGTTCCCGGCTGTGCCGTTCCCGGCTGTGCCGTTCCCGGCTGTGCCGTTCCCGGCTGTGCCGTTCCCGGCTGTGCCGTTCCCGGCTGTGCCGTTCCCGGCGTTCGGCTGTGCCGTTCCCGGCTGTGCCGTTCCCGGCTGTGCCGTTCCCGGCTGTGCCGTTCCCGGCTATGCCGTTCGGCTGTGCCGTTCCCGGCTGTGCCGTTCCCGGCTATGCCGTTCCGGCTGTGCCGTTCCCGGCTGTGCTATGCCGTTCCCGGCTGTGCCGTTCCGGCTGTTGTTCCGGCTGTGCCGTTCCGGCTGTGCCGTTCCCGGCTGTGCCGTTCCCGGCTGTGCCGTTCCCGGCTGTGCCGTTCCCGGCTGTGCCGTTCCCGGCTGTGCCGTTCCCGGCTGTGCCGTTCCCGGCTGTGCCGTTCCCGGCTGTGCCGTTCCCGGCTGTGCCGTTCCGTACAGAGCTCATTGAAAGTACGCGGCGTGACAGGTTGCAGTAAATGGTGTGGCAAAACAGCCAACTGACTATTTTGCCGACCATAGTGCGGCAAAATAGCTGAGCAGCTATTTTAACGTAGTGTGCGGTAAAATAGGCAACAAGCTATTTCGCCCACCATAGTGCGGCAAAATAGCCAACTGGCTATTTAGCCGCAAACACTGCGGCAAAATAGCCATTTCGTTTTGGTATTGTGCCGCTTTATGGGCAACAAAATACCTTGTAGCTAGTTTGCCGCATGATGGATTACGTTCAACTAGCACGTTGTCGCTTATTTGAGTGCTTTGTTGGGGAGTGGGAGAAATGGGACATTGTCATTCGGGCAGCAGCAACTAAAATATGGGTGATTTGGCACCATGGCGAAGCTTGGGCTTATTGGGTTACCTGAGTAGACCGATGAGTCTGGTTACGTTTCCCAGTCCGGTGGGTTCATCCGGATAATCCGCGCCCTGCCATCTGTTTTGGTCGTAGATTGGGTTACCCTACCGGGATACTCCGGTTGTTGGTGCAGAAAATACATCCCGAACGCGGTGTTTGGGTTCGTGGTTGATCCTTCCAGGTAGGTCCGGTAGAGTACCGATTTTTCAAGACTCCGTCCAGCAAAAAAGAAAATTCATAAGGTAAACCCGGTCACCTGGTATATATAACACGTTTTCCGTCGAGTAAACCATTGGCACTCCACCACCGTTCGTAAGGGGAAAGGAAACCGGTCCAGGGAATGAGGGCTGCAGAGCTACATATCAGCTGTGTGTGCCGGCACAAACAGCCGGGAACGGCTCCGATTTCGGTGCCGGGAGGTAAGATGGGGGCAACTCGCAGCTGGGAACGGCACAGCCGGGAACGGCACACACTGCCGGGAACGGCACAGCTGGGAACGGCACAGCCGTTCCAACGCTGTGCCGTTCCCGGGGTCCACAATTTATTCGAACAGAGCGTTTGACAAATTAGCTAAAGGCTATATTGCGGACTATACTGGGGCAAAATAGCGGAAGGCTATTTAAGCGCAGTGTGGGGCAAAATAGCCTTTTGCTATTTTGCCCCACATACTGGGGCAAAATAGCCAAAAGCTATTTTGCCACAAACACTGGGGTAAAATAGCCACTTCGAAATTTTTCAGGTAATCAATAGCGCTGAATGCACCAAAATTCATTGAAATTTACCGTTAGTTGGATACGGCGTATGCTCGCAGTGAATTAGCGGTTTAGCGAATTTATTAGCGTGATTCTGATCCTCAAAAACTGGATCGGCACTCGTACCGACGATACGACCGCGTAAACGGTACACCGCTACAATAGTGGATTGAGTGCTGTTGAGTTTTCTGTGTGATTTCCTGAAGTGTTGAGTGCCCCTGACATTTTTAGCGCAGTAAAATGGCCGGGAAGGTGGAAGGCAAAGCGGCGCCATTTTCGAATATGAAAGATCCCCTGTTATTGCCGAACATCATCGTGGGAAGAAGTATTGAGAAGAGAGAAGAGCTGGAAAATGATATATCATATTTCAAGCGGAATTACGGATATCGGGATACCCCCGTTCACGCTGGCGAAAAAATTCATTGCTTTGCTTGGAATCGGGATGGCACCATTTTGGTAAAACTCGGGATGGCGCTCAAAATTCGGTTTTTGCGGGATTCAAAGGCTTACTGTTAGAGTGTATGAATTTTATAGGCCTGTGGATCCGAAAAGATAGTCGTGGTGTGGTACTTCAAAGATGGGAAGCTGACGCGTGAATTTTCGCTGAAGGGACATGCGACAAGGTACAGTATGTACTGCGAAATCATATCGTTATAGTTGCAGCATGTATTCTCTCACGTTTTTCGAAATTGGATTAGCGCGTTTATTTCTTCAGTATCGAGGATATTTCGTGGAATCCTGCGAATCCCGACCAACTTATGACGTATGCGTTTGATAACAACATTCGCGTGTGGAGCGTGAAGAGTCGAACGAGCCTGCACACGATCAGTCCGCGCATGGAGATTGTCAGCATTCGCTGGGCTCCCGATGGGAAAACTATCGTGTTCGGCGATCGCGACGATACGTTGACGCTGTATGAGCTGGAAAGTGGGACGAAGCACGAGCGAAAGTTTACTTATGAAGTGAACTCAGTGGTGTTTCTGCAACGTAATAGCGTCACTTACATCGTACTTGCCGTGGGAAATCCTTCGGGCAGATTAGAATACTTCGAGTACAAATTCCCAGAGATGATCCCAGTGTAAGTGATAAAACTTTTGCAGCCTTTGCGTAGTGCCTCTTTTCTCCCGTTTATTGCTGCCGGTTCTTGTGGTCTGGTGCTTTTTTAAAAAAATTTCGAGAAGCCCATTTTTGTGAGTTTTTTGAATAATTTTTTAGAAGCTTGAAAATTTTGAGAATACGAAAACATTTGACAATCGATATCGTTTTTTGTTCTTATTTGCAGCGATAGTATCCCTGCAGCTGGAACGGCGTGTGAGCGTGTCGAGACTGATCCGAAAGGACGCTTCATTGCTGTTTCTAGCAGCGAATGTTGCGTATCCATATTCGATGTCAATGGATTGTATCCCATATCAGAGATCAGCCGCCAGAAAGCACTGGTGCGCGGTTTCTCTTTCAGTCATGATAGTCGGTTTCTGGCCACGTTATTTGAGGATCATTCGCTGGAAGTTGCCTTAGTGGAAACTGGCGAGAGAGTTTGGTGTTTTACTCCGGATGAGCGGGAACGCGAAGCATGGACACTGACTTCTGTGGCGTTTCATCCCAAGCGATTAATCTTGGCACTTGCCGGTGATCGTGACCGAAATTACACAATCCGCCTTTTTGGATTTGGATCTGGTTAGTCACAATCATATTTTAAGCTTCATTTTTTGAATCGGTTTCAGTTATCAGCGGCAACTTGTTTGAGTAATCTTTTGGCTACTTTCTTAATTAGTCTGGATGTTTGCGTATAGAAGACTTGTTGAATACTGGTTCTGTGAGTGCAGATGATTTTTTAATTTATTTTCCAAATTGCAGGTCCTGAGATGGACAAGAAGAAGGATAAACGCGACGTCCGACAACGATCGCGAGAAAGAGAAAAAGAAGCCACCCCTAAAACCTCGAAGGATGACAGTAAAGATAAGCCAGCCGAGAAGCCGAAGTTTGAGTCGAAATTTTCATTTCTTCGCCCGACGGCTGAGCAGCTTGCGGGTTTAGAGGAGCGCAAAGCAAAAGCTGCTCAAGCGGCGGCTGCGAAAGCTGCTGCCGCAGCGAAGGTTCCTACGAAAGTTTTGACGAAATTACCTGTTGGAAATGCGACACAGCAACCTACATCTCGTATCCGGCCACCAATTCGTGGTCCGGAATTGCCGAAGGCAGCAAAACCTAGCGACAACAATAATCGCGATGGAGAAACCGATAAGACACATAATAGTACTCGACGAGAAGATGATCGGAAAAATCCTGTAACGTCAGGAAATAATTCTCCCGCTGCCGGCCAGTCCAGAGAATCCCATTCCCGGCCTTCGTCCACATCAAGGCATGTGGACAACGAGGATGCTGGCGCGGATCGAAAGAGGATTCGTGCGGCGCGGGATGCCGATGGAAAAGATGTTCGACAGGCGAGCAACACCCGAACGGAATTTAAGAAATAGTAGTTTGCAGTTTGCTTACAATCACTTTATTGCTGTGATATTTGTGTTTTAAATTTGTTTGACTTTTTATTCTCGCTCGTTGTTACGAAGGCAGGTTTAAAAGGCATCGTTGATCGTTTCTTTTGTTATACATCACGCAGTATGTCTCGGTGGTGGGAAAATTGGGTATCCGTGTATTTACTAATCGTAAGTCTTGCTTTTCTTCGTACCACTTTTGGGGCGTTAATAAGTATAACTGACGGGTAAATACCGAAAGTTCAGCTGTAAAGAAAAGCAAGATACTTGTGGTTCAGTTGCGAACTTGCGATCCGAATTTGGAATTGTAGAGTTACAAACCTTTAAAATGTAGAGACGACAGAAATTTTATTACGTATCTTACCAATAGTTTTTTGGCTAATATTACAGTACTGATATGACTAGATTCCAGTGGAATCTGGACATCCAGGAGAAAACATTTTGCTCATTTTTAGTAAAAGCAATAAAATGAGTACTCGTACCGAATTTACCGATAGTAGTGAGTCAAATACAGGAAATCGCTACTTAGCGGTTTTCACGGCAAACTGGCAGCCCCGGCGGATGGCAGGTGATTTGTTTGAACTACAGTACTCAGCCTGAGTACTGGATGCGAGTTGCAACATCAATGCCGGCCTTTTTGAGATTTGGCCATCATTTGGGCTTGATTTGTGAGTTATGAGAATCTGCCAAAGATTATCAGGTTTTTCATTTTTTAGATTCCTTTTGCACATAATCTTTCTGAAACTTCAAGAAAATTGGAACGATATTATTCAGTTATTCGACAGGATACTTGGAGGCTGGAGCGATTTGATCCTGTGTGCGTACTGCGCATGTTATTGGATTTTGATCTGCGCTGGTTATTTTTCTGTCATTCGAAATCTAATTGATTGGCGTGGACAAAATGAAGAAACCAAAGAAGCAGGCTGTTCGACACAAGGATAAGAACACCTTTAAGGTCTGCCGTCTTTTATAGCGTTTTGGTTTGGGTGGCGTTTCGGAAGACCTGTTCTAGGGACCGGTGATTTATATGTTGGTGTTTGTTATTGCTTTAGTTCAAGTCCTTCAACGAGCGAATCTCGGAGATATCGGTGGATGCTCGCCAGAATCTGTTTGCCACTGCTTTTGAACCCGTTGGAGAGGAATCGTTCTTCTTCGAAAACTACAATAAATGGCTAGATCTGAATCGCACGCAGCATTTTGGTTAGTTTTTCGACGTCCGAATGGTGACTGGTTTGCAGTGGTTTTCGGTAACGAACTCGTTCTGGTTCGTAGCGGACTTTCAGAAAGATGTCCGGAACAAAATAAATAGTTATGCCATGATAGTTCACCACAAAGATACGATCGTGGCTGCCTTGTTGAGGCATCTGGCGGTGGAGAACAGCCTCGCTCTGGAACCGCTTTTGGAGTGAGTGCTGAATGAGTAACGTGTTTCAGGCAAAACTGTTAAAACTGTTATTGCAGGCTCCTTGCAGTTGCAGTTTGCTATTTCGTTGACCGTTTTATTACGCGGTTCGCTGTAATGCCGGTTTTAATAGTTACAAAAAATCGTTTTGATGGCTACTTCAAATTATTTATTGTTTATTTTTTAATTTATGATTTATTGCAATAAAATACGGAATTAAATTATATTTGGTTTAATTTAAACCGTTTAAATGCTATTCTGTTAAATTAAACGTATTTATTTGAAATGTGTAACTTGGTTAAAAATTGTCTAAACGGTTTCTTATTTTTTTCCGTTTTATTACATGAATTTGTTATTTTTTGTGTTAGTATTTCGGTTATTTTTGTTTAGGCGCAGATATATCTTTTGAATCCTTTTTTCTTGACTGTGAATTTCCATATATTTTAGCTTGACTGCCAGTCTTGCCAGAGATCTCCAGGAAGATTTTTACCCTTACTTCGGCGATTTTTTTCGCACCCTTTCGGATTGTGTCACGGAATCATCCGATCCTGAAGCCATAGAATGGATTTTCCTTTGCTTCTCCCAGATGTTTAAAATACTGCGCAAACCGCTCTCCAGAGATTTCGAGAACGTCTTTCGGTAGTGTTTCATTTCTTATCCTTCAAGCTGTTTTTCTGTTTGGCTTTTGAATTAAGCATAGCGACAGGGATTTTCCTTAGGTTAATCCTTCCCCTGTTTGGAAATCAGAAAGAATATATTATCCGCTTTGCGACCGAATCGTTTGCGTTTTTGGTTCGATCCTACAAAGATATACGGGCGATTCTGGATTTCTTGCTTCTTCACTGTCTGCAGAACGCTGATCTGGCGAACGGCATTGGATCTCTCATTTTCGAAGTCGTAAAAAATGTTAACCATCACTTACACTCCAATTTTGCAAAGGTAAGCAGCACGATATCTTCCTTATCATGTGATGTAACTGAAGAACGACTACAAGCCATCGTGTTTTCAGGTTTTAGCGTTCTTGGTGGAAATATTACACGACAAAAGATTTTATCTGATTGAGCCATCGGAAGCTATAACCGAAGGAGAGCAATTTTCGATTGCTTATCCTGTGGAATGTTGTGTTATCCGTTTTACAGAACTTTTAGCCGGTCATGTTTCGAAAGAGACGTGGTCGTCATTATGGGACGCCTTTTGGGTTAGTGTTATAATACCGACAGAAAATCTTAAACTACAAAATTAATACGAATAGCCGTTGCTGATTCTAGTACAGTAGCACTTGATAACTACAGAGTACGTAGTAGGTTTTGGTTGGTTTGAGTATTTTGTGACGTTATTTTTTGAGATTTTGTTCGCAGGATTACAGGAACACTGATTGTGTCTGTCTGATAGATCGCTTTCGCTTTGTTGTAGACGGCTGTTCTTCCTTGCACCAGTGAAAGATGTACCTATTCCCTTATTATCCTTTCTGGTCTAATCAAAGCAAAACACGGCCACTTAATTCATTGTCCAGAAAAGACTTTGCAGCAATTTTTAGTTCTTTGTGATAATCATACGAAGTGGACTTCCAAAGATGCCGACTTGATCGCCAGCATTGCATCTGACCTGCTGCTATATCCACATTTACACCTTCCGGTCCTGGAACGGCGGAAAGTTGCTCTCAAAGTACGTGTTCCCTATAAGTACCGGGTGGCTGAAGAAAATGGCGGTCTCCTGTTTTGGTTTGTTTCTCGTGGGCTTGTGGTCGGACTGTAACTTGCTAAGGCTCGTTCGAAAGAGAATTTTATTAGCTATCAAAATCATCAAAACGTACTTGAAATACTTAAGCCGTGATAGTTGACAATGATGTAAATTAAAAGCGTATGTAAGTTTTCGTGTCCCAGCTTTTCAAACCTAGAATATTGTGGCATTTCTTTTCCGTGCGGACTTTTTGGGTATGTTCAACTACATTGTCTAGAGAAATACATCTTCTTTTAATGCAAAAATAGTTGCTGACATACTCCATGCGCTAGACGAGTTATGCGGTCAGCGCACTTTGTGACTTTCCCAAAAAATGACTGTTTTTAATTTGATTTTTATTTTTTTTTTATTTTTCGTTAAAATTTTCGGCTGCCTGTAAGGTCGCAACAAGAAATGCTGGTTTTACTTTAAAATGTAGCTAACACATGGCTCTTGCAGAAACAAAATGGAACAAGAAGATTTTTTAAAGCGTTGATCAGGAATTTGATTTCAAAAACCGCTCTTGCGGATTTCACGAGAATTATTCATGCGGAGTCTCAGTCTTTCCGTGTTGCAAAACATGGAAAGACTTCCGTGTACTGGCAAAACATGGTTGCTAGAATATGGCAGTTCCTTACAGTAAAAAAACAAGAAACAACCCTCTAACCCAAAACACGAACGTGAGATAAATTATTCTCCTTAATTGAAAAGCAGCAATTTTTAATTTCGAAAGGGGTAATTTCAAATTTCCGCTTCCAGGACATGCTTAAAATCTACTTAATTTTTCAAAAAAATTCATAAAAAAAGTTCAGTTTCGAGACAATGTTGGTTTGACTCGCAATTCCTATGTTAAAAACATTGTTTCTTTCAAAAGAAACTAAGATGACGGCAATCATGCACTGGGCGGATCCAGCGCACCATCGTAAACCAGACCGCCATTTTGTTCAGCCACCCGGTAGTGGCATTCTAGCATACCTAAACGTGCAGTGCAGTGATTCTGAATAAACTGTAGTTGTATGATTTTGAAGAGTTTGATTTTTTGAATAAGAACTTGGTCGATAAACCATTCAAATTTGATTCTTTCGCTAGGTTTTTCGTGGGCCCATGACTTTTGAACAGAAGTGTGCCTTCGCGGTATCTGTGATTGAGGATCCACTTTACGAATCCGAAATTTTGCCTCATTTATTGAAACTGTGCTTGGAGTACTGCCGCGGGGATAATTTAGAAATCGGTTTGCGTACTCTTATACAGCTGATAATCCATAAGGATTCCAGTCAGTTTGAAATAGAGACGATGGACTCATGGAGACCTTACTATCTTGACATGACTCTTGCTGAAGTCAATTCATCGAATCAGAGTTTATCGGAAAAACTGAACGCTTTTGTCATGAAAGCCGTGGGACGTGCGGAGGAATTTCAAAGTACACATCCGCTCCGGTGGAGTTTGTTGTGGTCAGTGGCAGTGCTGGTGCCTCACTTTCGGTAAGCTGAGCCTGCAAGGAAAGCCCGAATTCTGCTCGTAAACTTCGCAGTTGTCGATTTTACTTTTGTGGCATAATGCACCACTGTTTGTGCACCATGATATTATACGATATTTGTTATCTTTGAATTAGAAGTACTAAATATTATGCACGCTTTTCGCTTGATATGATGGAAATATGCTGAATAACGGGTATTAAGCATAGTGTTTTGAATTTCAGACCAAAACTGGACGACGCGATTATTCTAGCAGTACAGAACAAAATTTTGGATGGCTTTTCATGTCTTTCCCAAGAATTTCTGTGTAATCCAAGGTACACTGTTGTCGAGATTGGATGTTTATTAGTATGTTACAGTTACAGCCTAACAAAAAAGGTGATCTGTTGTTGTAGGATTTCGATCTGGGTCACCACCGCCTTGGCCGCATCGTTACGTAGCGGGATTGCCATGAAATGTGTGGCATATGATAACGCTAACATTCAGCAGACCTTATCCGTTTTGAAGTTGGTATTTTGATGGTCTGTTAAAATGTTCGACTTAAAGCACAACAGTACTTTTTAGGAAAAACGGATCGGATTTGGAAATTCTCTACCTTACTGCCCTTGCCTTGCATTACAATCCCGATCAAATGACTCAAGAATTGTTGAATTGCCTTCCCGTTCTGAAAAGAAATTTGAGAAATCCATCGCATGCGGTGCGGCTGATCAGTCTGCATATCCTCCGTGCCTTGCCCCTAGGGCATGGAATTTCGCGAGTGTTGGACATCTGTGTACAGGCCGAGAGCATTGAAGTGTCGGTACAACAGTACCGTGAAAAACTGCGATTTTTAAGGATGTTAGATAAACAGCAAGTACTGGCACTGCCTGAGATTTCCGCTGCCGATTTAGACGTACGTTTCTTATGAGCTAGTATGATTTTTTGGCATTCACATCACATGCTGATGTTATCGTACTTCCACACTAACAATAAGAGGAAATCCCGCTACCCGTATTAATTGCATGAATGCAGTGTTTTAAAAAATTTAGTAGTTCTTTTTTACAGATTCCGTTACTGTACTTGCTGGGATCGCTTAAAATCGGTTTCCAGCTTATTTGGAAGGAAGTTAAACAGCTGATCGGCACGTATGTTCCTAGTTTTCATGACCAGATCGTTTGGGGGGTTATATCATCCGAACTCGAGGCGGTGTCACTGGAGGCCGGTATGTCTGTCAAAAATATAAATTTTCATTATTCACGAGTAGGTACGGTGCAAGTACGGAGAAAGCGCAAGATATTTTTAGAATCTCCTTCACAAAAGCTGACAGCTGACGATGAGAAGATGGACTTGTTGAGCGAGGAAATATTGGATTTTTTGAAAATTCGCAGTGAGAACGACTCTCATCCGCTGGATGCGCAAAAATACCGCATTCAGTTGTGGCAGTGTTTGACTGAAGTGGCCGAACAGATCGAGAACCGAAACCGATATTTTTCGGAACTTTTCCAGCGTTTTGTGAGGTACGACAAAGGTTATTACGCTAAAAGCTAAATGAGGTGTTTAGGATATGTATCGAATTTTATAGACGTGAGTTTGTTCCTGCAACGCTTTGTTACGCTCTGCTGGAAACTGCAAGCGACTTGAATGAAATGCAGTCAACTAGGAAGTCTCGAGCATTTGCAGAGGAAACAGTTTGCACCATGCTGGAACTATTTGGAAATTTTCGCAACCCGATGGCATTCTTTCAAGAGCCTGTCCTGCGGAAATACTTTTTGGGGGTGAGATTAATTTGAAGAGTGGTGGCTTTCCAGTCAAAACGAATTCAGTCTGACAATCATGATCCTCGCCTTTTCCTTTCAGCTTTTAACTTATCGCTCTCCCAAAATCCAAGCCTTAGCACTTAAAGTCCTCTTCAGATACAAATGGGAATACTTACAGCCTTACGAAGAGCCCCTGAATAATTTGCTGGACGAAAAATCTATCTGGAATACTTTAACTGAGATAGAATTCGGGGCTGCCAATCCGGTTATTGCTCCTGAACACCGAAGCGCAGTTGTTCCCATTGTTATCAGGTGATATTGATCGAACCACCAAAGTTAGCTGGGATAGTATTTTGCCTTTGTTATTCTTATTTCCAAACGAAAATGCCCCCGCCTCGTACAATAAACGCTTGCCGTGTTGGACTTTGAATGGCCTTGTAGACAGTAATTACCTACATTATATGGTAATAATTTCAGGATGCTTTTTGGAAGAATGCAGCAGAAATCCAAACGTCGTAACACTGAAAAGGGAGCTCCGAAAGGCCGCAAGGAGGCGATAATTCGGTCTTTGGCTAATTGCCGTCCGGAGGAATTCGAACTGTTTCTGTCCTTCGTGCTGAAACCAGTGGCCGCCCTATTGAAATGTGAGTTTTGCTCGTTGTTTGAAGTTGGGAAGAGGTAACTGAGTTCTCTGTTTTTTGTTTAGATGATACTGAGGTCAATGTCCAGAAAATTCTGAAAGGCGAAACTATTGCAGTTAATTTGAAAGTTCTGGATGGGTAATAATTTATTTTTGCTTCCACTGCAGCCTGCTTACAATGCTTCTCATTGGTCGTGTTACAGGATTTTACAAACCATGGTTGCCGTTATTGACGAATTTCGATCTGTTGCTGCGCCGCACATTCGATTGGTCCTTAAAACAGTTTTGTCGCTGCTGGCAGTTTTGGTTGCAAGAAAGAATCGGGTGGAAGATTCTTCTGATACTGTCCTTGCCGGAGGAATACTACGTAAACTGCGCAAGGAATGCTACCGCTGTCTGTGCTTGATTTGTTCCGTTTTCCCGGCGATTATCTTTTCGGATTCCGAAATGAAAGCGTTTTTTAATTGCGCCGTCCTTCCTGAGGTAACTATGGCAGTAAGCGTTAATTTTGTATGCGTTATAGTATAGCCTGATTATTTTATATGCATTGCGATGGGAGCATTGAATTTATTTATGTTTGAAGTTTAGCAGTTTTGCAAAAAGAATTGGTGTAAAATAGAATTGTTATAGTTCGATTCTGTGAGTATAGGTCGATAACACACTGCGGGATGGTTTAAGTACGTGTACGCCATTAATGCGTTTGCTGTCCGTGTGGTGCTGCAACCAGTCATACCAATCTCTTATGACAATCCCGATAAGAACTTCGAACGAAACCGCACTATCCGTTTTAATCTGTCTTCTGAATCCTGAGAATAATCCCAAGTCAGTCAGTGTCAAACTGGTAGTGGAATGCCTGGATGGATTATTGAACCCCAAGGTGAATCCAGAAAACGAGTTACCCGTGGACGCTGATATTACAGTAGAAGGTGACCAGCTGTTGCATTTTGAAATTTTCAAGTATAAAAAGTTAATGCCTTTCGAAAAAAATTTCTTTTTGTCTCTACAGCACAAAAAATGGTTACGCCTTACGTGAATGAGATCTTGCAATATTTTCGTGGCCAGCTGGCTGGGCTGAATACAACAAAAGCAGCAAAGGTGTCAAGAAAGATTATTCCATTCAGTGATACGGAACTGAACGTTGCCTGTGCCGTCAGTGGATTGGAGTTGCTGGCTGCACAAGCGCATTTATTGTTGGACGTATTGCTTCCATTCATAGCAATCTCACAACTGAAAAAAGAGCAAGATCTGTTAAGATTGTTGGAAATTGTAAAACGTTTGGTTGAAAAAATCGAAAAGGAATCGTCGAATAATGTTATACAACAGATAATCCCGCTGTTATCCAGGGATTTTTCATCAGACTGTCGGACAGTAATTTGTCAAACGATAACGGTGAGTGACTCACGGCTTTCTGATTTGTGTGATCCGCTATTAACTTATAGTAACGCAGAAGTAATTGGTTTTTCCTTTTGTTTTGTGTTAGGTTTTAAGCAGCAGGTTTCATTTGGAAGAGCTTCGAAAGTTTTCGCGTGTTGCTACCGATGTGAGTTGGCACTTCAGATGGTTGCCGTTTGTTTCCCGAAAGCCTGAGACCGCTAGGTAAAATTTTGCATTTTTAAGTTTTTTCGTTTTTAGTTGTCAGCCTGGAATACTCGCCATATTCATGAGCCAGATTTCGATAAACGCCTCGCTGCATATAAAGCTGCAAAAGACGAGCTTGGGGTGCCGGATGTCCGCCTTGATTATGCCTTGCTGGTTTTACATATGGCTGCTTTCGACATTGTAAAGGTACGCATTTCCAGATACTCGAGTTTCCAGAAATACTCAAGCACACTGTGTTGCTCATGCCCATGTTTTGAAATTGCAGAGTAATGATATCGCATCAGCAACGCTCAGGAGTATGGGAGGCATATGCATTACCGAAATTTTACGAATTTTTTCCATTAGAAAAGACAGTGGTATTATACTGAAACATCTTTTGCCAATATTTAAAAATTCCCTGAAAAGCACCGATGAGGGTGTTAGGAATGAATTTATCTCCATTATGAGCGCCGTGGCGCAGTATTTTCCCGAGCATTCCGTTTTCAAAACGATGCAGATCCTTAGAAATGCCGACGATCCGGAAATGGATGTCTTCGACAATCTTCGACATATCCAGAAGCACCGTGTGGGTCGAGCGTTCCACAGACTGTCGATGTTGTGTCAAGAAGAGACAATTCCTGTTTCGGTGATCCTGCAGTATTTCTTCCCTTTGGCCAATGTTTATCTCTGCAATGAACAATATGCTGGGGAAAAAATGCAGGGCCTGATTAATGCGATCATTGCGCTGATCGAAGCGGTTGCTGGAAAAGTGCAGTGGGGAAAATACGAAACAATGGTGAAGTTCTATTTAAATCTGCTAGTGAGGAAGCCGCTGTATCAGAAACAGATCATTCGGTAAGATTTTGTGAAGGATAAATTTATATCTTCTGCATGTACATTGTGTATACACTATTTCACACAGGAAATTAATACTGTACAGTTTTCTCAGTCATTTTTAATTTTTTTATCTTTTATACACTGGACATTGACGGTAGATTTGCTGCTTTGCAGTGTGGTGGTCGCTGTGATTGATGCGTTCCATTTTGACATGTCGTCGTTGGACGTCGGCCGCTCGGTGGGAAAAACCATCGCTGGCAGTGATGCTTTTCTGGAAGAAACCGGTATTGCTGATTTGGAAGAGGGTGTGATTCGAAACGTTATCACCGAAGGAGATTCGACCGCGACCAAAGCTAAAGCCGGCAAAATTTATCGGTCACTTACCCAGTTCATCCTCCCCAATCTGTCCAAATTAATTATCGACAAAGTGAGCAAATTGGGGATTTTCGTAAAATTAGTACTCCTGTTGCTTTACGTTTTAATTGTTTTCTGCTTGTAATAGAGTGAGGGCGACGATCGGCATAAATTAACCGCAGATGTGGCAGCCAATGAAAAGACCGAACTTCTCCGAGCGCCGGTGGCACTGGCTATGGTGAAATTATTGCAGAAACTGCCTGAAAAAATCCTTAGTCGGCATATATCTGGAGTATTTTTACGGATTGCCGGTTTACTGAAATCTCGCTTGTTGAGCGTTCGACAGTCCGCCCGGGAAACTCTGACGGAAATCATGCTGAGCCTTGGACCATCGTACTTATTACCCTTAATTAAAGAGCTCAAAGGAGTTTTAAAACGAGGTTACCAGGTATGTCGTTGTCAGTTGATGGTTGGAGCTTCCATCGTTTTCAGAATTTTTCGTTATGTTATGCAGTAATCGGCATTGTATCTGTCTATTGTAGGTGCACGTTCTGGTACACTGCGTGCATCTGGTGTTGACGCGTCTGTTGCCGATAATCAAAGTCGGGGATTTAGATCGTTGCATGGAGGATTTAGTTCAGGTACGGATGGGAAAGACCAATAAGGTGCACAACGTTTCTACATGAGTTTTACTTCATGTCTGTAGCTATGCCAAGACGAAATGTTTGGAGAATTGTCTGAAGAAAACGAAGTATCTGCATTAACCAGGAAAATTGCCGAAGCGAAAAGCGTCAAGTCGTACGATATGTACGCTATTCTAGCGCGTTTCGCATCGCCGGGTGTTCTTGTCAACCTTCTGAAACCGATCAGAGAGGTAATCTTCTTCTATAATTTCTAATGTGCGGAGTTTAACTTTTACGCTGGTAGACCGTTTGCAGTATAGGTATTTACGTTAGTTTGTCTTTAGAAAGCTGAAGAAACACAGTCGCATAAAGTGGCGGTTAAGCTGGACAAAGCACTGCGCGAAATATTATTTGGTTTGATGAACAATGCCCAACTGACGGAATCTGATTTGCTGCTGCTAGGATTCGCCTTGGCAAATCCAAGTATGGGATTGTTTGGCGACAACGGAAAAAGGTATGCACCTTGAATTGAATTGGTTGTAAACCGAATAGCTATCCATAATGTGACTGAGTTGCGCTGTTTTCGAGTACCACGGCACGTGGCGTTCGTGCGCTATGTATGCTGTGTGAACTAAGGACACAATAAGTCTATATCGAAAATGGCTAGCGCGTAAGAATAATATTTACTTAGTAAGGTTGTAAGCAACATGTTTAGATCGCTTACAGTGGAAAATTGTTTTAAATTGTTTTTAGATCTGGAAAATCTAATGACACAACAGTTCTCAGTGAACGAGTTGATTCGTATTTAATCCCAGCGGAACCCAAGCGATCGGGACCGACTCCGGTCAGCAACAAGAAATCGAACGACTTTCTTCTACAGGATTTCATGCTTCGTGTAAAAACAAGATTTTTTATTTATAGTCACACGAAAATTTTACTTCTTCTTTTTGTGGTAGCTGTTATTGGCATCTTTCAAAAGCGGACGACTGAAGACGGGCAATGATGATCATATGCAGAAGCTGGACCCTTTCGTCCGTATTGTAAAGCAGTGTCTAGACTCCAAACAAGTTACGGTATGTTTCGTGTTTACCTAGAGTAGTAATTCGTATATATCGTTTCGGGCTTATATATTTTATGTCCTTGTATTACTAACATGTTTTGCTGAGATATATAGAGCAGTTGACGCGTCGAATGAGAACTCATCGAAATTAAACGTCTAAACCGAGTAAACTTCAGTCAGACTTTTGGAAACTAGGTAATGACCAGTGCGCTGCGGTGTTATATCTGGATGCTGAAATTCCAACTACCTTCATTGGAAACTGAAATGAGCAGTATTATGAAAAGCCTTTTCGTCCATCTGAAGAACTATTCCGGTCCGGGAGCGGCGGTTGGAGAGAACGCTGACCTTGTGATTGCTATTTACAAAGTGTGTCTGGCGTTTTCTTTGTTTGGGTTGTCAGTTGCACATCCGAGTTTCCTATTTTTTAGGCCTTGAGTGCATCAGTGAGGGATGCCACTAGCCATACCATTTCTGATAAGCACTTGAAGGTGCTTCTAAGTTACGCCGAAAACGATTTTCGAGAAAGTTCCAAACAAGTCCTGGCTTTTAACGTTATTCGAGTGTGTATTGTTTTTCTCCTTATTTTTTCTGATGTGGTTGGGTTTGAGGAAAATTAGTAAAATTGTTTGTACAATATTTTAGGCTATTCTGACACGGTTCCTTTATACGACGGAACTGCGTGAAATGATGGTAGAATTATCCAAAATGTCCATTCAGAGTGAACAACAAAATCTGCGAAATCAATGCCGACAGGTAAAATTGTTGTTTGAATTTTGAAAGGTTGAAATTAAGCTAATTCTTTTCATTCACTTTCAGCTGGTCTTCACTTTTCTTTCTACCTACAACGCGAGGAAAATCAAACTAAAGGAATTTGTTGACCTTTACGAAGATAATTTGGAGTACCCCACTGAGCAGGGGCGGCTGATGAGCATGGGCATGCTCAGCGATTTGTTCGAGAAATTGGGCGAGGTTCGGTCTTTGGCACTGTATTAAATGTTACTTTTGCCCGCTTTTACGCTGATATTGAGTGTTATTTCTGCTGTAAATTAGTTTCATTTTGGATGTGAATATTGCTTATTAATTTGAGTTTTGCATTTCTTAGGGGTTCAAAAAGGACCACTCTGTTCCGCTTTTCCAGCTATTCGCTGCGCGTTTCAGTGACGAAAGTGCAGTTTGTCGTCAAACCGCCGCTGAATGCATTGCAAATTTACTTCAAGCGGTAAGTCCGTAGTGCGGTGTGTATAAATATTTTCGTTGGAATCTTCCAAGTGGGCTATGTCACCACCTGCAAAGAATTCGGTAATCAGATGGTGCCTACTACCCTCCAACTATGTAGGACACTTAAGTGTACGGTTCAACTAGTCTCAGTTACGCCGAAGACGATTTAGAGAAAGCTCTAAACAAGTCTTGTGTATCAATTCGTCTTTCAGGTTGATACGGAAAACGACCTGGAACAGATCTTCAAATGGATTCGGCGTTGGGTAGTTGACACCGAGGTTGGTTTTTGCACAGAAAAAATCGGTTTGAAAAGTGCCGAATGTGTAAAGCCTATCATGATTGCTGTGCCGATAAGCATTCTGCTCCCATTGTAAAATTTTCGAATTTCATCTACTACAGATTTCCATCAAAAGAATTGGTTTACAAGCGTGCTCTTTGTTTGTGAAGAAGGAGAAAAATGGTTTTGTTCTACGAGCTCCACAAATTCTGAAGGAGCTGCAAGATATTATGCATGCACAGGTTGGAGGAATTATATTGGCGATTTATCAGTGATTGGAATTACGCACCAGTGATTTTTTCAGGCTAGGGAAGCACGCGATCACACCGAATACGACCATTTATTGATTAATGCCCTTTCTCTCTTGGTCACAATGGAAGGCGAATGTGGAGAAGATTTTTGGTCGTCCGAAAAAATCCTGAAATCCCTTGACCGATTGTTTTTTAGTAAGAAATTATGAGACACCTTTTTGGTTATGCAATAACCTGCACTTCCAAGTCTTTGATATTTAGATGACGTTGTCGAGCTGCTGATTCACGCACATGAATGGATCCGCGTGCGCAGTTTGGAAGCTTTTAATCTCCTTCTGCAGCACAGCAGCCCCGAGCATTTGAAGGCAAACCCGGTTTTCAAAGAGAATTTTGATGATAAGGCATGTTTATTAAGGTCTTTGCTCCTGGATAGCTAAGCTGACCCATATTTTTTTGCAGTTGCAGAAGCTGAGCTCTATGCTGCTGTACCAGATTAAGTCATATTCCGACCGTGCAGAATATTTTTCAGCCTGGGCTTCCTGTATGGTATATGTACTGCAAGCAGTGGATGCGCTCCCCTGCTTGCCAGAGTCAAACCAGGCGGTTGCCAAGAAAGACGAGGATTCTGATGATGAAAATGTTCTGAGCTCGCGAAAGCGAGTTTCCGTTACTTTTCTCGCCCAGAAAATTTGTAGAGAAGCAGTCTATGAAGCTCTTCATGAACCGCAGAAAATCTCCAAGGTACTACGAGAAAATAAAAACATTTGCGTCTAAAAATTGTGCTGTTTTAGAAGGTTACAAATTGATACACGGCTGCAGCGTAAAGTAAAATTTTCTTCGTTTTATTAATTGCAGCGTTTGCAAGTGTTGAAGTTCATAGAACGACTTTGTGGTATTTTTCCTCGAAGCAAATTCATGGACATCCTACCGTTCTGTTTGCAAGTAGTTTATCGATGTCTTCATGAACCGTCAGCTCAGAAACGTGAGTAATGAAACATTTATCGTGGCTTGTTTTGGATTTTGTAAATGTGCTGTTACTTTAGATGAAAAACTGAAAGAATTAACTCAGGAAGTAGCGAATGCGGTGGAGAATCATGTCGGCAAACAGATTTATGCTGAATCCATGCAAACAGTGATATCCAAATCATCAAAGCGCCGTGTGGAGAGAAAACGACAGCAAGCATTAGAGGTATGGTTTAAAAAATGCTTTGCGTTTTGGTTTCTTTCTTGGTTTGCTGAGCATAACGATGTTTTTTTAATATTTTTACAGCCTGTCTTGAATCCGGAAAAGCATGCGAGGAAGAAAATCAAGAAACAGCAAACCAAAAAGGAAGTACGGAGAAAGCGCACTAGAGATATTGAATTGGGGCGAACTGTAAAGCGGAAGAAAACAAAACTTACAGACTAATCGCTTGATAGCTGATACTCGGAAGTGGAAGGTTACATGTGATATAGTTTGGTTTGAGCTTGTTGTTCATGGAAAGATAAGTGTTTTTAATTTGATGTGATGATAATGTTGTTAATGACCGTAAAGAAAGAGTGTTGATGGGTAATCCTGTTATGAAACATTTTCAAACAAGGCATTTTACCGGCAGACTTTCTTTAAGTACTGTAGGTTAACATCTTTCAGCAATCTCAGGTAAATGGAACATTCGTATTTTCATATGAATGTTAGCATTTATTTAAATTGTAAAAAAATCAACAGAACTATGCCAACTTTCCGTGCTTATTTGCTGATGACTGGAATATCAGCGTTTCCGGTGCGTCGAAACAGGTAATAGTGTAGAGGCATATTTTTTGTTGTAGTGCCTGCTCTTTTTTCTTTAATATCCCGCTCTTGTGAACTGTCTTTATCGCCGTAACTGCGAAATACCAGCTTGGTTTCTCGTTCGAGCGTGACTTTAACCGACTTTCCGCTCAGTATCTGTTGAAGAATGGTCGCGGCAAAAATTGGAGGAAAATTTGTGTCTGACGGTGCTGTTTCGTTCATCGGCAGCAATGGTTGCTCTTCGCTGGATCCTGGTTGTGAGGATTCGGTTGAGGTTGTGTTGTAATCGGAATGTGGAAGAGCGATGCTTTTATCTGAATTCATAAGAATGCCGTTGTGAAGCAAAGAGGAAAACAAAATATTAATTGCACAAAATTAAACTAATCGGCTTTTAATTACCGAACATCACCACGAAGTATATTACCAGTACTGTATATCTTATAAAGTAATTATTTCACTACTTGATTTACAACGCCAGAAGAAAACCTACGGTTGCGTTTACACTTTGTGTACACATGGATATCGTTATTTTGCCTGGGTATACATGCTTAGTGACACGGGTCAGAAAATACTATACGTAAGTTACTTACTGTTATTATCCTTTTCGACATCGTTAGAATGACCCAAAACAGAATGCTTATGTTCGCATTGAACAGTAGTTAATGAGACAATTAAAACCACCAAAAGTGAACTTTGAGACATTTCTGCGGAATCTCGAAACTAGCTCCGGTTCAGGCAAGGTTCATAAAATTGCTGAGCTGATGACGAAAATTATTATCGGGCACATGAATTAATTCTTCTTACATAGGAGATTGCCGTTTACAACAGTTTAACAAATACCGGCATTCGGTGATCTTTTATACCGTACGCTTGCCGAACGTGTCACACGTACAGGAAGCACTAGAAACCCCAACTTGTAACTCGATGCGTGGGTATTAAAATTGTAGCAAATTATTTGTGGTGGAGAGTGCACAACGTGTCTGCTTTGTGTTCTGCATTCATCAGTGTACAGAAATGGCGATTTGTTTCGGAAATGTCCTTGTATTTATGAGGAAGATGCACTGGATGCAAGGAAATGTGTTACGCACACCCTTCAGTTTAAGTGATTTAACCATACTTCTAGTCACGGTGCAGTTCCAAGAATGTTGAATAAAATTGTAATGTGTGTTGGAATGTTGCTCTGTGAAGTTCTTATTGGGAAAACATTGCTCCAGTTTCAGGAAGCCGCCTTCGTCTAGTGGTTAGGTGCACCAACCGGTGCTAACTGTGACACCACGTTGTGGCCGTGGCAACCTCGGTTCGATTCCGAGAGGCGGCAGTTTTTTTGCCGATCATGACTTGAGAATTATCATTATTCCGATAACATAATCTCCAGAAGTTGTTTTTGTTTAAGGGTACAAGTTGCATCATTGACTGATCGCGCACGACAAGTGGTATACCAATTTCGGCGCAATGCCGGACCGGTACTTTTTGTAGGACTTACCGTGTAAGTCCTACATAGGACTTACAGTCTGTAGTGCCTGGGTAACGCTACAGTCATACAGCAGAAACTACCGGAATAAGTTCTTGTCATCTTTGTTTTGAAATTTTGTTAAAATTGTTGGTCACACGAATTAAAAACTTGTTTGCTAAAAGCAGTGGTTAAGCACTTGAACTCCTTCATAAGTGTAGTTGTGATATTGCATTATCAAAATATCATGATCCATTTAATACGTAAGTCAAGTGCGCGACAGACGTAATTGTAGCTCCCTTTACGCTTTTAAGTGACAACGATATGCTTTATATCTTCATTTCCTAGAAACATTGGGATTAGCAATAAGATTCTTGGAAAAATGGAACTGGTCGTCCAAGGCTCCGAGATAAATATATATACCATAATTACAGTTTCTTATAAAACTAAGTTTTGCAAAATCAAAAGTAGGGACACAAAGCGTTTAGGAACCCCGACTGATTGCGTCGATTGAGTTTCTCTTCGAGAATGTTTTAAGCAAAGGTCAAATCATTTAAACCTTGTTTCAAATATTATGTAACTCCTTTACACTTCCCATTTAGGCGCATTACTCTGCTGTCCAGATGGACCTGCGTTTCCCCGACCAAAACCGTGAGTTAAATCAAGATTCCGTTTTCCTCGTTTACCGCGTCCCCGAGCTGGCATATCGACAGGATGACGGACTTTTCCGGAATTATCCACGCTTTCCTCCGAATGAGTCTCCTTTGCTATTGGCTCCGGTGCACCAGACTTGACACCAAACCGGGGTGACGGGTTCTCGTCTTTGCTTCCTTTACCATCAGCATGACCGTGAGTCGGTGCGGCGCCACTTTCTTTGCCTTTTGAATCGCCGTTAGCGGAATCGCTTTCCGAATGACCATGTTCCGGGTGGAATGCCGGTTTGTGATGTACGGTACCAGTGCCCTTTCGGTGACCTTTCGATGCATCACTCTCGGATTCCGACTCAGACTGGTCGTGGTCCGGATGGAAAGCCGGCTTATGGTGCACTGCACCGGTGCCCTTTCGTTCACCGTTTGAGTCGTGATCTTGAGATCCCGATTGTTCGGTTTCGGGATGGAATGCCGGTTTATGGTGAACGGCCCCGGTGCCCTTTCGCTCACCATTTGAGTCGTGATCACATTCGGAATTATGATCGATTTCGGGATGGGAGGCCGGTTTGTGATGCACTGCACCGGTGCCTTTTCGTTCACCGTTTGAATCGTGATCAGATTTCGAATTATGATCGGTTTCAGGGTGGAACGCCGGTTTATGGTGAACGGCCCCGGTGCCCTTTCGTTCACCGTTTGAATCGTGATCTTGAGATTCCGATCGTTCGGTTTCGGGATGGAATGCCGGTTTATGGTGAACGGCCCCGGTGCCCTTTCGTTCTCCTTTGGATTCGCTATCTGCTTCTGATTGGTCGGTATCAGGGTGGAAGGCCGGCTTATGTTGAATCACACCAGTACCTTTTCGCTGTGAAGTATTTTCCTGTTGACCGTTGGTCTCCTGATTGTTTTCTGAATTGCTCTGCGCTGATCCAATGGGATTTGTAGGTTCAGCCGCTGCATCATGTTCAGGATGAAAAGCCGGTTTGTGGTGGACGACGCCGGCGCCTTTACGCTGATCAGTGCTGAATGCTGGGCAAATACATGCTATCACGAAAACAGAGAGTAATATGCATACTCGTACCATTGACTGCATCTTGACTGCAAAAAAATTTTGAAAAATAAGAATACTTTATTTGTGCAACTATGTAACTAACTTCATGCGAAGCATTTGCAGAAGTCTTGGACACTGCAGCCTGTCTCGCCGCAATACTATTTTGCGGCTATTCGTCAACTCCCGGGAATCAGATATTTTTGTGCTTCCGCCGCACTTTTGAAGAGCACGTTTGCGATCCCAGCATTTTACGATTTCGTATCGCTGTCGTACACCATTAAGAACCACCACTGCAGTGAATATTAATGCGCAAAGACGCTGACTGCTGTAATACACATCCGGTCTCAGTTAATTAATCGGTTATCGGATTTATTGTAGAAGAACTTTGTTTTGAAATTGCGGTCAGAGAAGTACATAAAAAATCATAGGAATTATTCACATGAAAACTTTATCTCAGACTACGTATTTTTGCAGCGCAGATTAATGCAAGAGTCACTATTACTTGCAAGAAACGTTATGCGGAATTCCGAAATACTCGTGAATCGGAAATTCGGAGTCGGAAAAAGCAAAAGCACTGGCGGCAGTTCGGAATATGGTGCACCGTACACGTACGCCTATTGATGCCGAAGCTCTCTTAAAACTTTTCACTGTATTTCATAGTTTATGTTGTAAAGAAAATGTTTACGATATTATTTTTTCCGATCAGATCTAGAAGCTTATCACAAGATTTGCAGTACCAGATCTGCAATACGATTACCCGAAAAAACATTTCTCAGCAAATTAGTTAATTCTATGGACTTCATACAGACGGCCGAAAATATAGTCACCACCGGTTTCTAGATCATTGGAAAAGATTGACCGCTGCTATGCATTGTAAACGGTTTACAATGGACATGAAAGCAGTTTATGCAACAATTTAAACGGCTCACACAGTATGTATGTTACTGATGAGCCGGCCGGATGTACATAGTTCAGAAGTCGAGGCCGTTTATTAGGTAAGCGAATTATAAGTCAAAATGTCAGTAAATGAAACACACATAGTAAACTCATCCGTAAGCTCTGGATGTGGGTCAACGGATCCAGTTTACAAAAAATGGCAGGACCCTAATACTTTAATTTCTTTTCAACTTTCTTGTTAATAATAATTAATTCTTTCCAAAATTTCTTTTCCAATAAAATTTTGGTTGTGCTTCGAAACTACTATTAGTACAAATAGTGCACTGTAGATTCGGATGACCGAAATCAATGAAATGCAGCGGCGTGTTACTAGTACTTGGTATGGATCCGGATACGAAGTTAGTTCAGCATGTTTTGGTCACGGGAACGTAATTGTGAATGCTCGCCAACAAACACAAATGTCTGACCTTGATTTTGAATCAACGATGAACAACTTGGACAAGCGCAATTTTATCGAGACAAACCATTCGTGCAGTTTATGCTCAAGACGCCGATAGTTTTTTCATTATTAACTATTTGTGGGCTAACGGTGCCACCGAGCACCGGCGTGAGGTATCTACGTCGTCTAGTCTTGTTAATATTGCCGGATTTTATTACAAAGCTGACGTTAGCTTTCGTAGTGTAGAACTATATTCATATTAAAGGATCCACAACTGGCAAGGTTCTTACCTTAACATATTACTCGAGATGACCTTTACAAGAGCTTGTGGGATACTGTACGTCTTGTTCGTCGGGGTAGCTTCCAATCCGGCGGAAAAAGTGGCGCATGGTGAGGAGAAATTGTCAGCGGTTGATCACAGTGCCATGGCGGCATCAGTCAAATCGTACATCGGCTGTGCAGAACTATTGTGGGAACATTTCTTGAAATCCCTGGCGATGCAGCCTAACGGTACCGTGCATATGACAGATAACTCCGCCCATCCGGAGAAAACTCCAGTGACAACAACGGCTGACCCTCATCACGTCACCGCTGCCGTCAACGCTAAAACAGTGGCATCAGCGGCTGGCCATTCGACCGTTAGCATGGCAAACACGAACCTGACGACCTTTGATTTCAAAACGAGCAACTGTTCTGACAAAACGGATACCTGGACACTGGATACCAAGCTCTTTAATAACGTCACTACGTCGCACAACCTTACCGCTGCCAGTCTGCAAGACCATCTAAACGATGCCTTCGCCAAGTTTGATCAGTCGTTTATGTCTTCCTTCAATGTCACAAGTAAAGGAATTCAGAAGGCCAGAAATTTTACCCTGCAATGGGTTATGCAGAACGGAAAGGGTGGTGGATTATCCCACATGGAAATGGATTTGAACCATAAAATTGCGAATGGTAGTGCTGCTCATAACGATGCTGCTGCTGCTTCACGCCATTAGATATATTAAATCCTTAGTGTTGCACGCGAAGCTTTAGTTTCTTCTGGTATAATAATAATGCAGTACTTCTGCTGGTCATTCTTTTTTTGCAAATCATTTGAAATTTGCAGATTTGTGGCTGCTTACATGTATATCTTGCAGAGAGCATTCGTTTCATTTTTAATTCATTTTTATGGCTTTATACAAAATCAACAACATGAGAAGCACTGAGTTATAAACATAATTGGTAATAGAGAAACATATAATTCCATTTTGGTTACGGAATCTTAATCAAATTCATCACGCTTCCAAAATATTGTTCTTACAATTAGCTATCACCAGAACTATAAATCTTTTGAATACGGCTGTATATATCACAGCGAAGTTATGTATATACTCGTACTGTTTAAGCTCTTTTAAAAACAGTAAGGTGAGACACATAAAGATGTTACAGATCACTGAGTAAATAAAAGTTAATCCACCAGTTTTAGTCGAACATGAGCCATTCCAAATCGTCCTTTATGGGTTTCGAAAAGGTCACATAGCTCCTTGACATAAACAGCATGAAGGGCATCCACTTTTTCGGGCGACGGATGGTCGTCTTGGGTAACAGTTATCGGTTTTCCAACTAACGTAATTACAGCAGAATGGTTGTGGGAAACATCATTCACTAGGTCAACAACTGTTTCTAATCTGTAAGGTACCTATCGTGTGAAGTGGAACTCGGTACGGTAATGGGCCTCCATTACGGCCTACGGGCAGCACTGGTGGATACCCAAATAACCATTTGAAAACCCGACGAAAATAACTCATTTTTGTGCCAGGGAAAACTCTCAGACGGACTTTGAACACATCTGTCTCGCCAAATGTAAAACTCGGAACTAAATGGGCTCTAAAACGCAGTAACACAAAAACAGACTCGCATATCGAAGGCAGCTTGATCAGAAATTAAAACTTTGAATTCAAGCAAAACTTTTTTCTGGTAACGTCTTCGCTTTGCTTGAACGTAAAACGTATCAAATTTATGCGAATTTATTCCCATTTTCTCCCTGTAAAACTCATTATCAAGCCGGAAGCTGATGAAGTTTTCAATCAACTTTTAAGTAAAAACTCTACATGTGCCAGTTATAAAGATGTACAGAATCTCCTGCGCGTCCTTATCGCAAAAGTTATTAATGTAAATTGACTGAATCGAAACAAGTATTCTTATTGATAGTAGTGCCATGTTTTTGTAGGCAACGACATAATTAATAAAATAATAAAGGTTTTAAAAACAGTTACTAATTGCCGTAAGTGACCCTCCCAAATCGGTAACTGAGAATCTTCGTAAAAAATATTTAGTATGCATTTACCCATGCTAAACGCTCCGATACAGTAGGCTCCGTGTGGATGACTGCCGACAATATATTTTTCGTGAGTACTGAGATCGCCGGTCTTTTCCAGAGAGATGGGAAAATATTCGGCAACACGGCGGAAAATTCTCCACCGACGCACCCAGACATTTGCCCGGCCGCCTTTTCTCGATGCATCATCATAGAGATACCAACATACGTAAAGTAAGGTGATTTTACAATGCCACGCCGAGAAATAAGATGTGGCCACCCAGTACAAAGCGGCATACGGCAGCAGGCCACAGACCAGGCGTAACGCGGACCACAGTCGAAACTTAGGTTTCATGGAGTCAGTTTCCGGCTCTCCGCTTTCCTCGGCTACTAGTGTCGACATCTTACACTACCACGCAACTCGTTAATCAAATGCAGCAGAAAAATAACAGGAAAAAAACCAGATCTGTAATTCCCAGTTACCGCAACTTAAACAGTTTCAAGGATTATTTCAGTTGCACGATTACACCTTCACGATGGACGAATGGCAATAACCACAGAAGACCCAAAAGGCTGCACAATCAATTACCCTAGGCCTAGTGCACAGTGAACATAGCTAAAATTTTAACGATCCATCGATTGAGGAGAACCCTTTAACAGGAAGACGCTACAATACGTACAACTTCGATGCACGTGCAGCCGATACGATATGTTCTCCTCACAATCACTCTGTAAAGTTAGCCACTGTTAGCGCTTCCAAAATCTAACCATAAATGTGAAAGGATACGGCAGACGCCGCGTACCAGACATTTGTTACTTAATTAAAAACCCATGCTTTCTAGCGATATCTCAGTTACCACTAAAAAAGGAACAGGTAAATGCAATCTTATCTTAACGAATTACCGGCTACACTGTGTTCAGTACTGTAAATGGTACCTACGTATTTAACACAAAACTATGCCGGTGCTTACATTGTGTTATGCAAAGTTATGATTTCGATTGTCCTTATTTTGCTAAGTTTGTTTTACTGTTCTTATCCACTTGTATTACGGTACGTTAGTACAGGCATTATAAAATTATACTATCTATCGTTGACAAAATTTGATCACAAATTTTCGCAATATCGCTTCCTGCATATCCATATAATGTTATTACAACAAATACAATTGTAAATACAAAATCAGGCTTAAAGTATTACAATATTTCAATTAATTAGAACAAATAGTGTGATGTACGCAGTGATGTAATGATACATATATTATCAAGTACCCAGGCCGACAATATCGAAAGTATTTACACGAACGGCGTTTTGCAGCACCGGAGAAACATATTAATTCATTGTGCAGATAAATTCACCATGGCGGTCACCGGTCAACGCTCAAAATAAAACGAAATACAGGCATTTTCTGGTATGTGTTACGTGAAGCTTTTGCGCTGAGCCCGTTTTTCCAGCATTCGTTGCAGTTTCCAAGATTTTTGACCTGGATACAACGATGGTGCTCGGCCTAATGAACGGCGCTGTCCATGCAGTTGCTGACCGTATCTGTCGTCGTATGCCTCATCGTCGAAAGGGTCAACGCGAGATTCCGATGGAATTCGAATATCGTCATGCATTCTGGACTCTTTCTTCGAGTTTTTCATTAGCCTGATTTCCGGTGGGGATCTCTCTGTGCCATAAGGGTCCAGTTTCTTAACGTGGTTGGCATTCGTACCCACCTCGGAACTCCATTCCATTGCATCCTGTCGTCCACTATTTGCTGTGCGATTCCAGTCATCGTGATGGTCGCCACTCAATTCTCCAGTATAGAAGGCATAATCGTTGCGGTGGCGTACCGGCAGATTTTCAGTATAATCTTTTCTCTCAATATGCACCAAAGTTATGGTTTCTGTGGAAGACACAACGCCAATGTTTGTAGGTCAATTCTTTCAAAAGAATACAATATACTCTGTACTTCTACAGAACTGACGTAGCAAGATACGCATTTCATTACTTGTCATAGTTATTATAAGGTTACTAGTAGATATAGCTATTGTAAGTTAATTAAACTGGAACGAAATTTTTGTCGCGCGTATTTAAGTAATGGTAATAATAACAATGATGATAACAATAATGTGCAGCAGCTTAGCTCAGTTAGTTTTATCAGATAATATCATAATTCTAACCTTGTAACTACCTGGTACTGCCATAGACTGGGGAAGATTAAGCGGTTTTCTAGTAGTAGCAGTTGCGGGGGAAGAGATATGACCAGCGCGGTTTTCATCTTCCTCTATGGCATCTTCGAGGGATTGCAAAACGTTTGTGTTAGCCGATATGCCAAGAAAGGCAAAAAAAATCATGATACACAGAAGAGTCATAGAAGTAGCCATAATCAGAAAAACAAAATCTTTGCAAATGATGCGACTTAATCCGACACACCAGTATTAAACGTTTATGTTGCTGTAGCCAAATATTTTCGGTATTTCTCGACATAAGAATTGCTACGGTAATGACTTCATAAACGAGGTCAATGAGTTGTAACCAGATATACGGAGACAGGCGCGAGGCTCATGGCAGTAGAATTATAAAAAAGTCCGAAAAGAACAATTAGTTTCAAAATGAAACAAGAACATATTTAGTACCACGGCCATGCTATGCCATTTTGGACTGGACTTTTTTATTAGTACACATGATGCCCGCAATCGAAAAAAAACTGGAACATCGTGCACTATCAGCGGTTCGATGAATTCTAAACATCCATTTCAGTCTCGTTTGCATACTGTACAATGTACAGGACTGTTTTGAAACTGGACAGCTGTGATATCTGAATATAATAGTATGTTAGCGTAGGACTTCTTCGTGGTCTCCGTTCTGCATTGCAAAAGTGTATGCCCTTCTTTTCTAAACTTTTTAGCAGTAAACTACGTATGTTTATGCTTATACAATGTACGTATATGAACACACACTCAGATTTAAACAACAATGGACGATCCAGCGAATTCACTCAAAATCTGTTATGTACAGATACATAAGAAATATTTGCTCCACTAATAAGTGATAATGAAAATAAACACATCAATTAACCGTTGCAACAAAAAACGAGAAAAAGTTGATATTCCAACGTCAAAGATGTGGAATTTCGTTACAAAACTAAAAACTAGTTTTTACAATTATTAAGGATAATTATATTAAAGTTACGTAATTATTATAAATTGTATTAATTACATAATTATGTTAAATATTTCCACTGTTGTTTTACCACTATAATACGTACACTATACCAGTAAGTATATCTATAACATATGTACATAGACGAGTACTTACTACTCACGCAGCACTCACTGGCAGCAGCTGTTTATGCAAATCGCAGGTACGTTGTTGATTCGAAATAACTTAAGTATGTGCTGTATCTGTGTATCGTTTACGGGATCCAGAACAGACAGTAAACAAGCATTCATATTTCATGCGCAACCCCGAAAGGTGGGATATTACGGTGTCTGTTCCGCAGATCTTTTTAATAAAGCGACTTTTTTTAATAAAGCGACTATTTTTCCTGCATTTCTGACATCCAAATCCATGTTTTGTCTATCTGATATTTCAGCGGCCCAGACGACCTTTGGGATTTTGGAGAGGAGACGACCGTTCGAACTCTCACTAACAGAGTCTCTGTTTGCAGCCTAACTAAACATCTGCTCAAAATATCCAGAATGCCAGCGGATTCCATTATTCTGAGAACATTTAGTTTAGACAACTGCAGGCATTCAAGTTCATCAGAGAATCAACATTGGATTAACTTAAAATGTCGATCCCAGTGGAAAGAAGGTAGAAATGAAGATTCGACGCAGGTCGATGTCACTCAGGTATTCAACGATATGATTATATAGGCTTACTTTAATATTGATATTGATATGATTATATAGGCATATGATCATATAGGCTTACATATGCCAGCCGAATTTTGTTATTCAAATATAATTTAAGGTCAGTCTGCTTTCATGTAGATCACAATTCGTTCAGTATTTTAATTAAAAATTTACAACGTGACGCCATGTTGGACTTTGGTGTTTAATTAGTTGACTCGAAGCTCAAGAATAACCTTTCCACGGCAGAAAATTGCGCATGCTAATGAAGCTGCTGCCTCATAAATAAGAAAATTGGCAAATATGTGAATTTGCGATGTCTTCAGAAAAACGGAATAGGTTCTTACCAAGTTCCAAAGAAAAAAGCAGTCGACTCTGCGGCGATCATAAGGAAACCTTTCCCAGATCTACTGGATCGTAGCACAAAAGAACGTGCCTGCGTTTTTGAAAAGCCTAAGGGTGATCAATCAGCTATGACGCAAAAAGCACAAGACACGATGTTTAACAAACAATCGAATCCGGCACACAGAAAACACCACAACGGTTCGAAAACACTTATGTTTTATATCTGAATGAAATTATTGTCGATAGGTTTTTCTCGTACGTAATCGAAAACTTAAAAAATTATTTGAACGGTTATTGCAGATGAATCTAATAAACAGATACCGATCATCAAAAGCGCAAGTCCTGCTGTAAATCAAGATTTATCGTCAGATCCGCGAAGACACCGTTTAGTTGCGGCCGTTGCAGCGAGTGCCGGCACGACAATGATTCATGCCGAAGCTACGACATCTGATTTCAGGAAAGCAAAAAAAGTTTGTTACTCAAAACCGCGCTCTAAAATTCAGGACGATGGAACTGATACGGAAGTTTCTGCGCCTATGATCGGTTGCTCAATTACGCCCGCCAAAATTGTTGCTTCCACTGCTGCGAGCGCTGTTGTTCCTGTACCAGCATGGAGGCGCATTTTAAATATTTCTACTTCCGGAGCCACTGGACCATTGATGTCTACAAAAATGGAACCGCGTAACGAACCAAGTTCTCATGTTACGTTTAAACTGGTCAACACGGAAATAATGACAGATCCGCTAGAAGTCGTTCACGGTGCTGTGGGAACAGTGGACTATCGCTCCATTCCATACAATGCTGGAACAGACGGTGAATTTGGTGTTGCACAAAATACCAGCATTGTTATGCCTGATTTTAAGACGTCCAATACCAGCGAGGTTAATCTGGAACAGCAGAGAACACAATGCCATGATTCCATCTGTCCACACATTACAGGCGAAATCGCACAAAACTCTCCCAATGTGCAAACAAATTTTCCGTTGCCAACAAGTATACTAGGTACGCACATTTTTTTTTGTTGAAAAAACCGAAGAGATTGTAACCTCAAGTTCCTCAACAGTTATGCAGCTAGCCTTTGGATATGCACTTACAAGTTTATTAATTACAATGTTAATTGAAGGCGTCTCACCTTTTGTACTCGGTTTATGTAGTGCATTTACAGCTTTCATTATTGCGTCGCGGTCGTCACTGATTGTTAATCTTGCTCACCTCAGACACGTAATCCGTTTAGCTGAAGGAAGTGTAACTGACGCATTTAAATTTACTTACATGCTAAGAGATGGTTGTCTTTCATTTAAAATAGAAACACAAAAACTTTTTTTGATTTAAAAGAAAGGATTAGCACAAACAGAAACAAAAAAAGTTTCCTTTGATTAAAAAGAAGGATTCAAATTTGAATAGCCACCCCCGTACCTATATACCGTCATGAATGGCCATTTTCACGTAACCTATACAATTACCGAAACTTTAATTTAAGGAAATCCAATTTTCAGATTACACTCCGAATATTTTACTGCTTTTCTAGGCCAAATGCCGAATCGGCCGGTTTTAGATGAGGTACGGATTGGTGATACCATAATGATTAACGGCCGAAAGCGACTGGCACTCCCGCCCCTTCCGGCGCCGCCCCGTGGTGTTGATCTGGATTTTCTTCACCGTACATCACCGGAAACGCTCAGCGTAGACGGACAATTGAAATGGCTGGAACAGGCCATCTCAAGAGTCACCTATTTCTCAGAACTCTATCATTATCGTGACCGGGTCAGAAAATCGTACCTGCAACGGTTTCTTTAAACCCAAGCTAGTATCTTTGTGGAGAAGAGTGGAGAGCACCTGTACCGTATGTTGGTAATTTGAATTATGGGTGCTCGGCACTGCTCGCTCAAACACCTATTGAATCTGTAATTAATGCAGTGGCGCAAAGAAGTTTGTTCCGATTTGACCTTAATATCGTGTTGCATAATTATTATTTTATTTCTTATGCTAGGCTGTTCTTCTTCCAGCATTGTGTCTGTACAATAATACTGATAGCAGATGTTGACTTTGGTTTGCCCCTAATATTGCCAAATGTGGATAATACGAATAAGGACATTACCGCGTTCTAAGGTTCAAAATCATTCGAAAATGAAAATACTAGTACAGTAACAGTCAGGTAACTCACGTTACCAGACTGACCAGAATGACAATGGACGTACGACGCTATACTTGCTTACTGAGCGGATGCAATAACAACAGAAACTTACTAGTTACTTGTTGGTAAGTAGTACAGTATCTAAAAATTAAATTTGCATTGTTTACGTTTACTTAATTTTAGTGCAATCTGTCCAGGGTCAACATGAACTAATCATTTTATGCAAGGATCAAGAGTGCTAAAATTATCAATGTTAGCGAAGGTGCAGCCGCCCATGTCCGTCTGTTGTTGCTGTTTGTAACACTTCCGGTTTGACGTCACAGCAAACGATCATGCGCTTTTCGCTCGAGGCTGCTGGCTGCATTGAGTGCATTCCCGATTTTTAATTTGAATAGTTTTTTGCAGGAGATGAATATATTGACTCTGACTTTCATTTTTTGGGTGGATTTTTATGCGCGAAATCGTTAATGTCTAGTGCTGCTGTAATTAAATAGCAGCTACGCTTCATTGGCAGTTCACATTTATCTACCTCGGACGCTAGTGTTGACTTTCTTTCTGAAAATGAATAATCTGGGAAACGTCGTTAATGCCTCTCGTCGTGCGTGTTATTGCAATCAGTTCCAGACTGTACTCAGTAAAGTTCGTAGTGCCGTTAGAACACAGAAGCAGCAGAAGGACAAAGTGCTGCAGAATTTGAGTAAGTTTTATAATTATGAAATTTAATAAACTGTGTTCTGAACATAGAATTTTTATGTTTCAGCCGCGGAAAAAACTGCAAAAGTTTTTCCTTTACGTGGATTTGTCGGTCCTGCTGGCGAGCGCAACGCGGCCTGTCTCAAGAAAAATCCATCACTCCAGCTGTTTCTCGTTACTGCGCCGAGTCAGGAACTGCCTAGTGTATTCAACGGTATTAATTATCAGGATTCACGCTTGTCTGGGTTGCAAAACCAGATCGTGGTGGACGCGACTATGCCACCTCAGCGAATGGAACGATCTGCGGATATGCGCATCGAAACGGATCAAGTGGAATGTGTGGTGCAGGAATGTTCTGACAAAGCCCGTCAGAGTCTTTGTGATCTGTTTCCGGGAGGATTTCCCGAAGAAGCTCATGGAAAGCTTACGGCCGTCATTGTTAGCCATAAAACCAAGGTACAGTCAGTTCAGTGCATTGTCACATTTTACTGAAGTCTGGAAAGGCAAAGCCATACGAATTACGAATAGGCTGAGATTCGTCCGATTTGAACTAGAGATCAGTTTATATTATTCAGTAAAAATAATCTTCGAAGTGGCTGAAGCTGTTAAAATTATCACCTTCAAAATGTCGATTTGTAGAAGATTTCACGTTAGATTTTAGAAAGTACAGTACTACATCATGACTTCCTTTTGCGGAAATGGTAAACCCGCTATTTGAAATGCGTACTTCACCGTTTTACGTTGATTTTGTTTGCTGTTTGTAACAGTTTCTTTCGTTTTGTTGTCTTGCTTTTTTCTTAAGCCTTATTGACGGTGTTTGTGCTAAAAATGGTAATACATTCCAGAACGATATGAGTATATGGTCAACGGACATGGAATTGGAGCGTGAGGAACTGACCGCTCAATTCGTGGAGATTGCTAAGGAAATCGTGGAAGCCTTGAAAGAAAATAGTGTCTGGGGAGATTTCATTGACCCATCCTCCGGCCGTCCCTACTTCAGCCCTTACACGAATTCCACCATGTTCGAAACGGATGACCGGTACAGACATTTCGGGTTTACGGTGCAGGATCTTGGATGTTGCAAATGCTTAGAGCATCCTATTTGGGGCCCCAATGCCTTTGTGGGTTGCATTCTGACGTCAGCATCCACTAGCCATCCGATCTTGAAAGAAATCCTCCAGGCTCATGTGGAATGATTGCAACTGTATCAATGTTACTCGATTGTTGGTTCGGGAAAGAGTGATTACCGGTGTAATATTTTTTGTGCTATTTCAGCCTATTTGGATAATTTGGTTTTAACAGAGCTTTATAATGATACGGAATATTGTACGATTTCGTTAGAAATTTCGCAGGTTGTTAATCTTACCATAAGTTCATGGTCATATTCAGAAGTAACAGAATAGTAAATTTCATTAAGTAATTAGCGCTAGACGTTCTCCTGTATTTACCTCGTAGCTCGCTTGTGTTTGTTCTCTGCTTACAAGTTAGGGAAATGTACGGTGACGTTATGAGAAATATGAATCTTCGTTAATTAAACCTTACTTACTGTCGTTTTCGGGGTCTTTATGTTTATTTGACACTGTAATAATAACAGCCGCGGTGCGCATATAAGATAAAAGCGATGACAGTTACCATTCCGATTATGCTAATTATTGTGGATAAGAAGTTCAGGGAGGTTTTGACGTTAAAACCGGTGAAAATGTTGGCTGAATGCAGAATCAGCATTTGAAGACATGCTGATCACGAAAATTGTTTGTTAGAAGCCACTCTAAAACACGTGCCCTGTCTGGAAATCAGCATATAAACGTGCAACGGGCAGTTTGATCAGAATGCGCACGTCCTGGATTTACGTATGTTAAAAATGGTGTCCTTTAGATTGTGCGCGCTGCTAGCTCTTGCGGGAGTAGGGTGCATTTATGCTCAACCCCCGGTTTCCTCTAGTTCTCCTTCACCTCCGCTGAGCCCACCACCACCACCACCCTTTGTAGGAGGCCAAGCGGGGATATTTAACGGTGCGCCTGCGCTACCTCTTGCTCTCCCGCCTCCGGGCGGTTCGGTACCAGAACCACTATTGCCGCTTTCCGGAACACCAGGATCGGCACCTCCTCCACCACCGCCAGGAGCACCCGTTCCGCCGCCATTTGCTGGAAGCGGCGAAAGCAGCAGCTGCAGCGAAGAAGAAAGCGGCAGCGAGGCTGCCGACGGACCTGCCGACCACCCCGGCTTTCCAGGCTTTCAACCGAATTCTCATGGAAAGCCAAATCCTGGAAAGGTCCTTCCTCTAATCGTTTTAAAGAAGATCATTCGTGGTGATCCTTTAAAGATTTCACTCCAACACGGAAAGAAAATCAAGTTTGAACAAAAAGGTCACAAAGGTCATCCTGGAAAGCCACAGCATTCCGGGGAATCTCGAGAGCACCATTCCGGGTCCGGTGCTGTTGCACACCAGCGACCTCCTCGTCCGAGTGGCAATCGTGCAGCCACGATCAGTAATGGGCCGTCAATGCAAAATCCGAGTGGACCTAGTTCATTTCAGCCAGCTGGATACGGGTACAATCCTTATGGTTATTATGGATATCCCACTTTTAATCCGTACGGGTATCCCCAAGCTGGTGGCCAATATGGAGTTAATCAATACGGATACAACCAACCTAGTGGTCAAAATGTATTTAACCAAGCTGGCAGTACCAGTCAAAACGGACTGCGACCTCCTCCAGGTCCTTTTGGTCCACCTCCTCCAGGTCCCTTTGGTCGACCTCCACCACCTGGCCCACCGTTTCCGTATGGTCCTCCTCCTCCCTGGGGACCACCTGGGCAAGGACCGCCCGTAAACCCTAGCATGCCACCAAATGGAGCCGGCGCCGGGACTAACCCAGTTAGCCCGGTCAACCCAGGTCAAGGTCCAGTGAATCCGACCAACCCCATTAACCCAGTCGGTCCCATTAACCCAGTGAATCCGACCAACCCCACTAATCCAGTCGGTCCCTTTCCAGTGAATCCGACCAACCCCATTAACCCAGTCGGTCCCATTAACCCAGTGAATCCGACCAACCCCCTTAACCCAGTCGGTCCCATTAATCCAGCGATTTCGGCGGATACCAATCAGCCAACTCGTGCCAAAAGTTTTGATTTCGGTGGCTGATCGTTGAAAAACCGTTCTCATGTAATTCAGCCTGTTGACTTGCAATAATGACGGTGTTAATGAATGATTAATGTAGTTAATCATAGTTAATTGTGGGCCAATATCCATCCCATTTCTTGTTTATGGCTGTTCGTCAGCTTTCATTGGTTGCTTTGTTTCTTGAGAGATTGAGATTCTGAGCGGTTTCTGCGCTGCTGAAGTGTTGGTGTGTTCATTTGAAATCATTTCTGTAGTTTGGCAGTGAATTTTTTCTTATCATGCAAACTGATTGGTATAGTTATTCCTCACAGCAAAACCGTTGTTTCAGCCGGCTACGCGGCCGGTATTTGAATGACCTTTTCTTAACTGCTTGTTTAGGTTACGATAAATCGTTTGATCATCCTGTTTTTGTCTTGGTAGTTGATGAAAATTGATTTTCGAAATCGCAGTAAAGTACTGTAATTGCTTCTGTATTGGCGGTTGCTCTGTTCTTTTAGTCCGGCAAATTGCCGGTTGCTTCAAATGCCGAATCATATTTGTCTGCATTCAGGTTATCCTTGTATTTGTACTTTGTGTTCTTCTGATATAAATGCAAATCAAGTTGTGACAGATTTGGTGCACCTTTATTCATCTGATTTGTATGATCTTCCTGCGCGATTTTCTACCGCAAATCTGATTCTTAATCGTTTTTTACGTTATCATCTCCGAAATTTAGGCGTATCTGATTCGACCGTTAATGTTATTTCCTCTGGCGTTGCTTCAATTCTCCATTCTATTTTGTCTAACGGCTCCGCATAATCGTGTCAAAAAATGTCTGATAGTGAAACCTTGTACATGCTGAACTCTTCGGAGATTGATGAGTTTCCCAGTGAATCTGATGGCCTTGAGTCTGTTTCGTCTGAGTCGTCCCGATCTTCATCCCCGTCGCCCGAAACGGCTCCATCTTCTGCACCAGTCTCTGCTCGTGAGCGTTCAAACGCGCCAGCCGCAAAGTCCACTCGTCGTCGTCGTCCACGTAAGAAGAATGCACATAAACGTCCTGATCCTGATATTGTTGCTTTACAACGGGAACAAAAATTACTGAGTGACAAGCTTTCGCTGGTATTATCTGGAGCAGCCAGTCAGCATAGCCGCCATTCCCCTTCTGTGGTCGTCATGCCGCATCCGCCTGCTGATCGGTTGCCGTCTTCTAAGCGAAACGTAATTTTTGATGAAATCTCATCTGATGCGGTTGTCCCTGAATTTCTTCGTCCAGTTTCAGATAAGCTTGTGCCCAAACTGCAGGATTTACATGAATTTATCGACTTAAGTGATTGTTTGCCTGAAAATTGCACTTCTAATGTGAAGCCCATCACACGATAATTTGATAATCGCACTGGGCAGTTGCTGCAATGTTACACAGCTCGGAAGGTGTCCATTTTTGATTTTGATTCTTGGTTGTCTGGTTTCAACGTGTTTGCCGCTTATCGTTCCCATTACTTTCCCCATCTGGCGCCACACCTGTTTCGATACATAGATGTCATCAGAAATCTCTCGAAGAATTTTGATTCGGTTCTGTGGCTTGAGTATGACTCGCAGTTTCGGCTGTTGATGTCTACTCGCCCGGACAATTTTCTAATGTGGGGTGAGTTGCACAACTCCTTGTTCCATGAATTTGTGCTGATTAAGAGTCGCTCCGCTGCGCAGCATCGTTTTAACCGTGCGGATAACCGCTTTGCTGGCCCTTCTACATCACGCCAGGATACTGTTCGTAATGACGGGCCCTTTCGTGGCGGCCCCACCTCGGGTGGGGCTGACCAGGTCTGCTTTGCCTTCAATAACGGCAACTGTCGATACGCCATCTGCCCCAGTGGACGACAGCACATCTGCCTCATCTGTGATGAGCAGCGTCACGGGAAGTGGAATTGTCCAAGGCGCCGCGCCATTAAATCCAGCCATTCCAATGGCGCCTCAGACGCCGTTAAAGCCTGATGTCTTCCGTAAGTACCTTGCCAGCCACCCGGATCGGCATTTTGTAAATGATTTATTACAAATTCTCGACTGCGGTGCGGATATTGGTTTTCGTGCAGCACACCGTTCTCGTATTACACCTAACGCACAGTCTGCCCGTTCTCATGCAGATGTTCTAACTGGAGCCATTCATAAAGAAGTTATGTTGGGCCACACAGTGGGCCCATTTTCTCATCCTCCCTTTATTAATTTTGTCTGCAGTTCGTTAGGTGTGCGTGAGAAACGCACTGGTGGGCATCGTATAATTCTCGATCTTAGTCGGCCTGTAGGTGATAGTGTTAATGATGGCATCAGTAAAGAAGATTATTCACTGACTTATTGTTCTATTGATGATGCGATTCGGATTATCATTTCACTCGGGCCTGGATGTCTATTATGTAAACAAGACATTAAGCATGCCTTTCGTTTAGTTCCCGTCCGTCCTGAAGATTATCATCTTTTGGGTTTTAAGGTTGGTAAATACTATTATTTTGATTGTGTTTTGCCTTTCGGTTCCCGCTCTTCTCCTTATTTGTTTTGCATGTTTTCTTATGCTCTTCATTGGATCTTTAATAATCTGTACAGTTTTGAAGATTTTGTACATTATTGCGATGACTATCTGTTTGTTTTTAAATCCCCGTCGTTAGCCTCGAAGTATATCGATTTGTTTGTTGCATTAACTGCAGAGCTTGGTATTCCTCTTGCTCTTGATAAAGCCGAAGGTCCATCCACTAAATTACCATTTTTGGGTATTACTGTTGATACTGCATCTCAAACTGTGAGTCTTCCAGATGGGAAGTTGTTTGAAATTGTTGGTCTCTTAAATTCTTGGTCCGCTCGTTCTTCGTGCACTCGTAAAGAGCTGCAAAGTTTAATAGGCAGTTTGCAGTTTGCTGCACGTTGCGTGCCAGCTGGTCGGTTATTTACTCGTAGAATGATCAATCTGCTGTCTAGTGGGTCGGTTACTGGATCTATTAATCTTTGCGCTGAGTTTCATGCTGATTTGAATTGGTGGAGAGAGTATCTTCCTAAATGGAACGGCACATCATCGTTTATCTGTTCTGATTGGTTAACATCAGATGTTTTGAACTTGTATACCGACGCTTCTGCGGTTACGGGCTTTGGTGGATATTTTGACGGCCGATGGTTCTGCTCCCGATGGCCGGAGTCTGTTTTGAAAAATAATCTGTGCATCCAGCTTTTGGAATTATTCCCAATTTTGATTGCTTGTACGATTTGGGGATCTCACTTTAGATGTCGTCGTTTAATTTTTCACTGTGATAATCGTTCCGTCGTTGATGCGTGGAAATGTCTTGGTTCGAAAAATCTGACGATGTTGCATTTGATGCGCAAGCTGCTTATGTCTGCAGCTGTTGAAAATTTTACTGTTAAAATCGAACATATTGATGGTTTTGATAATTGTATTGCTGACGCTTTGTCACGGTTTCAATTTGATCGTTTTAGGTCGCTGGTACCATGTGCATCACTCGATCCAGATCCTATTCCCGATTTGTACAGCGATCTACTAATACGTTAGTTAATCATCTTATCCTAAACCATGTCTCTCCTGCTACCCGCCGCGCTTATAACTCTGCTTTGAATCAGTTCATCAAGTTTTGTCGTTGTAAGAAAGTTGCTTTTTGTCCTGCTTCTGTTTCTACGGTATTAGCTTTCATAGCTTTCCAGTTTGCTAAAAAACGTGCGTTGTCCACCGTTCGGGTTTATCTTGCTGCCATTTCTGATCTGCATTGTGTGAATAATTTGCCTAATCCTGTGGATAATCCTTCTTGTACATACGCATTTAAAGGATATGCGCGACTGCATCAGCAAATTGTTGATTCTAGACTTCCTATTACGCCAATATCCTTGTGCTGATTAAAAATCAGCTGGTTGTGTCATCATTGTGTGAGTTCGATAAAATCATATATTGGTGTGCGTTTGTTATGATTTTTTGTGGTTTCTTGCGAATTGGCGAACTGCTGGCATTGAATTTTGAAGATATTTGTGTTGCTAAGGATTCATCCCTGGTCTCTTTTCGATTATCTCATTCCAAAACGGATCAGCTTCGCCGTGGACATTGGGTTCACTGTGTTCGCGCCTCTGGCTGCATTTGCCCTGTTCGGGCTGTACAGAAATGTCTGCGTGTTCGGTTTGCGTCAGGTGCACATTGTGGTCGATTATTTGTGGACAGTGCTCATCGCATAATCTCCCGTTCCATGTTTCTGTCGGTCCTCAAGTATTGCCTTAGGAATCACCCGAATGTTAGTCGGTTCAATACACACAGTTTTCGAATTGGTGCTGCGACTACGGCCGCCAGGAGAAATGTTCCTGCTTATCGGATCAAGGAGGCTGGGAGATGGAAGTCCGATTGTTACCAGCGTTATATCCGTGATGTGCACGTGAATCCTGCTCTTTTTTGATGTTTTTACTGGTCGCTGATGTCGTTCGTGCTGTTGTTGCCGGTTCGTTGGGGGTTGGTTGTTGGGGGCTGACGGGCCTTTGCCCAGATGTCTTCCAGTTCCGGCAACACCACGCTATGTTTGTTCGTTTAAGCGCCCACAATTAATGAATGATTAATGTAGTTAATCATAGTTAATTGTGGGCCAATATCCATCCCATTTCTTGTTTATGGCTGTTCGTCAGCTTTCATTGGTTGCTTTGTTTCTTGAGAGATTGAGATTCTGAGCGGTTTCTGCGCTGCTGAAGTGTTGGTGTGTTCATTTGAAATCATTTCTGTAGTTTGGCAGTGAATTTTTCTCCCTCCCGCCCTTTCCCTTTGCATTGACTTTGTTTTTATGAGTGTTTTTCTGTGGCATTTGTTGTGGTGCTTCCATCCTGTTGTTGGTTGTTCAATAAAGGGGGGCTGACGGGCCTTTGCCCAGATGTCTTCCAGTTCCGGCAACACCACGCTATGTTTGTTCGTTTAAGCGCCCACAATTAATGAAGCAGTGTCATTGATCCATTATATTACTGTTTAAGTTGAATAAAATTCTGTACGCGCGAATTCATTTGTAATGTTCTATACGAATACGGAATATACAGGCTTTGATATCATACAATATGGCACCTACACAGTAATCAGCAGATAGAAATGCTCACGAAGTTTCTAATTAACCTGACTGTCGAAAAGCAACACAAGTCTGTCACATGCTCGAAACTTTATCAAGCAGCTTTTATCAGCGGTTTATGGACTATCTGAGTCGCAATCGCACATTAATTTATTTTAAAAATATACAACTTTCATCGGTGATCAGTCCGATAAAATTAAGTTGCGGCGCCAGTACCCGTCAGTTCTTGAATGGAGTTGGCCGACGGCCCGACGCATAAAGGACCAAACAGGAAAAGCACGCGCTACCGAAGTCTTGTGGCATGCAGCGTATAAGATTAATCATTAATATAACTATAAGACATAAGTGTAGAAATTCAGCACGGAAGTGCGGCTTTTGTTCTGGGAACTGTTGGTTGTTCACAAGAGCTAGAAGAGCTGTTTTATTTGTTCTACCAATTGGATTTTTGAGTTCAAAGTGAAAACAGCATTTATTTGTAAAAGTTTGAAAAGAGCGATGATAAAAAGGTCAAACAGCTGCTTTCAGCGGCCAGCGGGTGCGAACCGCGAAGCGCGGCAAGCTGTGGATACTGCAAGTTCATCGAACAACTTCTACCATATGATTGTATTGCACTCACTGGCCACTTGTCAGTATAGCAGAATGCTATCACAAAAAAACTCTTGTCGGAGAAGAGGGTGTTCGGATAGAATTCAGAAAACAGTCATTCTTGGAAAGCTAAAAATCTCCTTCAGTATGTCGGCAACCAAATAAGCTGAACGACAATGAATGAATGAAATCATCGAAGTATCTGCAAATAATTTAGTTTATAATTATAAGCATGCAGTACCGACAAGTGCTTCTACGGATCACCATACGCATTTGCCGTAGAAATGTAAGAACACTACGTGAATTTTTTTACAAATAAAACCAAACGTCAGACAGCCTAATGCAAAGTCAGCATTTAAAAAATAATTGCGCTGACGATGGATACAGCTTTTTTTATTGCTCACTCAAAACACGCCTGTCATATCCGTAATACGGTTTTTATATATAGATATAACCACCGTATATTGCACAGGTACGAAGTCCCAGTTTTTGACACGTGCGTTTCCTTTTGGCCAGTTTTAATTATTTGAAACTTGAAAATGATCCGCATGAAACCCATAAGCAATCTTTATTCAGCGGTGTTTCTTCTTATAACTAGTCATGTTTTAGGCGAATCAGTCCAGTTGATGAATATAGCATCTAACCGGTTTATGGTGCTTGCGAATCCATTTGGAGGTCAGGCAAACAATGGGGGGCCTCCCCATTTAGGGGTTCCACCACCTCCGCCTCCTTTATTCAGTGGTCCACAACAAGAACAACCCGGGAACCAGCAGCAATTGGGAAGACCAGTGCCGTCCGGTCAGAATGACAACCAACAACCTGGAGGTCAACAGAAACTCGTAGGGTCATCTGCCTTGCTGCCTTATCCTCCTCCACCGGGTGCTGCACCACCATTTAGTCCATCCGGTCAGCCTCATCAGTGAACTTTCTCCAGGTGCACAACGGAATGGTAATTTTACCAATCCTTATGCTGGTAAACCGGAACAGCTAGCAAACTGGTCTACCAGGATAGTTCTCACTCTCACTCAAGATCATTAACTGGCAAAGCAATGATGTGATACGTTACAAATGTCTATAAATGAATAATTAATATAGTTAATCATAGTTAATTGTGGGCGAATATCCATCCCATTTCTGGTTTATGGCTGTTTGTCAGCTTTCATTGGTTGCTTTGTTTCTTGAGAGATCGAGATTCTGAGCGGTTTCTGCGCTGCTGAGTGTTGGTGTGTTCAGTTGAAATCATTTCTGTAGTTTGGGCAGTGAATTTTTCTCCCTCCCGCCCTTTCCCTTTGCATTAACTTTAATGTTTTTTGCACAGTATATTCTGCTTCTGTTGCATCTCTTGCGGTGGCATTCATCATGTTGTTGTTTGATTAATAAAGGGGGGCTGACGGGCACTTTTCAAGGGCATCCCTGGGTGTTTTAAAAAAAGGATTTACTACGGGACTACAATAATCAAAGATGGGTAGGACAAGAGCTTTGAATAAACATATTAGCGCCGCAGAATCATAACTATCGAACATCGAAAACAGGTAGCCAATTCGTTTGCGGACTTTCATACACAGATTACTGGTATGTTCACTCCAACGCAGATGTCTATCAACAAACAACCCCAAATATTTTGTAATATTTTTCTGTTCAACCTCTACGTTGTTCAAATAATATTTAGGGACAGATGTCAAATCACGCTTCAAAGAAAAACGTATAAACACAGATTTTTTTGGATTAAAACTTAGGTTTTTCTTCGCTGCATAATCGGAAACCGAATTAACATCTTCCTGTAACTTTTCGCGATCATCGTCCCCAACTATTGGCCTACATAAAAAAACGTCATCTGCAAAGATAAAAATTTTACTTCCATTAGGCAAGACAGCTGGCAGGCCGCTCAATTCGCAGTTGAAAAAAATAGGGCCAACTATGGATCCCTGTGGTACGCCGCTGGTTACAATACCGCTCTCAGAAACCTTGCCATTTACAACTACCACTTGTCGCCGATGCGTTAAATAGTTGCTGAATAGCCGTACGACATCAGGAGGTACGGAGAACGAAGCGAGTGTTTCAAGCAGTGATGCATGGTCCACTCGGTCAATCGCCTTTGAACAGTCAAAAAACAGGGCATCCACTTCGTAGCCACTTCCAATAAAATCTTTTATGAATTTTGTAAAAAGCAACGACTGTAGTTCTGTACTTCTTTTTGCTCGATACCCAAATTGATTATCACTCAACAACCCGTTAGTTTCTAGAAAAAACGTTAAATAATTAGCCAAGCATCGTTCGAAAATTTTGGATACAGGATGCAAAATAGCAATTGGACGGTAATTATTTAATACAGTTTGATTACAAGAAGATTTTGGGAGGGGCGAAATAAAAGAAGTTTTCCAGACTGACGGATATATGCCGCTTTGAATACAAACATTGAACAATTTAACCAAAGGAGCAACAATCTTATGCCCGCACGCCTTTAACAAAGAGTTTGAAATTTTAAAAAGTCCCGACGAAGAGGAAAAAGAGGTTTGACCCATTGCACGGGTGACATCGTCTTCAGTAATCACAAAGGTCACGGAAGTGTCTTCTGCTGGTAAAGTACCGGAACAGTGTCTTAGACAAACGTTTTGAGATTCCAAAAACAGCTTGTTAAACGCATTCGCTTTTTCAGCATCAGAAATCAGAATTTTACCATCCGGAGTTTTAATAGGAGGAAACGGTTTTCGATCAACTGTACGCTTAACATACTGCCAAAATTTTTTTGGGTTATTACGTGTAGACGTGGCTACTTCAAGAATATTATGCCTTTCATAGGTACGCAAAAGAGCATCTAAATTTTTCGACGCAGTTTTCCACAGCCGTTTTACGCGTTCTTTTTCAACGGGGAAAATTTCTTTCAAAAACTTTTTATGCAATCTGTCGCGAGCATTAACTGCCTTTTGTATTCGGGCGGGGTATTTTCGAATTTTTTTAGAGTTATGTTTTCCAAACCGAAAAAAAAGTTCAGCAGTTTTAATCAGCGTTTGGTCAAAGCGTGAAGCTAAAACAGAGGGATCGGGATCAATCAGAAAAGCAGACCAATCAACAGAACCTAAAGCATCCTGAAAGGGCACGATTTTAGCAGACGGTATTTTCCACGTTTCCTTCAGATACTTTGTCTCAACTAAACAGGATTCGGTGTGCAAGCAAAACTGAAACGCAGAGTGGTCATTTGTTGCTGAAGGAGGCGAAATAATTTCAACATCCGTAACTAAACGATAAGTGGAAACGAAACAAAGATCCAGGATGTTGTTTTTTCTAGTTGGAGAATCTATTATTTGACGAAAATTGAATTCTTTGAGCGCTTTCAGCAGTTTATGAGAAGTACAGCTAGAGGCGCTCATTGCACTCCAGCAAATATCCGGTAAGTTGAAATCGCCCATTAGAATAAGTTTATTACGTAGTTCAACTGGAAATTTCTCTTGTAGATGCTCAATTAGGCGAGGGATAACAATAGTTTTAAAAATTGGTCGTGCATAGAATACACCAAAAATACAATCGAGCGAAGTTGACTCTACGAACAAAATTTCCAATTCATCACACTCGAGGTCAGACCGTCTTTTTCCACTAAACTTATGAGACATTACTAACGCCACTCCACCAAGATTGTCATCGAAAACGTCAGATTTCCGCCATTTACGAAAAACATTAAAATTATTCAAGTTGGCAAACAGATTATCGTTATAATCTGCTCTGTCAAAAGTTTCGGTTAATGCGGTGATATCTGCCTCGGAACAAAAGTGTTTAACATTACTGTACTTACACAAAATTCCGTTTATATTACAGCATCTTATTTTAACTTTTTGCAAATTTTCAATAACACAATCAGAATTGGTAACATAATTAGTCACATCAGCAAACTCTACCCGTTTTTTGAGCTCCCGGTGGGTGCCACACCATTTTCGGTAACTTGACGACAAGGTGATTTGCAAAACTTAGCTACATGACCGTGTGAGTTTAAGCAAATTAAAATTATCTTGCTGTACGGCAATAATATAAGCGGTATCCAGATTCTACTCTAGATTACTCGTAGTGTCCAATACGGCATTTGGGGTAGTGCTGCTCCAGTGCGTATGTTTCATGGTCAGCCACTTCTCGCATCAGCTATGCCGCATTTAAACCCTTGTGTTATTAATCGTAAGTTGAACATTGGCAGCTCACTTTATTAATCACTTGAACTAATGCTTTTACTGCAAATATATATATGTGCCACTACAATGGCTTGCTGCGTAAATCAAGTTGGAAAAATTAAATTGTTTCGATTTGATGCCAAAATAATGAATTATCACTTCGACGGTGAGTGGCTCTTCACGTAAGCACTTCCTGATTATGGATCATGCCAACTTGTGGTAATTCATAAAGCCCGCGATCCGATCGAAATTCAGCTAAGTAAAGAGTTTCAAACGTTTAATTATTTCTGTTTCGCTTTTTATTTGTGTAGAATCATTGTTAAACATGAAGAGAGAGTCTCTGCTAAACATCGTACTTCTCGTAGGATTAGTGCTGTACTCACCGGCCAGTGCAGTACAGAATTCGAAGCCACACTGGCAGCATTCCCTCGTGCAGCTCAACAGCACAACATCGTTTGATATATCGGCGAATTTCACTATCTCTCCACTTATTGCAAACAATGAAAATACAACCGTTGGAATTATTATTCCTGCCATAATTCATGGCGAAAGCCAGACCAGCGAGCCAGCAGCAAGTGACCTTTTGGTCGGCTCATCTGCTGGAAATGAGCCATCTCCTGGTGATGCAGATGTACCGTCCAGCATAATGAGTCATGCTAACCAGCCGCCACCGCTAGCACATCCGTTATCCCTACCCTTTGGCATGCATCCTCTGCCATTCCATGGCGCAATGTGGCCACGCCCACCGCATCCGTTTTTTGGACCTGGTATGTTCCCGCACGAACAGCTCCAGTCGTTGAACGGTAAACCATCTGCCTCCATGGTTGAACCAAAACATCTCATGGGACATGACATGCGTAGCGGCAAGGGCAGAAGTATTGGTCATGCTATTCCTAAAAGGTTACTGGTCGAAGGACAGCCGCTAAAACTCTCGCGCTTTGTGGACGGTAAGGAGATGCCGCTTAATCATCGAGCTGGAAGTAGACTGCGGGGAAACAGAAAGTCTATTGGGACCTATGTCATTTCGGGTGTAGAGTCAGGGCATGCTCGTGCAGCACTAAAGGGCGTTCTGCCTGGTAAGCCTGTCCCGGTAGGCGACCCGCTCTTCGCTAGCCAGAATGTACTGACGGGTCAAACTGTAACTGTACTTCCGGGAACGGATATTGATCCCACCACCCAGCTGTTTGCGACGACTACTACTGTCAGTGCCATTCCGGAGAAGCCGGTGAACCAGACAGTGCAGTCTTTCACCGTATCCGAAAACTGGTACAATGCCAACATGACAACTACTGCCATTCCTGGAACGACACGAAACATCACCGAAGATTATTTTAACGTACGATGGATAAATTAGCGGCCAGCTGTCAAACAGAGTTCTAGCCGGCATTGTATACTCAATTGGGTTTCACTTGTCAGGCGAATGATTCGACCATAATTACGCTTCTACCAGTTGCTTTCTCTGTTGATATTTTTCGGCAAATTTAAAAATAATTGCTAAATGTTTTGCGTTGTACATAGATGTAGAAAAAGTGTACATAAAATATCACGATCGCATAATAAAGCTGTATTAACTTTATACATGCTCGTAATAGCTGTGCGAAAATGGTAATAGCTGTGCGAAATCTGTCTTATTTTTATGAACTCGAGAATACTCTCTTCTAACCCAGAAACTCGCACAAAAACTCAATCCACACTCAATTTTTATTATGCCATCATAGTCGAACTTTGTGTAGTCCGATCGTAAAACGGTCGGCCGCAGCTCGTGTGGACCGAATTATGTGACAGTCATTAGGAGTAGTGACTAATTGCTAGCACGATGAAAATAATCGGCCATGATCAGGCGACGCAATAAATCCGACTAGGTACCAGGACCAGACAATCCAGTGCCGATTTTAAATGAAATTAAAGCGAAATTTTAAGCATATTTTTTCGCCTACCTCAGTCAAAAAAGTTAAGCCAGACGGCTGCTATCTAGGTAGCTGCTTGTACAAAACGTATGTGTATGTGTTTTATGTAACAATGCAAGCCAAATGCATGATCCAAATTGAAAACGAAACTTGTGCCTTCTACCACACATTTTGACAATAAAATAATTACCTCAGTTGTCAAGCACAGCAAAATAGCTTTTAAACTGACGTCAAATGAAACATGCAATATTCCTTTGGTTAATTCCGATCGCACACTCATGATGGCTTAGAACTGTGCTTACGGTTTATGTTCCGGAAAAATGTAACGAATTTGCATTTTTTCCAGCACCGTTTGCTAAGTTTTTCAAGTATGCTCAGCAGATTCATTACGCGTGGCTTCTTACTCTTGATTCAAGTAAAACTTAAATTTTATGCAAAACCAGCAGACGGCTTTTGTGACTACGGTGCGGTATACGGACTTTTCTCTATAAGGATGACCTTTCTGTGCGCTCTCTTGGCTGCCCTTCTGGCAAGCATAAAGCTAATAAGCGCCCAAAATGGCGTTGGTATTTCTCCTATAACTTCAACGGTAAACAGTTCTCCTCCAGTTTTTCACGGATCGCCATCGGTTTCTGCTTCTGGATCCCAAGAGTCTTCAGAAGAAGAAAACTCAAGCTTATCCCATGGCAAACACCATCCGCTCTCCGAACTATTTGGCGGCAAACATTCCAGAGACATCAAAAAGCATATCCGGAAAGCGTTGGGTCGGGCTCTGTTGATGAAGATTTTAACCGGTGCTCCAGTCACAGTGACTATCGAGGCCACCCAAAGGATCACCTTCGAACAGAAAGGTCACAAAGGCAAGCATCGACCTCATCACCACAGTAAACCTCATTCGCCACCCGTTATCGATCCAGCAACATGGACATTTGGCGAGAGACCTGCAGAACCGCCCCATGGAGGTTTCGTTCCTCAGCCGTTTTCGCAACAGATTGGATCCATTCCGGTAGAACCAGTTGTTGCACCAATGATCAACTCTGGATGGACAGGATATCCTCAGCCAGGCATTAGCTCTGTCCCAGCTTTCCCGGTTGAACAAATCCAAGGTATTCCTCAACCAGCTGTTGATCCGATCCCCATTTTCCCACAACCGGCCGTCGTCCCAGTTTTTAATCCAGTGCCACAAATACTGGTTGCGCCTACAAGCAGTGATGCTCCACCAACTTCCGTCTCGACTGTTTCACCTTCTACGACAGCATCGGCTACCACCAAACCTACAGGAACCGAGGCATCAACCGGGACCACTGGAAACACTACTCCCTCACCTACAACCCCCATGTCCACAACATCAACGGTACCTCCGACAACTTCTCGCTCTTCATTAGCTACCAACTCCATGCCGGTATCCTCCCAACCCGTAACAAATTCAAATGCACCTAATTCTACCACTGCTGCCGTCTCCCCACCGTCTCCAAGCTCAAGCGCAGCACCGACGACAACCACCACTGCAAAGTCCACCAGTACTGTCCAACCACAAGTTGCACTGAGCCAAAATCAAGCGACGACGAAACCAAGCGACAATAATACCACACGACCAGCAACACCAGCTGCGCCGACATCATCACCGTTACCTCCTACAACTACAACAGCGCACTCTGCGTTAGTGACCGCCAACTCTACGGCGTCATCTCGGCCGGTGGCCAGTTTGAATGCATCGTCCACCACTGCTGCAGCATCCACAAGCACAAGCGCAGCCCCGACGACAACCACAAGGCCTCCAAGTACTACTTCGACAATATCGAGTCCCTCGACAAGGACAACACCGCAACCCACCACGAGCAGCACCACCACCACAAGTACTACCACGACATCAACGACGCGTTCATCAAGCACTAGCACAACGCCTTCAACTACACCACGAACGTCCAGCACTCCGGCGCCCACGACGACCTCAAGGTCAACGTCCACGACCACCACCTCGACTACTACTCGCGCACCGAGTACCACCACTGGCAAGTCCAGTCCGGCAACCACACCCAAACAGCCTGGTCCAGCAATAGCATTAGCCGCTAAGCCTGCCTCAAATGTCCCTAAACCATTCTTTTAGATATTATGCGGCAATCAGGATTCCATGATGCATGATTCTACTTTGGACGCTTCCTTTGTAATATCCCAGTGAAAAAGGATTAATTAGTTATTGTCTGGTTTGATCTGTTACCAAAATCCACACTACGAATGTACTGGTCTATTTATTAATTTCTGAATAAAAAAACAGCACAAAGCCACATTCGGTTTAGTCACTTTAGTGTTAACACTACGTACCAGTCAAGATTCAGTTACGATACAGAGACGATAAAAAATTCATGCATTCGTCATAATTATTATGATGCACTTTTCGGATCGCATGTACCGCAGAGCAGAGCTGCCTAGTACAATCAGTGAAACGTTTCATTGCCTACGAAAGGACTGAATGTTGTTTGATTGTCCGTTGGAATAAAGGCGTTCTTGGGAAACAGGACCACTTTTTCTGCGGCACTTTCCAGATCAGCCGCGGTCACTGGGAATTCTTGATCTTCGTCCTTCAGTGTATTGCCCTGGTCCATTGATGTGGCAACTTTTTCGATGATCACTACAGCCGTCGTATTGTGATCCGGAAATGCGGTCGTGGAGGAGAACAGGGAAACAGTTTCTGCACGCAACCACAAAATCGCTGTTAAGCGCATGAAACGTAACATTTATATTTACGTAATTTTGTAGCAGTGGTGTCTGGTTAATACTGTGATAATTATGAATCGAAATACAGTTCACATTTACAAAATTATGCAGACATACTTTTTTTTAATCAATTACAAACTTATTTAAAAACCCCAATTAGACCGATGACGATGAGTAAAAGCGGATAATTATAACTACTTTATAAATTGTAATTAATTTTGACAGCTTTGGGACAAACAGGTTACAGTGGGAGCCTTTGATATGCATGCACGTAACCTCATAAATATACCGCTGATATGTATAGCCCGCAACCCGCAGTAATCTACAAAGAATTATTAAAATACGAGCGGTGGAAATTTTTGTCCACTAAAGACATGCTAGTTGTACAGTACTGTATTCAAGGAAACGTGCTCAACTTGCCTGTGCTCGTGTTTAAACTGGTGGAAACGTTTAACTCCACTTTCAGGGATGCATTCATCGCCTTCACTGTAGCGTTCAAGGGAAATGTTGGCACATTAGTGGCTGCTGCTTCAAATGTCGCGGTGATGTTCTCTACCTTCACGAAGCTAGTACTTGACGTAGAAACATTCTGTGCAAAACTGGTGGATTCAGATGAACTGCTCTTGTGGTTATTCCTTCCAGTTTTCTTTTGAATCTGTTTTGTTTCGTCGGAACTGGATGAGGAATCCTTCTTTAAAGCGGCAAGTGATGGCGCCAAAATCGCTTTTAAATCGTCGGTAACTGTTGTTGATAGATGGGAGTGCTTGTGGTGGCCGTCATGCTTATCGTGGAATTCTCGCTTGTAAAAACCACCTAAATAATATTTTCGTACAGTTGTATTATTGTTTTCAAGTTACAGCAAACGAGGCCTGTTGTGCTGATATATACATGTATATACAGTACTACAGATACAAGTTAAGTTCAGTACTGCGTAGTGCAAGGTACATATATCTATATACGCAATAAAGATTCGCTTCTGAATTTCTGACGTAAATATTGTGTTACAATTAGTATGCAGAAATAATATTGCAGCACTAGAATGATAAAAACTTATTTTGATCACAAACGGTTTAGTTGAATACTTTTCCTATAAAATAAATAAAGGTTACGCACGAGTGTTTTTAATTGCTGCAGTATCTAGCACTGATAGTTCTTAGTTTTTCGCTTACGCGGATTAGCATAATAATTGGTTGGAATTGCCACAGGAGAAACGTAAGTCTGACCCGCTAACTGGGCGACAGGAAACATCATTCCGCGCGGAGCCAAGGCAGAACCTTGGACCATGGTGCTCATTACTATTAACGAAAACATAGTTTTAAAAGTCTGGTAGCCGCTGATTGTTAGCATTACTGTAAAACTGCATCCCCGGTCAAAATTTATTGCTGTTGGAGTTATTAAAAACCACCGTTAGAATTGTACCGCTATACTGACGCCATTTATTTTCCATTTGAATACCTTGCGGAGCTGCGTAAAATGATGGATAGACCGGAAGTGCTCGATTTTGTATTGAAGACGCCAGCGGGATGACAGCACCATTAGGAGCGATGATTGAATCCTGTACGCTGACCGTATCCATTACTAGATTAACAAAATTCAATATACAGTATTTCACAAACTTCATCCATAATATTATATGGTCAGCGTCCTGCCACTAGGACGCACAGTACGTCCGTAAACATGAAAACATAATTAATGGTAAGAAGCAGTTACTTATGAGTACAGAGCAGGAATATAAAGCAGTTACTCTGACACAATTTAATTGTTCGACCAGACCTGAAGTCCCTTCGGGGTTGTCTGCTCTTGTGCCGTAATAATAATAATAATAATGGTAATTATCTGTACTAACTGCATATTAATAGGACGGCGGACACAATTTTATGCAAACTTGAATAGTCTAACTAGTACACGCCTTAGTAGAAAACCAAACCGTACAGCCGCAACAAATATATTTAGTGCCTATAATAACCTTTGTTGCGTTATTGCCCAATCAATATGCTTTTCCCGATTATTCAATTCAACGGTACCTTGAGGTTGGTTGATTACGGGCGTCACAACGGGTTGGACTTGGGTTTGCACGGAACTGGCCAGGGGGATTTCTTGACCGGATGGGGAAACAACTGTGTCTTGCACTTGCACAGTGTCAATCACTACATAAATACGAAAAAAACGATAACACAAAATGTATTTCAAATTACCACACAAAAAACCACCAAGCCAAAAATACGAGTATAACACCTTGCGGAACCGGAGCCACAACTGGAGAAACGACAGTATTCGATGAACTACCAACTGGAATGATGGCACCACTGGGATGCACAACTTCATCCTGGACGCTGACCGTGTCCACAACTATACGAACAATTTAAGCAGACAAATAACGAAATAACCCTGGAATTTTTAATATGGATAAACAGAGGCTACAAATTACAGTCCCTTCATACTGTGCAATTCGACAGCCTATTCACTGGTCATCTCTCACCAGTTTCTTTACCTTGTGGAGCATTCATTGCGCTGACAAATTGTCGTGCCACTCGTTGCGTGTTACTCGACGTAGCAACAGGAATTTGAGCTCCACCCGGCGTGATGATCGAATCTTGGGTTTGCACCGTATCCACAACTACAACAAACTTTACCTAATAGGCCCGAATGACCGAATCCCAGTTTGCCGGTGTCGTATTAATTTTTATTACTTACTTATTATCATAAGGTTAGATTCATTATCATTTTAAGTTAACTTTAATGTAATTATAAGGTTAAATATAATTACTAATGTTAATATTATTCAAACTTTTAACAACAGTACACATTCGTTCTTTTCGAAAGTACCAAACCATAACGCTAACTATAGAATCGAACACTGGCGGGCGCTGCTTTTATTGTCGCGTGCAGTACAACGTATAAAAATGCTTGTACTGACCTTGCGGCGCATTTGGAGCAACAGGTGACACTTGGGTGTTTGAGGATGTCGCCACCGGAATTCTGACACCATCCGGTCGGACGATTTCATCTTCGGTTGTCACTGTGTCCACCACAGCCTGTCGTTGTGATCCTAAACCAAAGCTGTTTCAGTTACTGAAAGAAATGGCAATAATGAAGATGGGTTTTAGAAAGTGATCCAGTCGCTATGTGATCCTGTAGTCGCTGTTTCCGCTGTACGGGTTAGAGGGCGTGTTGTGTTGCTGACGAAAGGATTACAGAAATTCTGCAGGTCGCATAATTTCGCGAGCCATAATTCTAAAATATATTACTGTGCCACTCTTACTTAAATTATTCGAATAAATTGGAGCGGTTGTCGCCAAAATGCATACGACGATGAAACCAACATTCAGTCCTAGCTGCTTTTTCGGAACCATCTTTATGGCTTGATTACAAACACAACTCCCGCTAACACAAGAAATAAAAATAAATATCAATTTGAAAAAAAAAATATCGGTTCGATTTTAATTTTAATTGCTTTACTTCACAGTGATCGAAACTCATAGAAGTCTTTGCGCCATTATATACTTGGAGGTACTTGGGTGGTTTCTCTTTGGTCTGTTCAGCCGAGAAACGATATCTGTAATCTGAAAGAGCATCTGAAGTACAATACAGGAGCCCGTGGAAGTTTGTTTTCTTTCATGAATATAGTCCAGACGTCGTGCTAATTAATGGTGAAAGATATTGAAGACGAAAGAGCTACGTACAAGTGCTGACCAGCTAAGAAGAAACTGATCCATTAGATTCCCGGAACTAGCACATGTTAACAGTAAAAATGTGACGTCTCGCTATTCGGTCGAATGACCTATTGTTCTTATTTTAATGCTCATACACGTTCTATGCTGATCAGTTACGAGTGTACAAATATTATGGAATAGCCAGACGCCATTTAAACACTGCATCTGTAAGCAAAATAACTGGGCGTGGACCATAAAGTGTTGAGGTTTTAATGGATTGCATATTTAGCAGCCTTTGGGTCTTACGAAACGGCGATGGAATTTACCTCGATGATCTCATCGATGAAATTTGACAGAAGCGCCAATGGACAATGCAAAACGTATGGGGCTTTTGTTTGGATCGAAATCGCACCAAAATCCACAACAAAAAAAGAATGAATATTATTATGTTCTCGTAAGTCGTACGTATTTGTACAGTATATCAACATTAACAGTAAATAACAGAGCGGTTTCTCAGGGTACGTGCCACTACAAAATTGGATATTAATAATATAGATTTTTGCGTAGTTTAGCAGTATGTAACTGTAAGGTACTAAGGTGCAAATTAGCACAAGTTTTTCTTCCAGTTTTGTTTCCACCTTTTTGTTTGTATCGGTCACGCGAAGTCCCTGAAATGATTGTACAGATATATGCAATAATGCGATGCGAGGTCCAATAAGGAACATATAACCTAAGAATACCGAAATATAAAACAGAAGATACTCTCTTTATCTAGTAGACTATATACACAATCGAGCGCGCTGCTCCATATAAATAACGTTAAACGTTAATAACTGTGAGATGCTCCCCTATATTATCCATCTTTATGGCACCAATAAGGAACACTGCACGAGGTGGCCCCACTTCTCAGTCTTGGCTCAACAAAAAATTCCGGTTGCCAAAAACCGGATGTGCAAAATTACGAATATGCCACATATGCCGTAAACAGTTTGAATTCTTGTGAACACTGAAGTCCCATCTTGAACACCTTGAACCGGGCGACTTTTGCCACTGCCTAAATGCATCAAAGACAACATTGTCTAGTTAAAAAACGTTGAAAAATCATTATGAACGTATAATGTACGGCATTCTCTAAAGAAACCGCGGCTTCCATATTGAGAGGATCTTCCACTTACTACGCACTTTGTAAATATCCTCGTTACACAACGCTTCAAAATTCACATGCCGGCGAGTGATGCACAACCAGCGGTCATGCACTTGGGCTCCGTGTTGTAGTCACTATTCCCTAACTGCTCGAAAATATTTAAATCTTGTGTCTTTGTAGTCAGTGACAGCAGCGACAAATATCGGCTGCAAAAGAAGTAAACAGAAATTATAGTTGCTATAACTTATTACCAAATTTTACCCTTAAAACTTGCTTCACGATTGCCTTTTACCGTTATGTTGATAATGTCGCTTTTGCTTCCGTTTAAATCGCTTTCATTAATCCTGTCGGCGCTGTGAACGAGATTTTAATAATAATGATCGACAATCGCTATTTTTCTGATTCTGGCCCTCTGTACGATTTTCCCAAAAACAGCCGTGCTCCTTATTCCTCGCAGATCGCCAGAAGCCGCCTTTCGGCAACGGAACCGACGCAAAAGTAAGCAAATGGTATTATAAATTTTTTAATGCTAATAATTATGTACCTGTACTTAAAGCAAACTAGTATTAATAAGCTTTCTATACGTATACTGGAACTTATTTATTTATGGCCATTTGGATATAAAGATCAAAGTAAAGTAAAGAATTTGTTGTTTCAGTAACTTCTCTGTCGAATTTGCATCTATATCTTTCCCAGTTTCCAGTTGAGAATGTTAACTACTTTCATATAAAAAGCAGCTGTATATTATAATGCTTCCGAACACAGATTCGGCATTCATAGTGGAAGCAGCAGCACCCTTTCCGCCGATTGGGATGCCTGTAAAACATACCCCGCATTGCCCGCAATGCACAAACCTTCTAGTAGTAATTTAGAAATGCACACCATCCGACCTACTGATCGCTTCAGTGACGCAACCAACCGTTCAATAAACATTGTCAAACCTGGAACCTGCACTTGCAGGTTATGCGTTACCGACGTAAAAGGTCATCCGCACAGGTAAGCTTCTGATGCTTAAACAACCTAAAGCCAATTGGAATTATTTTCATTAAAGGTATAATTTATGTGGATGCTATATAGCGTAGCCAGAAAAGCTTTCAATAGGCCCCTTGTAATACACAACCTGTTGGGCATTTGCAGCTAAAATTAATTCCCGTTTATAAAATGTTTAAATTGCAATAAAAGCATTAACAATTTGTTTTCCAGTATCGGCATATTCAGACACGCCAGCGCTTTGTATGGGATTCTAGTGGCAATTACGGCGGTGTGCCTTACACTGACAGCACATTTGACACACAACGTTGATGCTACCCATGCTCGAGTAAAACAATTTATTGTGGCTAGACCGGTTTTTGTATTGTTAATACACTTATAATCACTCAATTTATCTTCGGTTTATAGTGGTTTGATTGTGCAATGCTTATCTCCGGAATCTGCTTCCTGTTATTCTCCATCGCATTTCTGTTCCGGAAACCAAAAAAGAAACCCGAACATGCTCACAAAAATTTTCCAGTACGGCAGAATTCCCTGGGCGAGGCTTCTTCTGTTACGGACAACAACCATTTATATGACATTCCAACAACATCGCTTCATAAGCGTCAAAATGAGTTTCCCAGCACAACGGATCAGTATATTGCCAGCGAAACTCCGCCCGACAAAATTTTCCATACGGAAACTGATAGCTCCAGCTTTTATATGAAAATGGGAGCGCTGATTTTTGCTGTTGGATCGCTCATATACACGAGTTTGGAGATAGGAGTGTTTGCTGAAAATGAGTCCTGTTTCAATATCGTCATGGCCATGCAGCCATGTTGTTTCACCGTCTACCTGATGATGCAATTGTACTTCATCTTTCGCACATCAAAGGTGAACCTACCTATGTGTTATTTTAATGTAGCAGTACAAGTTCAGGCAAAGTTGCTTTATTATTATGGGCTTTGTGGAACGGCAGCGTTCGTTGTTCATACTATATAGTGGACAGTTGATAGCAACTTCTACTCTGTTAGCATTTTTACGCTTATTCAAGTTTTTTTCTTTCTGAAGTGTTTACAAAATGTGGAACCTGTTGTATGTATGTATGTATTATGTATGTATTATGTGCTTTTAATTCTGTTGCAGTTAAGTATTACCGATTATCGGTACCGGGCTGTCTGCTGGTTTGGAATGATTCACTTAGCCGCTACGGATTTTTGTCTTTGGATACGGATTTTAATTGACGAAACACAGCACGAAATTAAACTAATTGCGGAAAAGAGGCACAACATTACAGAAATGGGCTTGGAAGCACTGGCCGAAAGCGGAAGTGGTCCAAATTACCGTACGTAAAAATTATTGACCGAAAAAAGCGACGTACTTCAAACTATAACCAATTCCCATGCTCCAGTTTCAGTCGTTAGAATTACATCGATCTTTATTCAGTAGGTTTTAATTGTTGTACAAGTAATTTATCGCAATTTCTGTTAGGTTCATGGTGCAGTTTCTGTTATTAAATTTAAACTTCTGAACAGGTGCGCCGTTGTGCGTGAATGAGGAATCCTTGATGAAAGACATGTTGGATAAAGCCTCAATTTTCCTGTATCCCTGTATAATCGAGTAAGTGATACGTTTAGGTTCTTTGCATTTCAGGAGCTGCAGGACTACTAAGAATTCTGAAGATAACATGTTGTATATATGTGATAGGTACGCGCTTATAACAGCTGGTGTTCTTATTACGATGTGGAAGGTCATCGGCTCCCCTAATATAGCTGCCCAACAGGAAGTTTCCAGCCATCCGCTATACCATTCACACGAATCGCAAAGCCAGTTGTTCCGATACTCCGTGGACTGTGATCAGGCTACAAAAGGACTATTTTCTGGCATCACTACCGGCATCCTGTCAGTTGTAGGCATAATCATTTATTTTGTATACTCTGAAGAAAAGGAACTGTCCGGTGTGGCAGTGATGACTTTCCAGATAATGGAAATTACGCTAAATGCCTTGGGATTCTTGACAGCACTGTACTGCATGGTTATATTTATCAAAAAACTTCGACCTCGACAAGACAAGACCGAAACAGCCGAATCGAATCTGGAAAATGCTCTCCTTATGATCTGCATGGTAACCTGGGAATTTCATTGTATTTCCGCTTTTCCTTTGCTTCGATAACTGACCAATACTACATATCCATCGATTTCGATTAGGCTGCAATTTAAAAACAGGACAATTCTGCAAAGCTAAAAATATGGGCTAAAATTATCAACTCGATTGTTTAAATTTAAGATCGGCGTTTATACGTATTCCGTGGTTTCCTTAATGGGCTCCTATATGGTCGACACACTCCGAGATGCGCTTTCCGTAACAGCAACTTTGCTGATCCTGCTGGAGGCCACGGTTCAAACCGTTTTTATTATTGGCACTGGGAAGCGGTGCATTGGAAGTGATCCTGGAGTGGCAAATTACAGAAAACCCGGTCGGGAAGCGCTAACATTTTTAATTTTGGTGAATTTCGCTCTGTGGGCTGTGGACGTAAGTGTTACTTGGGAGCTATCTGTATCTATAGACCCATAACAAATTAAAAATTTCTTGGTAGTTCGTACTTCGAGCAACAAAGAATACACATTTTTGTTGTAGGTGTTTTGCCTTTTAAGGACGGATTCCAGTCCGACCCAAAAAGAATATTTTGGAGAAGAGCAGTACGTAGCTGTTGCGAATAAAGTCATTATGATCAGTATTACAGAGCGCATATGCACATGCACTACACTGCATGCCTAAAGTCCACATAACTTTTTGCAGATGGGCGGTTTTGCTACATCTTTCAGTGCCTCTGGTAATCTTCTTCCGGTAAGATACGAAGTCTTACTGGTATGCTGAAGTCATATATATAATTAATGTGTTTAATTAATCTCTGATCGGTATGGGAAAGTTTTGCAGTTCCAGTAAATTTTTAGAACATACTATGTAAATCTTATAATTATAAAGAAGCTTAACAAATTGCTGTCGTGAAGTGTGAAAATGCTAGTTACACATGTAACCATAAAAACGGGATTACGAGAATGCTTCCAACCATGTTTTTACAGTTACGAGCAGACTTTTACTGGTTCGAGTGGCGCGCGCCGATAAATGTTAAATGATTTTCTATGCTTCCAGAAATGTTTTTAAAAACCTATACACAGCTAAAAAATATAATCCAATATCGTTGACCCTATCGTGGAAGTTTGACAGCGCATGAAATACAAAAACTACTGTATTAGCTACCACGAACAAGAATCCCGAATATGTGAACGTATCTCTAATAATCTTAGGTATGCATTCAGCACGCCATTATCTCTTTTTTGCCTTCTCAAATTGCAGATTTCATTCCACAGTGTGTCTTGTCGATATATGGAAGAGGGCTTACAAATTGAAGCGGAGATCACACCCGGCAAAGATATTGCAAACTTAAAATTTACCTGCCGTCCAGTGGTAACTTGTTTCACAAAGCAGATATTTCTACTGTTCAGTGCTCTTTTTCGAAAAAGGCTAGTTTGTTTAATGTTGTACATACTGAATAAAGTTCGCTGTTGTAGTAAAAAACGCATGTGCTATCTTGTACTGTACGTTTTCACCCGCATTATTCAGATATAACGGTATTACTCGACCCTAAATAGGAAAATATTTAAATTGTCATATCCGGTAGTTCAAAAACTTTTTTCTACTGCAGTACGGTAGAAATAAATACAAGATGCAAGCCGAATTTCGGTACACTGCCGTTTTTACAGCAAGGTTGTTGTACAATTATGGGCCCGAGGGAATGCTCATGTATGTAGGTATATAGATATACTGTACGTACCTACAAGATACGGCGCAGTTTATGTTAACTGTGAACAAGAACAAACTACACAGAATGTTTAAAACTTGTTTGTGCCATAAAACACTTTTGGCCAACTGGTTAAATAATAGTGACATTGAATCTGTTGTAAGGATTATAGCGATTTCAAATAAAAATGCTCGAGACTCAAAATATCATGGGATCCATAATTTTGCTGCTATGTTTGTGCTGGGCTGTTACGACGGCTAACGACCAGTTATGCCGGAAGTTTCACATAATCCAAAAAAGCGACACACCCGCATCCATCGCCCGACACTACGGCTTCACCGAGAAAGAGCTCTTAGCCAATGAATTGTTTTATGGTGGCATGTCCAGTTTTGTCGCAGGTCGAATGGTGTGCGTTGCCAAAGGTACTGTACAGTATTCTACGTACCAGTACCATCCGATTCACACTTTAGCTAACAAATTTGTAAATACAGTACCGTGTGCTGTTATGCGGCATAAAAATCGTGTAACAATTAGGGAAGGGACATGCGCACCTTTCCCTGTTATTTTTGAACATTTCGTGAACACATAATTAACCAAGTTAGTTACATCATTTACAAATCAAATTCCTGTTTCTGGCTTTAAATAATTTATATTTACAGATGTGCCAGAGCAAAACTGCCGAATAGCTGGTGAGTTTTGTTTTTATAGTTTAATTACACCAATGAAATAAATATGCAACAAACAAAATCGAAACCTATCAGCAATCATAACTTAAACTTGATACTGCATTGTGCTTTGGTATTTTTTAACGACGTCGTCTTTTTCGGCGGAGCATATAAGCAGCTTTAATTGTAATTTCCCGTTTATGTATATAATGTAAGTCATAATAATGTTGTTCTATTGTTGTACATTAAGGCGGAAATGACTCATTGGACGAGAAGCTGATACGTCAGCAGGCACTTATCAGAATAGATCTTGTTAGTCCTAAATCAAGTGCTCAAGGACTGGGACTGGATAAGGATGATCCCTATGGATTCTGCTCGGGCGTTCTCATTTCACGAGACGTGGTTCTCACTTCCATGACCTGCTTGATAGTGTTTGTACAAAAATAATTATAATATTAAGGAGTACAATACGAGCGCTTTATTCAAAATATTTATTACCTGACTATTGTCTGTACGTACCGTACAGATAATATCCGTACTTCTACGCTTTGTCATTGACGTCCAAATCGAAGAATTGTAATTATCGGATTTTACTAGGCACACCTGTCTACCTGGACTGAATGGAATCGAATGCAAAATCCCGGTTCCTCAAAACTACCAAGTGGGACTGTATGCTGGGGCAGAGGAAAATTCCTATAGGTTGTCTTACCGAAAGGTCACGAAAATCATCTCCCACCCACAGTTCGACCCTGCGCAACGGGCTAACGATCTAGGCCTGGTCGTTATGGAACAGACCGCAAATGGAAGCGCAAACAACGGAGCACTTGTGGCGAAAATGCCCAAGGAAGGTGATCTACCGGTGTGCCAGCAAAGCATTGTGACAATGGGCGCATGGGATGGCCTGGGTGTGGCAAACTATACCCTTGACGGTTTTCTGTTACAAGTCGGTAAGCAGCCTTTCAACATAAATTGTTTTAATAAACCACAACTAACGTTCCCGTTCTCAACAATAATGTTTTTGCTAATACAAGTATTGCCTGTTATTAGACAAACGCAATATCGTTGTTCCATGGAAATGGAAACTGCTGGACAACAAGTTGTGCAAGCCTCTGCTGCACATGGTTGTAGGAAAAAATGGTTGGGGCGGCGAGCAGGATACTCTGATGTGTGCAGATAGTGGGAACACTTTGCATGAAACCAACATTTGCGTTGTAAGGAGAAGTTTTCGTTGTTGATTCTTTGTTTATATAACCTTATACAAACTTTGGGTCACTGTGTCACACGAAATCGAAGTTTGAGAATTAAACTTACCTGAGTTACCTCCTTGTGCGCAGAGCAGCAACGGTGCTCCATTCTACGCTTATGATTCGAATTCCCAAGACTTCACATTAACCGGCATTCTCACCTGGACGAATCGCTGCTGGAATGGACAAGTTCCGCTGGTGGATGTGAAAAAGCACATTAGTTGGATTAACCAGAACATTTAACCGCTTGGAGTGCTCTGTGTTTTTTCAGCTGATGTTAATCAGCAATATTAATCACTGAACGACTTGTTTTGCTGCATTAAGTAAACGGCTATTTTGTTTTTTTGCATAAAATAAACTGCGTGAAACAAACTCAGATTGTGTTTCGAAACTGTACTCGAAAAAAACTAACTTTTGATCTGTGTTTTGCTCACTTGAGTTAGTTGAGTATTTACATACTGTACTAGTATGAAACTTTTATATACGGTCATAACAAACTTAGAGGCAACGAGATCCGAGTGCGTAATTATGAAATAAGCAAAATCGCGGGTGTTAACTGACTATACTACACGCCCTTGGTTTTTCGTTAATTTTTTAGCATGGAACGTATCTGTATATGGTGAGAAAACGACAGCCAGAAGCAAGTTTTTGTTTTTTTTTCGGTCACATCCGGAACTAACTGGTAAAGCAGCTTAAATTAACGGAAGCTGCTGGGATCGTCCAACACGGTCAGGCTACAATGCATGTACAACATAATATTATACGACAAGTCGATAACATGTATGGAGTTGTTATACGGTTCGTATTTTGTCCGGTAGTTTTTTGAATGTGCACAACACACCGTTGCTGCGCCGACCCCTGCTACTACATATTTTGCTACAGGACGTCTTGCTTAAAAGCTAAGAAAAATATCAGACTTAAAAGGAAGAAAAAGGTTGCAATGCTGGCTTTTTGTATAATAATATTGCTGTCATCTGGCATTCTGGGTTGTGTTTGTGCGGAACAGGACACTGATAATGAGAGTAACCCTAAATCATCCTACCAGACATGCGCGCGTTACCATGTGGTAACCGACCCGGTCAACGAAACCATGTGGACCTTGCAACCGTACGGTCTACGCAAACATCAACTCCAGCTGCTCAATCCTCAGGACAACCTAGACCTTCTCATTCCTGGTCAAATGTTATGCGTTCAAGCTGTAGGTACGTAATACGTTGTACTTCATATACAATCATATGTACAACGGTACAAGCAAGTCCCAGCTTAGTTTTTTTATTGGACATTGAATTGCTCACATAGTTTTGTTCGCATTTTCTCCGGGTTTTTCCAATTTTTTTTAAAAAGATGCACTCAATTTCATTGTGCTTTATATCCCTTTTTATCACTTAAAACTACAGAAACAACGTCAAAAGCAGCCAACCGAGAAAAACCACCGGTACGTAGTCCCGAAGGTGCGGATGATCTCATTTTAAATTCTGACGAATATGGTGCTGACCTCTACCACTGGTCTCGCGTTGCATCCATCGAGACAACGGCTCGCATGTCCACTCAGAGCCAGCAGTGTACCGGAACATTCATCACCGCAGACACCGTCATCACCAGCGCAAACTGTGTAGCCGGATTGCAACCTAATAGTACCACAGTCATCCAGCGGAAGTCTAAGCGACTGGGGCAGATGGTGGACAAAAGGAACATCGTCAGCAAAATCGCTGTTCACCCGCTGTATAAACCACAGGCGACCGGGAATTCCCACAACGTTGCCATATTGACATTAGAACAAAAGGCGCAATTTAACCGCACTGGAAAGGAAATCAGGTTGCCGACTGATCCAGCCGCCGTACAGGCCGGTGCAGAAGATTTAGTCGATAGCTTTTATGTCGTTATGATGAACCCATGGTCTCAAAAATACATTATGGAGAACGGAACCGAAGCAGAAAACAGTAAGAATTCTCTATCTTACCTCTCAAAAATTTAATACATCTAAAGCTTCTAATTACATTCAGTTTATGGTTCTTTAATACGGCGCACGCAAGATGATTTACACTTTCCTTTCGGTAACTGTGACCTTATAACAGAAACGGATACTGTGGTTCAAAAACACAATAAAGTCAATCCGGTGCAAGGACATAAATGTCGGGAATTATTTTGGGCAAAAGGATTTGCAGACTTTTACCTGGCTGACGACATGATCTGCACCGTGATGGATCCGGACGAATGGTACTACGATGTATGCCGCACCGGTAACGGCGCACCGCTTATTCAGTTCGACCGGCAGCTAAACCATTATTACGTAATCGGTATCGGGGTGGCTACTGCAGGAGGGTATGTTCCACTTGCCGAAACCCTGCACAATTTGCACAAATACTGTTTTCTCAGGAAAACCGTCTACTTTGAAGGCAATATTTATTGGCGGCTTGTTTGTAATTATGGGGCTAGTCATGTCATGTCATTATTCATTGTTTTTGCGTTTTTGTAGATGTGCAATGGAAAAGTTTGGACATGATTACATTTTCGTCGACCTCCGTCACAAATCAAACTGGGACTGGCTCCAGAAAGCCATGTCAAGTAGCTAATTCCGTTAATATTGGTTACTAAAGTTTGCCATTATTTACGCTTGACAGTTAAAAAAGCCGTGTGCTTATTTGTGCTGGTAATGAATCGACGAATATTATCAGAGTGTACTCTAAAAAAAGCCTAAAGATTTACTCAGTAAATTATATGCAAGGAAATCGCTCGCTCAAGGTACTTTGGCGTTCGATTTCGCAGAAAGTATTTTAATGGTAACAGAAAAGTCTTCCAGAAAACTAAGCTCACAATAATCTTGTTTTACACTATAAAAATAAAGCCATCAATTTTGGTCACAGAGTGTGGCGAAAGAAAAGCGCAGCACATAGCCGAATAGCGAAATTTCAAAAATTCAAAGCATACTTCTGTACCTTTCTGCAAAATTCCCATCACAGCCTTTCTGCATCATAAAAATAAAGATCATTAACCACCTGCGATGAAAGCAAAGAATATGTCTTTTCCAAAGCTAGAAACAACTGCCCGCACACAAACATCTTTAAGAAGATCCACAGCCAAGCTGCCTCGCAGGTGTAAGCACCGGAAATTAACGCCTTCATAGCCATGTCATAACTTCCTGAATCACTTTCGCTTGTTCCGACTGCAATCAAAAATATCAGTACGAGTATCACATGTATCCTTTTGTGTTCGGTTTTGCAAATTATGCGTTCAAGGCAACGTATACCGTTTTATAATTTTCACAAATTTACCTCATGTCGCTTTTTATTCCCCGTAGCAGTGGCAGCAGATACAGCCCTTCCGATATATCTAAAAAATAACGGTGGTTTGTTGTATCCGCCCATCTGTCTCACATTACGGTACTGCACTTCCAAACCTGACTTACTGTACAGATCGTTCGTCGTTCATCCCGTGCCCGAGCAGCGTATCCAGACGGGGTTGGATGTATGTCCATGCACCTGCGTTCTTGTGCTCTTCCTGTGCCCAAACGATTTGTGCGCTAGGGTACAACTTCAGCTGCTCCTTAATGAGATCATGCGGAAAAGGGCAGATCTAGGAAAATCGTCCAAAACACCAAAACATCATCAGCCTTTCAAGGGCAACTTGTACAGTATTCTTCCACTCTGTTTCGACCTTCTATACAATACAGAGCATTTATTTGGTCGAAATTAACTTATTTAGTTAGGTGCACAGCATAAATCTGATGAAAAAGTACAACCGACTACAACACTGTACTTAATTGTGCAGGGTACTCAAATTCTCACCTGTTCGATTCTGATGAGTGCTATATCCTTCTCCAGTCCAGCTTTCGTTCTTTCTGCATCCAATTCATAGAACAGCTTTCCCGAACAAAACACCACGCGTTTAATCGTGTCTGAGTGTTTGCTAGCAGTTTTGTCAGGATAAATACGTTTAAATTCGCTGGATGGCAAGAATTCATCAAAACTAGACTGCGCTTCGGGTTTGCGCAGTAAGCTCTTAGGGGTCATAATCACAAGCGGTTTCCGGAATGGTAGTTTCACTTGTCGTCGAAGAGCGTGGAAAAGGTTGGCTGGAGTCGTCAGATTCATAACCTGCCAGTTTGTGTTTCTCAACTGGGTCAGAACTGCTTCTCGACTGCAGTCCAGTAGCATGTCATAAGGATCATCGCTGCATAACTGCAAACATCGCTCTACACGGGCACTGGAATGTTCCGGTCCCTATCGAAATTATACATTGCCATTAAAGCGAATAATGTCGGTAACGAACATAAAACGGTAACAAGATAACTGTAAAAATATCATAAATAGCCGTAGAATTTCTGGTCGAAAGCAAAAAACTACATTGTAATTCCAAAATTTTACCATTCCTTCGTATCCATGCGGCAATAATAAGACAATCCCAGCCTGGCGCACCCATTTATCTTCCCCACTGCTAATCAGTTGATCAATGACGGGCTGGGCGGTATTCGAAAAATCCCCAAATTGTGCTTCCCATAAAACCAGCGCATGGGGATCAGTGATGGAGAATCCCAACTCGAAACCAAGCACGCCGTACTCCGACAGCGAGCTGTTGCAAACTGTGTATTCGGCCTGACCGCGGCGGATATTCGCCAAAGGACTGTACGTTTCCTTGTCGCGTTCCTGATCATGCAGTACGTGATGACGATGGCTAAAAGAAATAGCTGTGATGCAGACAAAACAAAAACGTTAGGATTGCCATAAAGCTGTCACCTAAACGTTCCACGTTCAACATCCTGACCACTCAACCGGACATGAATGCCTTCGCAAAGAAGAGATCCAAAAGCCAACGCCTCGCCCATCGCCCAATCAGCCACCCGTTTCTGGAGTAACTTTTGCCTGTTCTCCAGTATCCGTTTTGTGCCTAAACACAGTAGCATTATACAGCTACATTATCAAGCAATCATGGCTCAAATAATAGCTGCTAGTTAAACAAAAATCAGGAACGTGAAAAGAAACCCAAACCGAACCCTGCAACGATTTCCTTATTCAAACCTATATATTTCCCTCATGAGTGCAATTTGTGAACCACTGTGTCATATATGTAGTAATCACAGCATTTCACTTTTAATGGTAGTGCAGCATTTCACTTTTAATGGTTTTAATGGTACACTGTATCAGTTGTTCCTAGGGCCTAAATCATGCCGGCAACCATAACTATCGATGTCTGATCGGTAGCAGCTGAAATGATACAAACTTCTACTACCTTGATGGATGTTGAAATCTTTAGGTATCTCGCTAAAAACGGTGCCAATGCGATGAAGGATTCCCTCATCTACACCGGTATTGAACGGTTGACAAGATGTTGGGGGCCAGTTTTCCCATTCAGAATCCAACCAATCTCGATGGCGAACAGCAGTTATTCCCTGAGCTGTCCGATAAGATTCAGCACATCGTTTGATGTATTTGCTCGTTTCCTCCTGCAGATAGTGGCGGACTTAGTCCGATCCTCAACACGAAAAAACGACGCAAACACCCTTCGTCGACCGCGCACTTACTGCGGCATAATGAGCATCAATAACGCCGTTATCAATTAATTTCTTCGTATAGGAAACCGTTACTGGGTCCATCTGATCGATAATTTTATACATCCCCGGCTGAGTAAAACGCGGCTCGTCCAATTCGTTATGCCCATTTCGCCGGAATCCAATCTGCATAATAATATAATTAACAGTCAAAAACAGATGACGATGACCTTGTTCTTAGACACTTCTCACGGACCAGATCAATGACAACGTCTTTATGGAATGTCGCGCGCCATAATGCTGCCACTTGTGCAACATAGTGAACAGCTTCCGGATCGTTTGCGTTGACATGGAAGACCGGTGCGTTCACCACTTGAGCCAGATCAGTGCAATACTCAGAGCTGCGTGCCACTAGCGGGTTGGTTGTGAAACCGAGCTACAAAATATGACAAAATTGAAATCGTTAAGAAACACAAAACGCCAAGCACAACAGGACTACCACTGCCAGAGCAAGCTTAGTATATCTTATGCCCACTTAAAAAAATACCGCGCAATAAACGGCATACTATGTTGGAAAAAGAAAATTTAGCATAAACGCTAAATTTAATAATACGTAATAATAGCGAAAACTTATAACATAACAAATCAAACACATCGGTAATCAAAATTTCTACCTGATTGTTTGTGACAATGTGGATTGTCCCGTGACAGGAGTATTCAGGGAGCGCGCTTAGGTGGAAAGTTTCATAGACAACACCTTGCCCAGGAAACGCAGCGTCCCCATGCACAAGGACGCTCATTACCTTCTCTCCCTTTTTATCCCCCATATAAAACTGTTCAGCCTTTGTCTTTCCTTGCGCAACCGGATCTACGGTTTCCAAGTGCGAGGGATTGGCACACAGGGTGACCTTCACGGGAAGATTCGTGGCGTCGTTAATGAACTGCTGAGAAAGACCCAGATGATACTTGACGTCACCGCTTCCGCTATCGGCAGCTTTCAGATGCATAAATTGAGCAAACAATTGTTCCAGCGGTTTCTGGCAGATATTTGCGATCACATTCAGACGACCACGATGTGCCATTCCCATGACAAAACTCTCCACCCCAGCGGCACGGGATGTATCAATGATCGCGTCCAGCGCAGGGATGAGGCTTTCCAATCCTTCCAATCCGAATTTCTTTTCATTCGGCCACTTTTTAGATATGAAATCTTCAAACCTGAAACAGACAGCCACAACAGTTTCGGTTAGGCCTGTATCGTTAGTTATCTTTATCGCTTCATAAGTTGCGAGACCAGAATTTTTTTCAACTTTGTGAACGCATCATTCAAGGAATAACCCCAACGGCTTTAAATCGGAACGAAAAAAAGCGACTCACGCTCCAGCATGTATTAATCGTTTCAGAATCAGCTTTTTGTCGGCAGCGGTAAGCTTGGCGGCATCCGGGGTCTCGAATTTGGATCTGATCCAATCACACTGGTCCCGCCGCGGAATAAACATGTACTGCACCCCCACAGTGCCGCAGTAGGCGTTTTGCAAACGGCGAATAATCTCGCGTAAACTTAGCACCTTTTCCGAACCGCCGATACATGTCGTAACGGGCAACGCAAATGTTGTATCCAATTCACTCTTTCCTGCAAACAAATTTATCATGCCTTAATTAATTAATTAGCATTTTTATTAGCTACAAAAAATGTAATACACTGTTGGGCAGTTCCTCCTCCTGGGGAAAACTCTTGCTCACCTAAAGTTTAATTCGCGCTCCAATAAGATGCCAATTAAAATCGCTTATAGCTAAATCCATTACGCAGAGCGGTAATTTCTAAGAAATTTAAGCTTATCTGCATACCCAAGGAGTAATGTGCCGGGTCCAATTCTGGCAGATAACGGGTGATGCGCTGATCCTGGCGAAGTGGATCGATATCAGCCACTTTATGACCATGCTCCTACAGAAATGTCAAAACTCAGAAGTACTGCAATACTACCGTAAAGAGAAGAGCACATAAATAAACGCACGGGCTCCAGCTGCACCTACGCAAAAAAAGATTTCAGCAATCACCGAACCTGATAATAACGAATAAGCGTCTGAACCGACATGTGATCATTAAACGCCTTTTCTAATTTTTCCAGCTGCAGTGCTGTGGTTCTCGAATTTCCAGGTTGTAACACACGTTCATCTTTTTCAAATATGGCTGAAGGACCTCCATCGGAGTGCATATCTTTGAAATACGAACTCCAAGACTAAAAAACAAAACAACCATGTCGTATTTATTACGATGCGTCAAGCAAATACGCAACAAACGCAAAACAATCGACACCTGCCTCTGCCATAAATATCCAGTGCACAAGTGCGAACTACTGCACAAAGTTCGGTATAAGTACTAACAAAACTGTTCTCAGCATATCGGAAGATTTCATTCATAAAGTTATGTCGGATGATCTCATAAAGTTACTGCAATACGCCATGACGCTGCTACCATATTGTGTGACCTTGAATCAGCTGGCGACAAATGCACCATTTTGACTTTTGCCAGCTCAAAAATCTTCCGCCATAAAATTTTCCGTCATCACATGGTCAATGACGAAATATTGTGTAGCATAACATTTTGTACGATGTTTTATTCGCACATATTAAACCTAGTACAACTTATTTAACTAAGTTTGTTATCGTAATTTCAGGCAAAAGCTGGAAAATGATTTCCTTTTCCTTCAAAAATTTAGTTGTATTATGTGGAAATAAAGCGGCAAACAATTCTAAACCAGCACATAAAAGTTGAAAGCCTCTTGTGAGCCGCTATGTGCTTCAACCAGGTTGTAATTTACCGTAATAATGCAGCGCTTTCTGGAATACTTAATTAAAACTTCACTGGAATAATTAAACACAAACCCCGTGTTGCTAAATCACTGACAGCACAGCAAAAAATTTCTGCTGACCATGACTGCTGTAAATTTGCAACTCACCAAAAAAATGAAACTGCAGACCTAACTGATAACTGGGAATTTAAAACTCAAGCCCACCTTAGAGCATACTTTGTTTTAGTGGGCATACTGTTTAGTGTTTACAATCTAAACAACCTTCATGCCGAATGCAGGAATACCACAATTATGCTCCAGTTATTTATGACTTCACTGACAATAACTTCGTACTTAAGCCAACATAAATATTAATGTATTAACTACAGCAAAAACAGTCACAGCAAGTGACTAAGTCTACAATAACTTTTCTTACAATAATCTCGTTTTATAATAACTCGTATCCATCTTGCAATACCAGCATTCAGCTACAAAAACTGTAAAACGAGTGGAAATAAATGTATATGCAATCACAGAACCTCAATATACAATACTTTTAGACTACAATGCTTGACAAGTGGCAAGCATGATTCAGCAGAAATAGACTTCTAAACTTCAGCTGCTGAATGCAGCCAGTAGAGTGCTATGCAAATCATGCTTCCTGATTGCAATTCGCACACTGACGGTCTTACCGAATGAACGCTGTTGGGGTCCTTCCTCCAATGTTCCAACATGCTTTCCAGGTAGACCGCCGAGCCGCTGTTGAGGAATTCGTCGGTCTTCATCCCGGTCTGCATGCCGCGTCCATGCTGCACGGTTCTTGGGAGCCAAGATCCCGCTAGCAGCCGCTTTCCCGTCTGGCGGAACCGGATAAGCTGGCGCTGCAGCATGATTATCAGCGCAGTGCTGCGACTGGCCTTTACGCTTCCCTGCTTCGTCCACTTGTGAACCGTAACACAACTCCAGAAATACCAGCGGGAAAAGGCGGTCAGCACCTTAATAGTCACTTAAATGGTATCACACGTGCTGAAAGCGATCGCGGAATCGAAAAACGGTAACAACACCGTCGTGGAAATATCGAAACGGCAAAACTTTGCACTTTTTATCACGGCTATTTATAGAGCAAAGCTCATGGGTCGAGTCTGCCAAGATAATAGCATTGATCAATTATGAAAGTATACGGATGACGAAATATTTCCATAATATTTCCGATATCCGTAGCCTGCAGGTAACTACAAACGAGGGCTTGGAAAGTCTGGGATGTGCATCATGTGCTGAAGATTTCGGTTAGCGCACGGTTTGTTGTCGGTATCTCGTTGGTGCTATCGACGACTGGAGAGGAACAAAATGACACTGATGCTTCCGCCGCGGCGGCTGGCTGTACAGTCATACCGGTTTATGGTCTCGTTGAATCTATTGTAAATGCAATAACGTCGCAATTGTTATCGATTCTTCCTCATTTTGAGGAGCTATCTGCTTGGCGCACAAATATTAATTCTACTATAACGCAAACTTTTGTATTTCACAATACTGCAAGCACTACAGTACGATGAGAATTCAAATGTTTACGTAAATACATACTTCAAAAAAGTTATACTTCTGTTCTTCTACAGATATTATTGCACTATAGAGCGCACGATCCAACATGCGAGTAAATTCTATATTATTGCCGGTATATACTTAGTAGAATCTTAGACGGTGACCGGAGTTGAACCGTGTACGTTGTATTGCTTTACCGGCATCTGCATAGTTCTACGCCTGCGATTTAGCAACCCAAGCGATGTGATCATTTACGTACATCGTCCAGTTCCACAACCGGATATGCAACAGCAATTCGTTTGCTTTGGTGTGCGTTGTTGTGTGTTTGTTGTGCCCGAACTGTGGATGCTGTCCTTCGTTTTTTCTCGTAAGAACTGTCAAGGTGCCCTCACCCAATATTATAAAATGTCGTCATTTAAGTTAACTGTAAGCTTCGTTTTTTCACTCCATCTGCTTCTTAATATAATGGCAAAACAACGACGCCACCGGCTAGTCTGCGCAACTCTTGACATCAGAATTGGTAGAAAAATGATTATTAAATTTTACTGTGTATGCATTGGCAGACCGTCAGAGACACAGATCTTACTGTTTCTGCGTAGTCAGTAATACGTAGAATTCGAATGTAGAAATCAGTAATTATCCCTTGAACGGGAACTGCGCATGCTCTGCATACGTACCGCGAGGTACGACTATTGGCTTTATTTACACATGCAAATGCCAGAATTAACAAGGATCACTTCGTACTCGTAGTTGCCGGTGAAAAGGATAATTCACAATATATGGTAACAAAAAACCGAATGAGTGGTTACCTCATAACAGTTGTTTAACTAACACTTTAAGTGCTGTATTAATTGTACTGTAGATTGCTCTTTAATAAAGCACAGTATTAGGAGGATGCTAAGCGGCTAACGGCAGCAAGATCAAGAATTGTTCTTTGCTTATCTCTCTACCTTTGCCAGCTCTTTATACCTACTTAGATTTCATTCTGGATGATAATAATGAAAAACTATGGCGGAAATGAGCATGGTCGAAATGAAAACGACCGAAGTGATTGATAGCCATAATTAATGAAGTGAGTAGTAAGTACGGCTACTCACCAATCAAGAGAACTGAGAACGTTACAAACAAATGAAACAAATCCTACCTAAACAGATTTTTACTGCTAACAGCAGAAATGCAGTTGAAACTTAGAGGCTAACAAATAAGACACGAGAACTCCAAGACTAAGACAAGCGAGTCTGATTCCATAATAAATTTAACAAGTGACGAAAGCTACTGAATTTGGTGGTCCATGGTAAAGAACAAAGGAAACGAAACGTGCGGACGTCAACTTGCTGCTACTCTTAACAACATCTACAGGAACATGATTCACCAAGGCCACAGCAGCCACACGATTCTCCACACCCAAACCCGCCACCTTCCTGCACCCTGAAAACAAACGACCATTAATTTTCTAAAAACATTAACAACAATAAAAGTACGGCTGTACATCTTATAGATAAACAGACCAAAACAGCTCACATCTGTATCACGATGTAATTTCGAACAAAAATGCGGTACAAATAAAAGTTGCGTTTTTAATAAGTAACGCATATGCAAGTTACATTATTACGAATACATTGCCCTTAACTAATTACATACGGTAGCTTCGAATCAGGCTGGGAGGTATGTACAGTTCGTATTACAGAATCTGTTGTCGGCTGATAACGGGCGGTTCTATTTCCGGTTGATTCCCTTTCTTCAGGTATATCTGTCACACCTGAATCCAATCGTAGCTGTAAATTGCTCCATGAAGGATTGGCTGTACGCTCTGCTGCCATTTTTGTCTAACTGCTACGTAAAATCTACACAAAAAAAAAACTAGGAAAAGACAGAACGTCAAAAAGGTAGCCGGAGTACATACAATAACAGCAATGAACTCTTTTATTCCTTCAAATTAAAACATTTAGCTGGGTGAGAAAATACTACAAATACAGTAGATTACCAAAAAACATTAATGACATTACGCTACGTTGCGCAGTAGTGTCTGCTTTGTAGAATACACATCGACCATAATAAAAACATTTAGTGTAGGTGAGACAAATAATTACAAATACATACGAGTACAGCAACAAATTCCTGCTTCCGTATCGGTGTCGTACAGCTACATCGAACAGAGCGAATAGTTTTCAGATGACTCATATGTTATAACTCAAAATTCATAGAAATGCTTATATAACTACGGAGAAGTACAAGGCCATAAAAAATCAAAAGAACATGCCTATACACATACGCGAGCCGAAAAGGAAGCCGCAGAACCGTCAATATTTTGCTGATACTACAATCTTACACTTGCAAGCAGAGTGATTACGCAAGCGGAACTACTTAGTATCAACACAGTACACACCACATTACAACTGCACACAGATTTTCAAACGGAAAATACCAAACTTTCCAGATATACTCACATTACTTCGCCCTCATAAAAACGAGTACACAGTTTCTTTAACAGAAGTCAGCGCGAAAAATCTGTTTCCAAAAGTAATCGACAAACGACGTGCATGCAGTACAGTTAGCCAAAAGAACTTTCACATTTGGACAAATTATTTTACAACACGTTAAAAATTGGTGTATCATCGACAGTTACGATCAGGCAAAAAGTACACTGCATTAAGATATTCCACTTTCTTGGACCAAAGGGATTTATTCTTATTTTTTCGCCTGGAGAAGTTCACCTGAGCGTTACCAGTCCAGCAATATGGCCAGTCCAGTTGATCACACTATTCAAGTCACATTTACAGCGCCAAGAATGGACCAACCAACCAATGCTAATGATTCCACGGTGTACAGGATGCAGCCCGGTCTCCCGGGGTCAGGATATCCGGGCCCGTAAGTACATAAAATAAAACTAAAATATTAACTAGGAATTACGCAAGAACCGTTGCCGGTCGAAGGTAAACTTATAGTAAAACACCTACTATTATAGAGCTCAAGAAGGAGGAGCTTCATTTTGGCGCTGTGGAGACAAAGCCGCCTGCACGTGTTGCGGCGGGAAGTGCGGCTGTTTCAAGACATAAAAAGGTCAAGATTCCCTTTAACCGGTGTACCTCTGTACATACTATAAATATTTCTAAACCGTGTACATAGTAGTTGTATTATATCTAGCATATAGTAGGATCAATATCGTCTCAGCACCAAAGATATTACTAGGAAATATTTTATAACTCCTTATAATTGTTGCGAAGAATTGGAGGAATCAAGTCGCAAAACGATCATTAAGATTTATGTAGACCATTTCCAGATGCTGATATTTGGCAGTGCAGTCTGTTTATAAAAAAAACTGAACTGGAAGTACCCTTGAATACACCACGTATTAAATGGTTTACTTATTCGTACTACCAATCACTGAAATTCCGCTTTTGCAAATTCAGTTTATTCCACCAACCATGCAACCGATGCAAGTAATATTTGTGCAACTTCAACTTCAAGTACCATATCTCATACATCATACATCCATATCTCATACATCCGTTTCAACTTCAAGTACCATAACATTTATATTATAAATGTGATCAGGTAAGTACGTACTTGCAAGGCAAGTGTCAGGCACCAACCGGAAATTGTATGATTTTTTTCGAAGTTTAATGCTATAAATTAAAAAAAACTTTCAGTTAGACTTTATCACGGGTGCGTTACACAAACATTTTAGTGGCACTAATGTGTTTTACATTTTTTTAAAACACTTCAGAATGATTTTACGCTAACTGCATCAAAACCCGAATCATATCAATAAACAAACAGACATTAAAATCTAAAACTGACTAAAAACGTTTAGAAAACAACCAATACTGCCACATACTTTTAGGTACGAGTACCATATCTTTTATGCAATCTTTTTCGAAATAATGGTCGCAAACTTCGTCAGCTGCAGCATCACCGAACAATTTCTGCTCCAGCAACGTTGTCATTGAGACTGAGGGGACGATGTAAGTAAGGAGTCATTCTGGATATCGGAAGCGTAGCTGTCGCGTCCTCTATGTCGCTGCAAAAATGAATAGTAAGAGATAACCATCGTGAAACGATGCAAAATCAAAACATTACCACGTCCACAGGAGAAGTTTTTGGCAGATTTCCCATGATTTCACAACTATCATTCAGAAGACGCTCCAAATGCTCCATAATTTTCATGTGTTCTTGCACCGGCGACTTTGACAGAAAACCATATATCAAATCTTTGATCTTTTCCAGCACTTTGGTTCTGAAAACAGTTTAAACGGTAATAATTTTTAACTGATTCTTCTTACTAGCGAAACGGATATCACATCTCTTACTTCATCCAACTCATATCCAGATTCAATCCAACAGCACTTAATGCCCGAATATTTTTATCAATATCCGAATTTAGCAAGCGGCATCGCTCCCTAGCGGCCAGTGAATCATTATCTTCATTTGTAAGGCCGATTTCCATTTGACCCTGTCGGCAAAAGATTATCTCGGCAAGTAACAAGGTCCCTTCTGAGATTTTATGTAAGTACTAATGCAACCGAGCGCGACTACTAAATAGTCTCAAACGAATGCAGCAATCGCTCACCATGAAAGACTCGATCCGGCGTTTTTTATCTTGCACTCCCGAAGATAGATTTCCACACCTGATCGCCAGGTTCTCCCATTGCTTCAGTTCGCCTGTCAGAACATGCAGGTAAACCAGCAAAGTCCGCAGCGAGTCATCATACGCTTTCCACGCCTATAATTAACAAGGTTTGTGAAAAAAGTAAGTATTCGATTCGATTTATGGTTAACTGAATTCTTACGAGTTCAACAGCGTTCATCATAGACAGCAGAGTTTCGGCAGTTATTTTTTCCGTTAATTTCTCAACCAGGCGGACCTGCAGAGCAGATCGCTTTTCCAAGAGCAGCTGAATCGCTTGGCGATCCTGGCTATCGGCGGTTTCAGCATCAGCGTCGCCATGTGGATAATGCGCCGAATAAAACTGATCCCAAGATCTACAAAAGCCCCAACCACAATTAGCTGACAAATCTTCAACACTTTCCTATACAAGCACCATACAGTTTGCCAGTGTTAAGCTGTTTAAGGATCCCGCAAACGGCTGCAGTGGCTTCGGTTTCCGCCCGTAAGCTGTGGAATAACATTGTGGACTCTTCCATTCTAAAACGTCCAAACGGTTGTCAACTTGTCATGCACAATTAAGCAGCGAAATCTGAACATACTCGTATTAGCAGATCAACACAACAGGATACAACCCACTTTGTAACTAACGTGGACGAAAAAGGAAATAGTTACCCTTTCATCATGCCCACAGCAGCATCACATCGGCGGTTATATTCCACACATTTTTCATGCGGAACAGGATGAGCTGTATCAGAGAAATCCTGTGGCGACAACTAATAGGACAGAATTAGATTTGAATCTATGAAAATTAATTTTTATATAAGTTATTTAAAACCTCGTAGATCCTTCCCCATAATCTGGAATTAAACATGTTCACGTTTGCCTGCCATTCGAACAACGATGCGTAGGACAAGAAAGGAATATGACAACCAGAAGCGAGCTCCATGCTCGATTTCGGCTCAGGAAGACACACAGACCGAAGGGTACTGCTAACTGAATTTAGTGTAACCAAATCCTCTTCCATCTGTTAAACAGAGTTCGAAAGAAATTCTAATGTTAACGTTCCAAGGAGCTCAAATAAAGTAACTGCATTTACAGTAATTTACCTTTTGAATTATCTCTGTCCCGTTTTCGCAGACGGCAGCCATACGCAGTTGAGTATTATCCTGCAGGATTTCATCAAGTTCACTGCCGTTGCTCGGTAAATTTTCCAGCTTTTTTAATAGGTCCCTGAAATATACGGTATTCTATTAAATCAAAGTATCAGACTACGAACCTTACAGAAACGCGGTTGTTAATATCTGTCGCTTCTGCGTAATAAAGAAAGGATAATTGTCTAATGCGCAGAGATTTATTGGTTATTATTTACAACTTATAATTCGGAGTCTTAAATTCTTAACTGTTTAGTTGAATATATCCCGAACGATCCAGTCAATCCCGAGCGAATACTTCGGACAAAATCGGTGCGGTCTGCAACTCCGGTAATCAGCAGTTCCAAATCATTTGTGGTGCGCTTTATCCTTTCTTTATACACTTGATGGAAATCCCGTAATCTGCATTCAGACAAAGTGCAAACACGATAAATACTGGATAGCTACTAAAGTCCGTCAAATTACGGCTCAAAATTAATCTTGAACGTCCAAATTCAATATAAGCACATAAGCTAGCATACTGAATACCGTTAACTGCCTTCGTAACAGGTAACACTGGAAGAAAAAGCCTTACAGTTCCACAGATCCTTCAGAAAATCTGGCATCCTCTAATTTTATGGTCCGCAGCAACAGGGCTATGGCTAAGAGATAAAAATAACCAGATATAAATAATAATGCCATATAAACGTAGGGAAACAGCCAAAGTTGTGAACGGGATCACCAGCTTGGTCAACATGCAGGAGCTTCAGCTGTTTTGCTTACCTTGTTCCACTTCTAACAAGGCAGCCATTTCGGGTTCGGGAAAACAGGGACCTGCTCTCCAGTTTTCAATATAACAACGTCAAAATAACCGCGCTGCTGTTAAATTTTGCGAATAAGATTAGGAAAAAGACGTATGGTTAAGAGAATGTATTGCAAGGACATTTCGTACAACTTGTATGAACTATGATTCGTCTATGAACATCAAGAATACGAAATTTTTGTTAGAATCGATCGACAATAGGGGCTTTGCGTTGCAACTTGTATGTCACATAAGTTAGCACCCGTCTATATAAGTAAGACTTCCGGCCGTCGAAATTGGTTTGTGCGTATGGCTTAAAACGAGCTGGTGTGCGGCACGCGTGTAGATGTGACCAGCTCGCTCATAAACACATAAGTAGCCGACCTGACTGCCAGTCAATCCCCAAAACTTGCAGCACGCTTCTTTCGTTTGCCTCTCAACAGAACTTCCCAATCGATATATCAAAAAGATAGAGAATTAATTTTCAAACTTTTGGTATATAGCAAGTGGAAATCTATGGCAAATCAAGAAAGTTATGGCTGTTTTGGTTTCTCGTAAACAAAGCATAGGCCCGTGTGAGGAGGCGTTGCTTGCATCCTATGCTAAGTCTATGAGAAACTAAAACAGCCATAACTTTCTTCATTTGCCATAGATTTCCAATTTGACAAAATCTCTATCTTTGATATATCGATTTGGAAGTTCTGTTGAGAAATAAACGAAAGACGAGCGTTTGAAATTTCGAGATCCACTGGCAGTTCGATCAGTTTCGTGTATGTATGCATGCTAGGGGGTGGAGTTACATACATACGCGTAAGGCTCTTACGAGTATGCATTTTTGGCACCGCCCTCACCCAAGCACAGATCTAATTTGCGCGGCAGCGAATCGCCGCATTGTGGGTTCGGCCATGGCGTAACTTCTATTGATGGGTCCTTAGTTGTGTAGCATACAAGTAGCAACGCAAAGCCCGGAATCAAACATACGCGTACATCAAACCAAACACCGTAAAATAAACGGCGGAAAACCAAGTGGAGTACAATAGTTCTGTAGGCTGTTTCCCTCCTGCCGACTGGCGGTTACGGATATCGTTTTAGCTTTTATCACTAGTGGTGGTTGTTAACCACATTCTTGCACCGAGCGCGAGCGCTGTCCACCGGCAAATGTTCATTTAGCACATGTGTTATTCGAAATTTTTATTCAATTTCAGATACCGCAGTCATATAATGAGAAATTCCATCATAAACTAAACACACAGATTTCTGAGACTGATTTTCACCGAAATTCCAAACATTATGCGGAAAAATAAAAGTAATACTGCAGTTCAGAGCTTCAGGAGCTGGTACCAATTGCTCGGCACCAGCCCACGTATTTGCTTCGAGCATTTCGTTTAAGAGAAACAACAATCTCTCCCTGGTTAAATCTGGACACCGCTCCTTTAGAAAAGGGAAGTTTTCAGTACGTGACATGAAACTCAAGAATACTTGTGCGAACTCCAAGGTGCCGATCTTCGGTTCCATATAATGCAAACGACAAGGCACGATAAAAGCAGTTGCTATCGCCCGCGACATTGACAAGTGTCAATCTTCTATCGGCCAGCGTTTTATTCAAGAACGCGCTCCAGATTGCCAGTCTTCTTTCGTTTTTCTCCTCTTGACGGTCGGATCCTTCTTGCGGGTTACTTCTTTCCATCTCCGCCTGTTCGGTGTTGTATGCTGTTTCACCTACGCATATTAGCCAATAGACCAACAGTTTTCAGGCACAAGAAGTGAACAATAGTAAGTTAACACGTACCATTGCAAAATGTTGATTTCGCTAAAGATTCCAATCTGGCTTCCTCCTTGAGGCGGTCAGCTATTACCCTTGAGCCAGAAAATTGAATTCTTTTAAAATCGAATGTCTTTCCGTAGGCTAAATCCGATAATCGGCGAGTGCGTAAGGAACCGGTAAAACCGAGGCTGGGAGCGAACTCCTTTTTGCCCAGATCAACCACCGTCTTCTCCATAGTACGGCCTTGGCTAGAATGGATGGTCACAGCATCGGCCTGAACCAATGGAATGGCGGTCCGACTGCAGCAGTGCTGCTTATTTGACTTGAACTCCGGACAGTCAACGTTTGACCAGGATTTCGTTACTGGTTTTATCGGAACGCAGTTTTCTAATCCAGGAAAACCAGGTCCATGGTATTTGTCGAACCGCACGAAAATGGCAATCGGTAGTGCTGGAGGCCTGCTATCTAGTTCGTAAACAACCTTATCGACTGTTCCGGTGGCTCCATTAACCAAGCCAACGCTGACCCACAGGTTCAACTTCAGCATCACACGGCAGCCCACACTAACTCGTAGGACAGCTGGCAGACCTTTAGCGTCGTCGGCGTCCGTTTTTTTCCCATAGGTACAGTTATGAATGGCTTCGATGAGCGCTACCGGTTGACCCATTTTTTTCCAGAGCTTCGCAGTTATACTGTACAACTTCCGGTCGCGTCGAAAACAGCCATACAGCGGTGCAAAACTGTTGTTGCTCTTCAGAGGGAAGAATTGCCAACCGGCGGCTTTGTAAAACTTCAAAATCTGCAATCGTTGAAGTGCCATGGCCCAGTCTCCACAAAATGTCCCAGAACACTACCGAACTTTGGTCTTCACCGTTTTGACGTTGCTGAATTTTCAAAACCGCAGCTCGGTTGAACAGGTTATGCAGCATGAAAGCAGTCTGGTGGTCCTTATTTGTTGACAAAACATTAGATGGGCAGTAAGGAGCGATCATTTACCGGAGGTAACTGGAACAGATCTCCAATCATGATGACAGACATCCCACCGAATGGTTCAGACGACCGTTGAACAAATATTTCTCTAACCTAAGTCGCTTGTCGATGGCACAGAAAACTCGGCAGCCAATCATGCTACGCTCTTCTAGGATCAGGTATCGAGAACTTTTCCATTTATTCTGTAAACTGCGCAAAGTTTCTCCAGTAAGAGGTTTCATCGATTTGGCATTAGGTGGAATCCGTAAGCGAGATTGAATCGTACTACCGTCCACCAAAAAAGCAGATGCTCCAGTTGGCGCCAAAAGAACTGCTGGTAGCGATGCTTCGTCCTGCTACTAACACACTGATATTGTTGATAAAATAGTGGGCGCATTAACGTTAGAAGATTTCGAAACTTCTTGACCGCAGTGTGCACTGTCCAGCTTGTTAATATATTAATATTAATATTCTGCGCACTTTAACCCACCGCTGTTAGCTACCGAAAAGGCTACCGAACTGCAAGAATTTCCGTAGCGTTTGTTTTGTTGTGCTTATGACTGTGGTGCCATACCAAAAAGTGCGGATTTCACTTAGTGCCACAGTAATTCAAATTTAAAAAGTGGTCAATGCCTCTGCGGTAACACAGTATTATTGCGAATCGATACAAAGAATGTGGCGGTACTTCCCGTACGACAATACGAGTATACAAATACTTTATAAGATATATTACTCGTAGTCTCGTGCCCGATAAACTTACTGCGACAATTACTGCAAATAATTAAAATTAATTGGCATTGGTGCCGGCGGCACTTTCGATAGGATTTAGATTTGGTAGTATAGGCAGCGAGCAGCTTATTTAAATTACTTAGGTATCAAAAAACTAGGTGCCTGTAAAATAATGAGTAAGAATTTGACTTATATATTATAAGAGTGGGGACTGTTGCAACTTTGAAAAGGTTGTTTAGTTTGCTGCTGATTTGCGCTTGGCGAAAACCGGAATAAATCCTTACGCGTTTCATACCTCTGATATAATTTTCGTTAGTGTCATCATATACATATTGGATAGACGGGTATGCATGTGTTTGCACGCAATTAATGTCGCAGTTTTGATTGTTGGATTAAAAATGGGTCAGAAAAACTGCCCCTGCATGTTTTCCTAATAAGGTAGCCCGCATATAAAGGTGTTGCTTTAGTTTAGGAAGTCCGAGCGATGAGTGTTGTGCATTAAACCATTCACAAGGCATGACGCGGCCGTACATAATTGACTTATGAATACTCTGGCATTAATTATTCGGCGACGTTTATATGTGTTTTCTTGGCATCCTGTCGGTTTGTGCGATTTCCTGTTTAGAAATGCCCTCCAGCCATTCCGATATACGGTACATACGGCGAAATCCACGGCGCGATCTGCCGTGAACCGTGAACGAAACGGAGCCGAAGACACTCGTGCACACCTTTTAGTGGTTGTTTAGGAGCTACTATAAAACAATCCAGCCAAGGCACACGAGGGGATACAACTGGAACGGAAGTGATTCGGTTATAGTTTGCAAACCATTCATTCTGTCATATCTATCTGTGGAATTTGTCCTCGACGCAATGGCCTTCCGAGTGTTACTTGTATGCATATGCTTGCTTGTGTGCACCGCCGCGATAAAAGGTTAGTATGCCCTTTAGTGACTTAGTCTGCCTGCAGTTCACCTCACTTACGTTTTTTAACACTTTAATTAGTTTCACCTTTACGATTACCTTAAACTTTCGTTGAATTAATAGTGTAACGTATCTTTTAAAGTAATTAATGCTTTTCTGAATTCGATTTTAGGAAGTGGAGATTTTCGAAAACGAGAAAATGTTCAAATATTCAAATTTACAGACAAAGAAAAATCCAAAAGCAAATATAAAAATTTAATTTGAAAAAATTTAAAAACAAATCAACAAGCAAAAAAATTGTGTGCCATATCCTATTATTGTTCAATGTAGTTTAGCCTGATTTATGAGGGAGTGCTCAGATTTAATCGCCTATAAATGTATTGCCTACACAGTATACGTACAGGCTACAACTGCAAATGCAATACATAAAGCGGTACTGTGATAATTGGTTAAGACAATTCTTAAATCTGTAATTCGCCATTAGGACTAACTGCTATTAATCTGCGTAGTCAAATATATTGAAGACGAAAGTGTTATTGTCCGCTCATACGATCTTAATTTTTTGTGCAGATAGTTGTTAAAGTTCAAATTCATGGTGTAGAACAAATCTTCCCATGCTGTAACAAAACTGTCCGTGAATGTTAACATCTATAATTTAAATGACCTGGATAAGATGGTAACGGTAAACGATCTGAATACGTTTTTATTGCAGCTGACTATGGTGGACCAGTGGGACTTGTCAGCCAGGCCGGAAGTTCAAGTGCATCAAATCGCGCACCCTATGCAGCTCAGTCTAGATCCAGCATGAACAACGCCAATTCCAATGCGTATGCTACCGGTGGCCAGACTGACACGAGATCCGATACATACACGAGCGACGACAGCAGCGACGATTACAATGCCGGCAATGCTGGCAGCAGCAGCGCTGCCAGCAGTGCAGCGGCGGCGTCCTCGTCCAGTGGCGGATCCGGAGCGGCCTATGTTCCAGCTGGAGCCGGACCCGGAAACGTCATTGCCGTGGCCCTGCCAGCAGGTGGCTACGATAACAACGTGCGGGTGATGAATCTCAACACCAACCAAATGGGTGATCTTGGGTCACAAATCCAGTTCACCATCCGGGAAGTCCTCCGCAAATTCGGCATCCAGATGGCCAACAATGTTCGTGCCTCGTTCCAGCCTGGTCAAGTGTACGTTTACCAGTCCAACGGCTATCCGTACAGCGGAAACTACGATCAGTCGCAGTTCCAGTCGATGGGCAGCGGTTACCAAGCGCAAAGCCAGTCGAACGGTGGAATGTCTCAGTATCAATCGCAGCAGCCAGTAGCCGTAGCCTACAAATATATCGGCCAACCCAACCAGGCTGTGGCCTTCCAGGTTAGCAACTACGGTGGTCAAGGGGCTGGCGCGGCGTCCGGTGCCAGTGCGCAGTCCGTCAGTGTCCCAGTGGACAATGGTCAAGCTGTAGTTTCTTATACTAGCAACGTCCAACCCCAGGTTACTGTCTATCGTAACAATGGCAATAACGACGATGGCAATAATAATGCAGCGTATTCTGATGCGTCGGCCAATGCCCAGGCCGGCGCGTCTAATTTCGGAAATCCGCCGCCACCTCCGCCGGTATCTGGGCCGCGTAGACAGAGCGTCAAGTACGCATCCAGCAATAACAAAAAGACAGTGGAAAGTTCAAATGTAGCCTATGAATCGAATTCGGAATATTGATGTGGTGATTCATAGGAAATTTAATGTAATTAAAAATTGTTGTTGTTCCGCTTTTGATATTTTTCCTGATAATAAGGATGCTTGAGTTGCGATTGATACAGCGTTTTTTGGCTGACGAATGCATAATGAGCTCGCTGTAGAGAAGGAATAGCAGAGAATACTGCTTCTGCATTCCAAGCTTTTTCATGTGCCAAGCAGCTGATTCGTACAACGTTTGTTTTTCCGTTGTGTCGTTTTTACAATACCGGTTCTCAAATGCATTGTTGCTCGGTAAATATACAATAATGAACTGTGCACACGCTCCGTGCGAGGCTCGCCGTATTGACGTTATTTTGAGGGCCAATTAAAAATGTGAGGCATAGTATTTACTCGTTTCGGAAAAACAGAAAAAAATGATTAAAAAACGTTGGCGGTACCAGTAAAAATTGCTATCCTATCTCATTAGGCTAATACGGTAATATTAAAAATACTGCAATAATGAGTTAACACTATTAATACGAGTACTTGTTATAGTACTTTTACTTGTACTTGTTATAGCTTTTTGTAACACTGGACCTTAGCAGTGCACGACGTCCGGCACGATGAAACCCGATGTATTAATTCCTGCATACAGTTACGTAGGCTGAAGAACTTACGTATTACGATTCCAAAATTTTTCATTCCCTTTTATTCCTGTGCGCCCGGAAACATCTGTTTGTGAGCTGCTGCTGTCTACTTGTAAATAACCCGTATCCGTATACACTGGGTTGCAAGTGTTTGCGTTCATTGTGCAAATGTCGCAAGAAATGGTTAGTCAGAACCGGCACATTTGTTCTATTCCGCAAATATTCATGTTCAAGGTCCTTGCCATAAACTGCTGACATTACAATTCCAAGTTAGTGTAAAAGAGAATATATAAAGTGGTTTACATGTTGTGATATGTATTTTGACCATGGTTTACGCAATCGGCATGCACTCATCTCTGCTAAACTTATGAGTGATTCTGAAAAACGTTGTCCTCCAAATTAAGTAGTAATATATTTCTATATGGCAAACCTCACTGTCAGTTGATATCTAAGCAAGTTGCATTATCCATTACGTACTCAATAAATACTGGAGACTGGATTAACTAAAAGCTTCTTTGTCGTTTCGTTTCGTATACGCATATTTTGTTGGGATTACTGAATAAATATAAACTTGGAGGAAAATGGGGCGTGTGCTTCGGAAGCGTTTTTTCCTCTTCCGCGATGTTTTAGCGATAACACTAGCCGGTGCTCTCTTAACTGGCTGCACGTACGGCCAAACGGACGTCTCCCAAGTATTCACACAAGATAACATGGGAGATATTGTGGAAGATCCAGTATCAACATCGTCGTCCAAGTAAGTACGGATATGCTGGTTTACGTTATCAATTATTGCAGCTGCACAATATTCATCGCAATTTGTTCGGGGCAGCTTATTAGAATTATTATCAATTTTAAATCATACTTAAGCTATTATTACCTTAAGTTAATACAATATCGTGATTATTATACGATGGGTGTTGTACGGATTTGCTATTTGCAGATCTTATCTCATTAAGATTTGTTTGTAGAATTGTGTACTTTGCCAAAGCACGCAATATGTTTTCGTCCATGGAAAACTATCCTGTTTCTGTAACAATTCTCAGTGCACCGTCGCCGGTGACGGTTGAGGCTGCAATTTATATTCCAGCCGCTTATAATGGCCCGGTCAATTTTATTAACCCTTCGACAGAACCTTTCGCTTTCCCGAGTCAGATTCAGAGCAGAAATACTACGGTATCATCAGGGAGCGCAGTTGTTTCTCCAGGAGCAACGCAAATAATTTCTCTAAAGGTAAAAGCGAGCGGCGGCGGTAAAATTAAGTGTGTGACCTTAGGTGGAAAGCGGAATCACCCATTGATATCTGTATAAAACTAACATTACTGCCTTGTTGTAAAAAAAGGTTAGTATTACTTTCACTGGAATTTATTTTGATTATAAAAAATCAATACTGTACATGAAATTTGAGGGATGCTCAACACAAAAGGCGTTACAACAACTGTAAGCGTTACACCTGTAACACTTTGTTTAATTAGATACCGGATCTTCTATATCCCAACGGCTATAATTACCGGCTGCTGATTAAAGGTCAAGATCAATCCGGAGCGAACTTTTCGGAAAGCACTTATATTAGTCGGAAGAACGAAGCGGAACGGTCGAACACGTTGCTGTTGATACAGACTAATAAACCATTGTACAAAGTGGGAGACACTGTGCAATTCCGCGTGGTAAGTGTGTCCCGTTCGCTTACAACTACAGTGTGGTACGTAACTTCTGTGACCAGATTAGTAAGACATTTTCCCGAACGGTCTGATTCATTCTCTAATCAGTAATAGTTTTCTATAGATCGCCGTGGATCGAAATTTAAGACCTGCGAATACTCCGATTGACGTAAAAATTTATGTGAGTCGACGATCAACCAGTTGATTTTTGCAACATTACAGTACTTGAACGATTCTGCAAGCAAAAGAGCTTTTAAAAGACTTCATCCACGAAATTTTACAGGATCCTCAACGAAATCTTATCAAGCAAATGCTTAATTTTCAAAGTCCAACAGGTACTGTTTACACAGGAAGACGGCATCGGATGAAATGTCATTAGCTCAAAAAATCGCATCTGATAATAACTTAATAACTCTATTTTCGCATCTGATGATACATAATTATGTGGCATGTAACGGTCGCAGAATTAATGTTAGCTCAACTATTAGTACGTACTACAAAGTACGTAGTTATCCTTCCACGCATTAAAGTTCGTATACATATTATCTACAACAACGGTACAAAATCTGAAAAGGTATCTGAAACCGGCTTTGCACATTGCATATGACGGAATGTGAGATTGAACGTTTTCTTATTTTAATACGGTTACCGAATTTACAGACAGAGGCTTCGGTGCCGGAGAGTTTGAGATTGCATCTCAAGCATCGTTGGGCATGTGGAGCGTTGATGCTTCTGGAGGAAACACAACGACCTCAAAAACCTTCACCGTCGAAGAATATGGTATGCCGTAGGCGTGTCTCAATTAAGGAGTAGAAGTATTCGTACGAAAAACCTTGAAAATGCAGAACACTTTCCATTTTATACTCCACGGTCCCACATTTCAGTTCTGCCCCGATTTGATGTGGACTTCCGTGTTCCTGCATTTGTTTCCACCAGCGCAAAATCCTTTACTGCTACAATAATGGCAAAGTATGTTAGGACCATTCGCACAATCCGTTAGGTTAAGCTAAATTCCATTTCACGTACCCTTTATTCTAATACGATAAAAATATAGGATTTTCAAATTTGTCATCAGATTGAACTGGAGGAACAATTTTGTTAAATAATAGTAATTTCCTATGGCTGACTTCCAGCTACACATTCGGAGAAAATGTTACCGGTCGCGCTACCATTAGCGTGAAAGGGCCTTCGAATTTTGTGTCTGATCCACTTTGCGCCAGCAAACCGATGCCCATGGTGCCGGCAATGTCCCCCGCCCAGTTCCCGCAGTTGCCGTCAGCAGACGGATCTATGTCCAGTCCTGGGTTTCCTGGTGTGTCAGCCATTTATCCACCGAATGGTTGTTCACCTGTTGATCGAGCACCGTGGAAAAATTTCACCATCGATGTAAGTGCGAAACCTATAAAAGATAATTAATCTGTCTCACAGCGTAACCGGGCTGTCCAAAAGCTGCTGGAAACTGCTCAAATAGACTAATTTGCAGCAGAATCCCGGCAATGACCGCTCTTAGCAGTGCAGAATTGCAGTTCATCGCTGTTGAACAATTTATATATTTCAGAATTTTAACGGAAAAGCTACCGTGACTGTGCTTTTGTCTGACATCCTTGATTCCATGAATGGATATGAAATTTTGACTATCCACGGATCGGTCACAGAAGCCAATACAAATCTCGTTCGCAATGCCACAACAAGCGTATCACTGCGATCACAGCTTTACCGGTTGGACATGCATGCATCCAGCCCCTCTTTTCGACCGGGAACGCCCGTAACCATCGTCATTAAAGCGATAATGGATGATGGCCGACCCATTCCCCCGACGACCAAGAAGCTGAAAGTTAAGATTAACATCTACGGAAGTGTGTTGTCATCCGCACCTGGATTCACCGTGAACGACGAGAAGAGTTTCGACGTACCTGCCAGTGGAACAGTGTCTTTTGATGTGGTGCCACCAACCGGGACAAAAAGTCTTTACATAAGTGCGCAACTGGGAAAAGTGACAGGCGGATTAAATGTCGAGGGAGCTTCTTCGCCCAGTAACAGCTTTATCAACATTGTGCCATTGACCACCAACACGACATTAGGCCAACCGATACTGTTCTCTGTGGAACTGACCAACTATACCGACGTTTCTCGATTAAACTACACGGTACAATTTCGATCTAGAAGTATTGACGATAATCTCATCACTCGGAAAGCATAATACTCATTGCTCGCTTTTTGAAAGTCACCTGCATACGACTGCACAGAAATTAATTAACTGTTTGTTTTTTACAGATTTTCTCTAAAGGTCGTACATTTACTGAAAGCAGTGTTTCTGTTAACGGTCCGAAGACCTCGCTGCAAGTTCCTTTGACCGCGGAAATTGCTCCACGTGGACGGCTCCTTGTTTATTACATTCGGCCCGATAAGGAAGTAGTCGCAAATGTCATGGATTTTACAGTGTCGGACTTCATGAGAAATCCGGTAGGTTGGTAAAAAGCGATGTCTCCGAAAGTCAGTAGAGTGTGTCTGGCTACCAGCAATCCGAAAAAATTTTGACAGAAATACGAATCACGAAAATTGTCTTACAGGTCAATATGTCTATCGAGCCAGCAACAGGAGCCTCGTACACTCAACCTGGCGAAAGTGTCCGTGTGCGTGTTACCACGTCTCCCAATTCTCTAGTCGGTATGCTGGGAATGGATCAAAGCTTGCTGTTATTGTCTTCCGGCAATGACCTTACAAGTTCTACAGTACGGGACACAACCTGCTCGTTAATGCAAACATATACTTGTACAGGTTTATCTTTTGCACTCACTTTGTTCTGCTAGGTGGAAAACTGGTTGGACAGTATGGACGATAATCGGTGGACTTTCAGCACTCAGTACGGTAATACGTCGGATTTCTGGATACCATACAGCCAGTCAGTATGGAGTTACTTTCAGGTGAGACCACAATATGTAGTGCACAAAATCGTTAATTATCTATATTATGTTAATTTTTACCACTTAGTTTGCAAAATGTAGTGGTTACGATTGGTACCACTCGATTGGTACCAATCGTACCAATCGCATTCTGACCGCATCACTTTCGTGCGGGCGCGGTGCTAGCTCGCTTTTAATACAGAAAGGAAACCGGCCGCCATGATTGATGGGGTATTGTCTAACGATTAATGTTTTATAGAATGCGGGGTTGCTTGTTTTAAGCAACGCCGTGATTCCCGGCTCACCCAACGAAATGCAATATGGTGGCGGACCAAGTGGTCCGCTGTATTCATATGCGGCCAGTGCTATGGGTGGAGGTGCCAGTGGTGGCTACGCAGGCGCAGCAGAAAGCGATATCGGTAAGTGTCTGCAGCAATCAGCATGAGATTCTGATAAACGGACTGCATTTTACTGTACTGATTTTGTTTATGTAGCAGTAAAGACCTTTGGTTAAATAACAGCAATAGCTTTCTTTTCAAGGTGTAGACATACATAACTTACGTTAATCATTTTTGTTTAGCACGACCTGTAGCAGCACCAGCGCCCATGCCACCCGGTAACAGCAACGGACCGCAGCAAATGCCGGGTAAAAGCCCGACGGTTCGTAAGGACTTTCGGGAGACCTTCTTATACGAAACTGCCTTGAGTGGGTAAGAGAATCAGTTCAGTTACTAAGAGCAGTTACTAAGATCGCAGTAAATCCCGTTCAAACATTTTGTAATGACTTTATAATGCATTATGCATTCAAACAATTATGGCTTGTGTTATGCCACTATATGTACTAAATATTGTAATTAAATGAGGGTACTGATAATCTTTGCCCACGTATGAGTAACTAAAGTTTTGCAGGCCGTCTGGAATTGTAAACTTTACTCGCGCTGTGCCGGACACGATAACAAGCTGGGTCTGCACGGCCTTCAGTCTGAATAACGAACTAGGACTTGGCTTGACGAAAAAAGCAGCAACTGTAAGATTACTTATACGGGATATAAAGTCGTTGTGCAGTTGCAAAAACAGCGACGGGGTTTTCCTTCCAGCTCAAAGTCTTTCAGCCGTTCTTTGTCGTCCTGAATTTACCGTACAGCATTGTGCGAGGAGAAACACTGCAAACCGAAATTCTTATATTCAACTATCTAAATCAAGACCAAGATGTGCAGGTGACCTTTACCGCCCAAGGTCAGGATTGGCGCGGAACCGCCTTCTCTCCGCCACCGCAGCAGCAAAGAATAACCGTGCGATCCAACAATTTCACGCGGGTAGTCTTTCCGATTACTCCAGCGATCGTGGGAGATGTGAACATAAAAGTGCAGGCGCAGTCCAGTGTTGCCGGTGATGCAGTGGAGAAGAGCTTGTTGGTCAAAGCCGAAGGTGTTCAGCAGCAGTTCACTGCGCCGGTCTTTATTGACCTCCGGAATCGTAATTCCATGTCAGCTGTGGTTCCGATCACCGTGCCAAATTCGGGCATTGTGAGTGGGTCCGAGAAGATGGTGATCAAAGCCATTGGTAAGCAACGTTAATTTTTGAACCATATGCGGCAAACCGCTTATGTAATAAAGGATATAATAACCTGCTGAAGGCCTGAATTTAAAGTATATTTTGAGGCTAACTTGATATGTCCTGGATGGCCACATCTGAATTGCATGCACTGTGTTAATTTTCCTCTGATTATGCAGGAGACGTTCTTGGGCCCACGATCAGCGGAATCGATAATTTAATTAGGCTCCCACAAGGGTGTGGAGAACAGAACCTCCTCAGCCTAGCACCAAATATTTATGTCCTCAAATATTTGCAAGCCGGAAATCGCCTTGACGATCGCACACGAACGCGTTTGTTGCGCAATATGAATATTGGTAAAGTTATACCATGAAATTAATTATTACAAATCTCAGCTTCTTATATTTAATAGTGATGCAGTGCTTTTGTAACGTTTGCGCATATTGAAGATATTTGAGGACAAGTACTACTCTGCACGAATGCTAGTACCAATTTTTGTTTCCATTTTTTATCGTGCATGCAGTCAAACAGTCACATGTAGGCGAAAACAGCGAAGTAGGCTCGGTCAACATCAAATAACTGGAGTAATAAATTAGGCTCGGACTACATCCGCTTTATTTTTATTTTTTTGGCATATTATGTAGGTAACTGTCATTTACCGGAAGCTGCATGAAGCTGCGCGGTTTACAATACGACATTTTACAGGTTATCAACGGGAGTTGACCTACCGACATTCGGACGGATCATTCAGTGCATTTGGAGCACGCGATCCGTCCGGTTCCACATTTCTCACAGCGATGGTCTTGAAAATTTTTGCCCAGGCTTCCCGTAATATGTCAGTCGACAGCAATATACTGGAACAAGCCTCAGTGTGGTTGGTGCGCCAACAAGCTCGCAACGGATCTTTTCCGGAAGTGGGCAAAATCATTGATCGTGAACTGCAGGGCGGTGTCGGCGGGCCGGTATCCCTGACGGCTTATGTACTAATTGCCATGATTGAAGCGCAGCCGATGATCCGTACGGATCTACGCGGCAATATGCAGCGCGCGTATTCATACTTGGAGTCACAAATTCGCCGTCCGCTCGACGTTTATGAACTGGCCATTGTGACCTATGCACTGCAGTTAAGCGGCAGCGGGCTGGCGAATCAAGTCCGGCAGCGATTTTTAACGGCGGCAGTGGACAGAAATGGCACCCGGCACTGGAGTAAAGAACCGGAAACGGTGACCAATCAGATGGGGAAGTACTCGTGGGAATATCAGTTGCCGGCGAAGGACATCGAAATTACAGCCTATGGACTGCTGCAGTACGTCCGGAATAAAGACGCCACAGGAGGATATCCGGTTCTGGCGTGGCTGCTGTCAAAACGCAACGAACAGGGTGGATTCCAATCATCCCAGGTGCGGCGAAAAAATTGTTGGTCTTACTGTGTGGTTGTGTCTGGTTATCTATCGGAATATTGTTGTGCGCCGAAATGTAATTTATTCTTTGTATACTGTTAGGAGGAACGTGATTGTTCCACATAATTTCCGGGTATTGCTTTTGATTGGATCTATCATCTCAAATGAGAAATGGTTGTTTTTAGGATACCGTTGTCGGCCTTCAAGCACTGGCGTCTTTTGCAGAATTAATGCAAGACTCCTCCAAGAACGTGAATGTTACCGTTACTGCTCGAGAATTCTCGAAAACGTTCATGATCTCCAACGAGAATGCTGTTGTATTGCAAGCGTATGAGGTAATGCAAGTAATTATGGTTTCGATATAACATGATTTTTAAATCTGCGCGCTGATTACTAAATTGCAGCTGCTCGCTAATTATTAAATCATGGATGGCACCACCAATTATAAATTCTTTTTGCTTTTGTTGGCGCACTTAACAGTTTCGAATACAGTTGTGATTAAATTTTTACAGCCCAAGTCAGTTAATGATCGCATTTCCGTGGCTGCAACGGGCACCGGAACGGCACTGGCTCAGATTACGTGGTTGTACAATGTTCGCGTGGTGCCCGAAAAGCCCATGTTTGACGTAAAGGTCAACGCTGATGCCGTCAACAACAATCTCCAGCTGACGATTTGCGCTAGGTAATATTCAGCGGGTGTAACTGTAAATAATTGAAATGCAGCCTACGTATCGTACATTGTTGTGGCATGCTGTGATACAGTTTGAATGCAGATATCTGGGAAACGAAGTCAGTAACATGGTCGTGATGGAAATCAATTTGCCGTCAGGGTATCAATTTGAGGAGGAACAAGCCAATTCGTTAGCGAATGATATTAACAGCGAACTCTCTCATGTGGAAGTGGAAAATGAATCTACGCAGTTGCGGCTGTATTTCGACCAGGTTGGCAACAAATTTATGAAAAAACATATTTAAATGCTGGTGAAAAAATAACGTTTGTTGTGCAGTTGACTTTAATCAGACTGCATATGCGTATGTTATGCTGCTCATTTAATCTATATTATGAAGTTCATCGTAGTACGAGTATGTTTTGCTTCTTCGTATACTTAACCGCGGTATAAGGACCGAGAATTTATCAAAATTCTGTATTTTCTAGCTGTCGACCGCCAATCAACAATGCACCCGTGCTCCAGCTTTCAAGCTCTATAATGTGAATGGAAATTTGGAAGGAAATGTCGTTGTTTACGATTATTACAAACCAATCAATAGAAAGACTGTTATGTATTCGGTATTTGCAGCTCAGAAATAAGCTCGCACTGGTAGCAATATCTTCTCGATATCTGTTGTTGATGTTATTCTGCTGTTGTCGTTATAAAGTACTAATTAATTTTCTCTTTGAAAGCTCGAAAATTAGTGTATTACACGGAATGAACCACGAACCTTATTTCCACGAAAGCGCATAAGTCCGAACACAAGTACAAATAGTCATCGTCAAATACGTAATAATTCCAGATACCGTTTAAACTAGTTTATTCATATAATTAATAATATCGCGGTAAATTTACCATTCGTATCCAGCTCTGTACATAGTAACAGTTTTTCTACGATACTGTATTCCTCTTACAGTGTACAAAACCAAAAGGTTCACAGAATATTACTTACAATCCACAAAACACGGTACTGTACAATAAAGCAAAAGTAAACTGCCATACTGTACAATAAAACACACGACTACAAAATTTGAAGTCGTGTAGTGCGGTTTGTGGATATTAATTTTAAATATCTACAATTAACACTTACGACTAAATTCTTACGTCAAATTTTAGTATCATATGCTGTTCGTTTTTGGGCTTCAAAATAAAGCATACGATATTAATTTTTTTATCTGTTCGCGTACATCCATAATCTTTATTACTAATTAAACAGTAGTCGCAAGTTTTCTACAGTAATAATGCAATTATTATTAACAAACATAAGTACATTACAAATAATGAAATACAGTACAATTGTACATCATTCCGGTATTAAATACGATAATAATTATGGAATTTTTATGGACCATAGGAGAGTCGTAGTTGAGTGGAATCCTTACACTCATGCCGACCAATGGCGCATTGGTACGCCTCTATACACTGCTGTGCTGGGTTTGTGCACGCAGACTGCACGTAAGAGCGTAAAGGTCTGTATTCTGTCAGCTAGCTCTACCGTAAACCTCTTCCGTGCGGATATGGCGTAACCACGAACTGTACTGCGTGTGGCGCCCAGTTCTACTAGTCTTTTTACCATCGATAGCTTTTTACACATCCGCACATACAGACTTCGGCGCACACGTTCACTAGCGCTTTCCGGCGTTAAGAACTTTTTCTCATGCAAGACTGTTTTCACAACACGTCTGTGTTAATACATCCAATTTATTGAGTTCACCGGAGTCGAGACCCAGTTCACTGCATGCGCATATGCTGAGGCTGCAGTACGTACTATGCATAGCTGTCTAACCGCGATCACGAGCTCAGCTGGGGCTCAAATTTGTTATTAAGGACAAGAAAAATACATAAGCTGTGCGACATTGATTATCCAGACGTCCCAATTAGTGCCATCATTTCTGGAGCATATGGAATTTTTCCCGGATTTTCTTTACCCCATCCCGTTATGAAATTATCCCGTGGCTGAATGCAGTGGCCCAGGCAGTGTGTGGCTGACACTCATTTCATCCACTTCTCCCCTGCGTTGTCCGTGTTGACTATCCGTGCGCAGCAACATGGACGGACCAACTTCCATTATTACCCAGGTCCATCGTGATGGGCAGGGTACTCCCATTGATGTTACTGGTAAGAGTTTTTTTTGACAGTCTTGACAGAGCGTAAAGACTTGCGTAGCGCTGGGAACTTAATCCATTGCGATTTTTCGACCCATGTCTGCACTTGTGCTGCTTCGTACATTTCAAGTATGCGTGCCTTTCTCGGTTTCTTCTGATATGTGATATTTTTGGAAAAATTTGTGCTGGCGCAAGTGTCGTTATTAATAGCTTTTTCCGCAGTATGTCGTAGCTAGCTGTCATTAGACAGTTGCAGATAATAGTGACATAGTCTGTGCGTCTCTGGAAGCAAAATATAACTGAGCTCGCGCATTAATAGCCGCATGTCTTATGACTTCGTCCGAAACTCCAGATTGATGACAATCTCCATGATCACATCGTTTAATGCAGGCAGAAGCAAAATTTTTTCAAAAAAACCAGGCGGGCTGCGCGTGATATCTTTTTTAGGTACATAAGATAAAAAAAGAAAGAAACCCAGAATTAGTTCTGAATATGTACACTTACCGCGACTTGCGTGTAGTAATTTCCAGTTCTTCGCTGTTAGGAGATTGAAACGATACAGGAAAAGACTTTTGTTTTAACAAATTGAGGTTTGAATTTGGAATTGATAGCATATAAAAATTTGCCATGCAACCCTTCGTTTCTGTCGACTTCGTGATCGGAGTTGCTTGCTGTTTTCTGGATTTGCTAATTCTGAACCAACTACACTGTTACTAGATTGACCTAAATAGGTTGAACAATTAACGGAACCTTTATGTCGACAATTACTTGATTTCCGTCCATTCAGCTTTAGCTTTGTTTTTATTTTGTTGCTGTTCGTACGATTTGTTGATTGCTTGATTGCTGTAATTATACAGATAGTTACTGCCTTATATTTCTGTTGGCAAAGAATACGTGCACTGCACCTGGCAGGAAACACATATCGCTCTACTTGGATATCCGAGCCATTATCGATCGAGAGGGATCTTCTTCGTAATAAACTGTACAAGAAGCAAACAGTCTCTAGGTGGCTGAGAACTGTTATGTACCGACTAGCGATTTTACAAGTTATGTGCTTATATTTTCCTCACCCGCGATGGATTCACCGTGCCATTATCAAAATTAAAAACCCTTTGACATTGGTTTGTTCGCAACTCGCAAGCTTTTCCATAGGTGTAGAATAGAATAATCCTAAAAAATTTTGCCCCTGGCACCATGCCGTGTTTTCTTCGTTCAAGTCGTATTATGTGAAAATTAAGATCGAAATACGGATTTGTTAAAGTACAAGCTATGTCATAGCACGAAGTGTGTTCGAACAGCTTTTTATGAACTAAGTATGAATGATTTGATAAGATTTAAGAAAGCGTGATCGCTATTTTATGACCATTATCGATTCGGAGGGGCCTCGATAAATAGCGGATTATCAGCGCTGTCGATGCGCATATATACTTAAATTGTAAATTGTGCTTTATTGCAATTACCGCGAAAAGGATGGATCTGCATCCAGTTATGTTAACACCTGAATAATAAAGTTAGTACCACCATGTGGCAAACATTTACTAGCTGCTGTATCCATATGGGCATTTACAGTTTTTCAGAAGTTCATTTATAGCAATTCAAATCTAGGTGGAGCGCTCTTTTGTATTCTTACTCACGAAGTATGACAATTATGAAAATATAGTCACAAAAAATACTGTACTTGTACATGTGGTTTACTTTTTCTCTAAAAAACCGACTGCAACTGGTATTATTTAATGCAGTACGACTGTACGAGTATCTTTTACTTAGTTATTAATTTTTTATGAAATCATGGAAGCGTTATTATTATAGGGTTTTCCTCGATTTTAATAGAAATAGAATAATATCGAACTGCTAGCAATTGTTAAAATTGAAATGCCGAAGCTTTGACTGCATTTGTTGTTTTTTCTGGTGGACTGTGGTTACATCTTTCAATTAGTAAGCACTAGGCATCACGTTCGTAGTAGGCATCACGTATCAAATGCTTTGCTAACTCAGTCAGTTCTTAATTATTATGGATTACTGTAATACACTACCGTGATGTCCAAACTTCCATAATTATGTTTCCAACTCGCCAATGCTGGTGATGGACAGCAGACCAGGAAGTACGGTGGATTGAATTTTTTTATACCATCAGGTTTTTTCTCTCTGTTCAAACAACTAGAATCATGAAAAAGTCTGAAAAGGGTGCTGATTCAGTGGTTGTGTGTTCAGCATTAATACAGCAAAGGGAATTGTGGGCTTGTAATTATGGAATGGTTGTGATTCTGTACTGTTCTCTTAGCTCCGTAAACCTTTTTTAAATGTTATAGCAATTGGGTACGAGCCAGGTTTTGTATAGAATACACTGTAAATGAAACCAGCAGCTTGCACCACTAAATTCTTTAACGCCGCATTGACGACTCAGTCTGGCAGCTGGTATTCCAGTTAAATTTAGTCAGATGATATTATACCACATTTATATGGAAATTATACTTCACCAATAAGCTTATTGGTTAAGAAATTTATGGATATGAATTTTATGGACATTTTGGTCATGCCGCGAGGCCTTAAACTGAGTGATTATGGCATTTTCTCGTTGCGTCATTTGACGGCGCTAAGCGTGCGGTCGCTGGCAAGAAGTCAGCTGATGCCGAGTTGCCGACTAGAAGAATTGAGTACGAATCTGCATTATGATACGAGCACTTGGAATTATTCTTGGAATAAGCGGAAATAAAAACGTCGAAATAAGAGGGATGGTGGATGCCGACGAAGCACTTTTCCCTGCGGTCTAACTTTGTGCATATATAAGAACGGACCGGATGCGCCTTCGCTTTGCCAAACTAAATCCGCGTCTCGTTGATAAATTTAGTCGTTGTCAGTCTGCCAGTACTATTTAGCATAAGTGGTTGATTTGTATGATGTCTACATGGTATTCTGCGTTCAAAAAAATTTATTTTTGCGGTTTTTTGAAACTTGGAAAAACGTTTGAGAATGGAAGATCGTCGGTAGGCTGGAAAAAAAGCTGAGAAACTGATAACTGTTAAATAAATGAAGTTCAAGGCAAAAGTATATCATCTGTATGCACAGTTACTTGCACAAGATTGACAAGAACTCTGAATGAATCCAAGCACCAAAACCAGTAAGAAAGAATCAGCAACGGCTGAAACCAAAATTAATAAACAAGGTATAACCCTGAAAGTTAAACCAGTTGATTCTGTTTCTACGAACTGCTTAGTGCCCTTATTTCTCAGCGAAACTGGGCTAAAATGCATGCACATCCATGAATCTACTTTTGTTTTAATTATGTCGAAATTCCGTGGAGGAAATTAAGGAATCTGCTTGTGTGCTGTCGACGGTAATACTGTTGATCTTGAAAATGTTTTACACTGCTGCGCATTCTGAAAAGAAACCATTGCGGATCGATAGCAATCAATAAATGTTTTTCGGGTGTAGTATGCTAATCTGAATAAGTACATAGCTGTTGAAGCACGCGAGGAAGACGGGAGACAGATGTTAAGAACTGGGCAAAGAAGGCTCTTGAAGCTTCGCGGATCCGGCCTGTTAAGTATCATCTGTCTCGATCATATACAGATTCACATTTGTTTGACAAATACATTTAGGACTAGTTTCAATAGGAGAAGCGCACGAACGCGGCCGTGCTTCATCTGTAAAAGTTCAATTGAGTATTGGTCAGACTGAATACCATGCTAGAAAATGTACTTACCTGAAAAAACATCACACCTTTGAAAAAAACCGAAAGCCGGTTGTTTACTAATGGAAAGTAGAAACACTTTTTTTTAAGTAGAAATTATCTGAGTTTCGCTAAGTATTGTGTTTTTTAAAAAAAATATTGCTGATTAAAGTAAGTAATAACAGATGTTACAGATATACCGTATCGCTGGAGTACTGATAGCTTTTGAAATAACTTTCTGACTTCATGTTTTACTAATCAGAATAAGCTTGTTTTCTTTAGTTTTGCTAGTATGGCTTATAGATTGAGCAAAGGATTGGTGAAGTCATCGTGGAAAAAAACCGTGGAAAACTAGCGTTACTTGTTTCGAAATTCTAAATGGATCAATCAAATTCTAATAATATGAGAGATTACGTTGTTGATTGCAGTAGAGCAGACAATTTTCTTTGATTGCTGTTTTGTTCTACAGTCATTGCCGAATGCCTCGTTTACGTTCTGATTTCTGTACAGGTGTTACTCTCGTCCCGGCGCATAACATCAAGTCGAAGAGGAATAACAGCCGGCTTCTGCGAACGTTATGGTGCTGTATAAGGGCCACGCGTGGGCCCCACGGCAACCTTTATAAACCGGAGCCGAACAGTCCGGCTGTTCGTGATAAAGTAAGTGTATTCATGGAAGCATCGTTATGTTTAGCTGCGCGGTATTTTCTTCTGAGGCGACCCATTTCCCAGTGGGTGAACATTAGGCCATCACGTCGTGCCGTATTAGCACAGGTGACGGGACTCCAGGGAAATCTGCAGCCGACCGATATAATGAGGGAGAGCGCTTCCGATTGACCGTGTTGCGTTGCTTTTTTTTCAGGTTGTCAGCCTCCTGCCTCCGATTCGACAATCGGATGTCAATAGGAAATGCATTGTGATTGATCTGGACGAGACGCTCGTTCACAGCTCCTTTAAGGTGTGTGGAAATGAATTAATAATCTATGTGACCTTTCATGTTTTACGCTTGTGATGCTGAGCAGAGGCGTCTTCAGTTTTTCGAATATCTAAGAGCAGTGCTGAATGAATTCAATTTTTTACGTTAATAACCGATCAGTTTGAGTTGTTGTTTTTTGTCGTATACGGTAAGCGTAAGATTGTGTCTGATATTCATGTTGTGCCTGCAGCCTATTCCCAATGCTGATTTTATTGTGCCGGTGGAAATCGATGGGATTGTGCACCAAGTATTCGTGTCTAAACGGCCACATGTGGATGAATTCTTGCAGAAAGTCGGCCAGTTATACGAATGTATACTATTTACTGCCAGTCTGGCGAAGGTAAGAGATTGAATCGATGAATCATGTTAAACTATGGATTATATTCCTGTATTGTGAATTTATGTAAGGAAAACGGAAACCCTGCTTGAAAGAGTAAAGTCCTCGTTGAGACCTCGTGATCACTGATATTCGTATGGAAAAAAACATGCTCTTTGCACTGCGGCTTTTTACATAGAACGAACCATCAGGAATTGGCCGTTGAAGTATCACGATGGTTAATGTGATAATGTGCAATTATTGTGATTGGATGAAAGTTGATGAACGTAACTTTCGGACTATAAAGTAATCCATTCCTTAGCGAGAGAGGCAGAGATGGTAATGAAGGATAATGGACGTATTTCGAGCTTTCTCCCAGTTTATCCCCCTTTGCTGATCACCAACAGAGAGTGCCTTGTAGTAGCAGAGTGATCGTGAAGCGATTCGTGGTACTGAGCTGAAATCTGATAGGTTGATGGCGATTAATATCGCTTCCAGTGTTCAAAGAACAGTGATTACTGTTTAAATGCGGCAACTAAACAACTTCTGTCAAACAAAGTAGCTGCTGTATAGTTTGTGAAGAATTCTCGGTTATGAGTAAACATGGTGTTGTTGCTTATATAGAGTCGCTTACTCGTCATTGAAAGTGTAGTTACAAATTAAGATGAGCCGGATCACGACTTTGAGTCAACTATCAGATGGAACCGATTGGGTTCATGTTAGTAGTATTTTTATTTAAGAAGGTTTAATTGTTCTGATTGCTCAGAACATTAAAATTGAAATTCATTAGCAAAGCAATACCAAACAAACAGTGACTAATTTTAGTTCGAATCGTCAAAGCGCATTTTCTGAATTTGACGTTTTTTTACAGTTTTCCTGATGAATACTGAACATGCTGGAATAATAATGCTCCAGTACTTGTCACAGTTTTCCGGCTGGGTATAGTAGGCCAGTTAGCGAAGCTCCAGATATATTGTATTGTTGCATTCTGTTATGGTTATGTTTTTTTCCGTACGAACCATCAGTGTTCAATGTCAGTAGAATAACTAATGAGCGGAAGAAAAACATGGCTGCCCTTTTTACATTATTGTATCCGTTTTGTGCACATTGACTTCTTACGGTGCACAATTACCTCGTTAGTGTGTATTATTGATGAAATTTATTCTGCTGCAAAACAAACAGTTTGTGCTTTTGCAGTACGCGGATCCAGTTGCCGACTTGCTGGACCGGTGGGGAGTCTTTCGTGCCAGATTATTCCGCGAGTCATGTGTTTTCTACCGAGGGAATTACGTTAAGGTAACGACATTAGACCGTGTATGTCGTAAAAGATTACATCCTCTAAGCGCTGCTTGATCCGCGACGACAGCCATGTCTGGCGGTGTCAAACGTGTACCCGCTGAATGCCGAGTGCAGTGTGTGTTCGTTCTTTGCAGGACCTCAGCCGGTTAGGGCGTGAACTGCACAACATTGTTATTGTTGATAATTCTCCTGCTTCGTACATATTCCATCCGGAAAATGCGGTAAGTGTGTGTGTTTGTATATAGAAGGAGGTGTGTTGGCGTCTCTATCCGTATTAGAGAGAGAGAGTTGTCGGGTTGGAAAAATGAAGGCCGTCTGTTTTGATGGAAATGGGACATATGTTTGTGGGTTAAAAAACGCCGTCGTAATGTGATATGAAATTACGCTTCGGGGGCTGCTGAGAGATTTTGTTTGGTGTGACTTGAATGATGGGTATCATTAAGATTGTCAAATGTGTGTGCATGTGAAACGGCTTCGGACAAAGTCATTGCTCATAATCGAGCTTTCCGTCGGGCTGTAACATTATATGGTCGGCATAGTTACCATTATGCGTTTTTTATAAAACATTGAAAGAAAAATAAATGATCATTCATGGAGTGCTTTAAAAGTTGCGCTGAATGTAAGGACGTTTGCACTGATAAAATTAATAGTATTTTCATATCAATCAGACTTGAAGAGATATGGCTGATTGTGAGAAGAAACAGTAATGTTCTTTTCAGTTAACGGGTGTCACTTCATGCGTAAGTACTGTTTAATAGGACGAGAAAAGTACCAGAAAAGACCTGCACAGTTGATTAGGCGTTTATGATCGCCGAGTTGGTCTGCAGGTCCCGGTTTCTCAGTTTGCAGGGTTATGTAACTGCTGATAGATACGAAGTCCATGGGCTGACAAATATTTTTTCGTTGGGTTCTCGGAATGGCTGCCCATACTGAAAATTTTGCGCGTTTTATACCCGGAGGCGGCATAATAAATTAGCCTGCGAATTGACAGGGGCGACTAGTTTTCGCTTGGTTAATGCTCCTTTAATGACAGTTCTCCGTTCAACGCATTGGCACGCGTACGAGCTGTGCGTGATTTCTTGGTACAGGGCGGCTGATTAGATTTGCCATTTTCCGACGCAGCACTGAACACTGGCACGGTATGCTTATGTAACTGTTTAGCGCCCCATCGCTGGGGATCAAAAAACGCGAATTCCCTTGTAGCATGCAGCTTGAAAGGCACATGAATGGGGAAAATGATTATTAATCAGCACGCAACACGATAAAACGTCGTTAACCATAGCTTTTACTCGCGTGACGTGAATGACCTTTGTGTGTCTGTATCCGACAGGTCCCCGTCGTGTCGTGGTTCGATGATCCTAACGATCGGGAGCTGCTGGATCTGATACCGTTTCTAGAGAACTTAAGCAGGGCCATGGACGTATGCCAGGCACTGCGGCAGTTCCATGTCGGACCGACCAGTGTCTCCTTCGTCAACTATCACGATCCGCGTCAGATCTCCACATCGACGGCCTTAAATTATCATGGATCATGATAACGAAGTGGGAGGGATCGGGCGATATGCGGTCGGATTGCTACTCAATCTGTCAAGTGCCAAGTATGTCGTCATATTGTTGCGTCCTTGGATTATCGGGGGAACGGGAGTGATCGCTTCATTCTCGGTGTATTAGCCAAAAATGCAGCCATCCGGTGGGGGATATGGTTGTGGATGTGTGCGTGTGTCAGTTTTGTTGAATATTACCGATATGTGCCTGACGCGGAGCAGAAAAGAGAGGAGATTTTATATTTGGGGGATAAATTTGTATTTGTGTTGCTTGTATAGAAAATCAGAATACGGGGTTTTATGATAACTACGAATTGGTGCACGATTGTTGCTTGCTGTTATTTGGTGACCAAAATGTTAGTCGGAAAGAAAGTGAGAAGGAGAGATTTTTTGCTCTTGTAGATTTTTTTGGAATTTCATGTTAAAATTTTAATGCTTTTTTGGGGTTTGAGTGTTTCGGGTGGGCATTAGATGGCGTATGTTTAGGTGAATGTTTTGTTATTTTGGCGATTTTTACGTTTTTTCTTTCTCCCTTCTTGTCCCACTGTAGTCTGCTCCGACGGTTGATGAAATGGCTCAAATTTGGATTGAATCAGTAATTATTATTTTATTTTCTTTATGCTTAAGAACATTAGTCAAGTGCCAGTTGTGACAACTCTTGATACCTAGTAGGAAAATAGATTATTCCATTACTGCGTTTACTGAATTTATTAATTTTATTTCCTTTCTTATCTTTTTGCTTTGTTGTCATTGTAATAAATGTTGCTTTGTGCCGAACGTTATTTGACCTTTTATTCACTTCGATCAAGATCAACTTCCAATCGACTACCAACTGAAGTGCCACCAGAAAACAACTATACTACTTAGTACTTACTATGGTGTTGCGCGGTACTCATCGTTATATTCACTGGCGCTTACCGATATACTTTTTCGAACTTCACCCAATCATTTTTTTCTGTCAGAATTCAAATGTGCAGCACATTAATGGTGCACTACTACAGAATTTTTAACAAAAATAGTAGCGAGCGCTCACTTATTTTCACTTAACACCGTTATCGCTAGAGTAGGTTGTTGCACGACGTATAGGTCGTCTTCGAGACTGTTATCCGGCACGATGTAATTTTATCCGGACACAAAATCCACACGTTCTGGGATCTCGGATGTCAGTCATTCTCAGTGTCAGCTTGGTAGGACACTTCATCACATTTGCCATCGTTGCTGCAGCGACCTTTCTGGTCTTCTCCACACGGCCAGTTTTTAAGATGGAACGTGTGGAATACCGTTTGCTTTCCGTTAGAGCGTTCACATAAAACATCACACTGAGAAGTGGCTGGCTTCATAACACCGGTAAAACCATAGTTTGGCAGTTGTTGAGCCACAAAAGAGCAGACTTTTTGGCGCGCATACTCCACCGTTCCTTCCGATTCAAACTGTGCAGAAGCAGTGACAATAAGAAACCCATTTTGCGCAGTAATAAGTCGTTCCATTTTCTTAATATTAATTGGTCAGCTTACAGCTAAACAATAAAAACTTTATGAACCCTGCACAACGCTCTGTCAGTTTATTGGAAGCGCAGTTCATTCATTAGCTTCCGTTTATGTACATGGCCAAAGTGAATCCTACAACCTAAACGTAAATCCTGTGACCTTACTATTCAGTTTGATAATTGACTTACTTGATAATCATCGTCAAATTCGACGGCTTCCTTTGCATCTTTTCGCTTTCGTCGCATCTTTTGCCTTTCAGATGAACTCGATGTTTTAGTTCTGTCACGGCGTTTTAATGGAGAACCGCGAGATTTTTCATAATTTTCGAATTCATCGCGATATACGTAGTCCACATCTGCGTCCGCAACAATGCCATCTTCCTATAAAAAAATCTGTTCATAAATAAAGGGAAGTATAAATTAGTAATATGTACATAGCATGTATAAGTACGACGATTATAAAAAGTGGCGCGTACAGCACTGTTGTCCAAATTTTTATAATGATGAACCTTCCCCCTTCCTAAGCTGCCGTCGGAAATCTTCCGATCCGGGTAATATTCGGTTTTATACTGACTGGACCTCTGTGCGCCTTGATCCCAGTTATAAGAACTGGCATCTGCTTCCAAAGCGTCACCGGCATACACATTTTCGCCCTGGCTGTCACTGTTCTGGATTAAAAAAAAATCCGATTATCGTAACCGATATAGTCCTACTCGTACAATTGTGGAATACAGCACACCTGCAGAATTTCAATAATATCCCAAAACGGTCGCATACTCGTATACATATATCTGCACTTTGGCGTTTCAGCTGCTATCATTCGAATAATAGAATTAATTAAGTTCTTCAGATAATATTATAGAAGTGAACAATGTATGTACATTCGTGCAAGTACTATGCACTTCTACTTCTTGCAGTCGTAGCGCTGAATGGTACAGGAGGTTTGTAGTGTATATTTATATTCACCTCGATGTTTTTCGTGTGCCCTTTTCGGTACTGCACGTTATTCGGGTAGTACTGGCTGGAAAACTGTCTTTCCTGCAATCGAGATAGCTTGACTTTGTCACACTGCAACCTATAGAACACACACCAGAAATCTATCACCTGCTTTTTCCGGGATTTTAGTCGCCGATACCGATCCGAAGCGGCAAGAATATCTTCGTAATCATCGTCAAAGGATGCTTTATTTGTTTTGATCTACGAAAAGACTGAGCGAAACTGGAAACTGCAATGCGAAGTGTTAAAGTTTTAATTAATGAAATGCAGCCGCATGTGAAACCTGAACTAAACAGGCAGTACAGGGAATTAAACTCTACGTTACTGTACGTGCAGGTGTTTATGTACACAAGAGTTATACATGTGCTGAATCTTTGCGACCACCAGTTTCATTGGCTACTATTCCCAAAAAACACTTCGTACCCTTTTTCTGTTCTTTTTTCTGCTTTCGTTTTCCTCGCTTTTCTCTGAATTATCATCCACGCTCATAAGATTGTCATCTTCCGTATTCGTCTTTTTAGCATCCACTTGAGTGCTGTCATTGTCCAGCTCTTCCTCATCGTTTACGTTATTTCCGGTAGTTTCCAGTCGGCTTTCTTCGGTATCATCAACGTCCAGCTGGTTGTTTCCAGTGATATCCTCTTCAACATCGGTTTGTTCATCGCTGTAAGATTTGTCGTTCTCAGTATCTTCCATATTGCCGGCCTTTTTATCGTCCTGTTGAAAAAGAAAATCACTTTGGTTATTTCCATTTTTGACTTGATGTATCATATACTCGACAATATTAATAGAAGACTACAGGATTAAGTTAGAAAGTTCCTCATAACCAGAAAGTTAAGCAGAAGGTCATTTAAATTGCAGACTATAGCTACCGTTTCACATAATCATTTTTCAAATTTTTTTTTATAAATATATAAAAATCCAAGCGAGCTACTGGAAACATTATTCAGCGAAATACTGAACTGCTAAGACAAAGCGAGATCGATCATATCGATCTAAAAAAAGAACAAAATCGAAAATTTCAGATTTTCTTTACCATAGTTTTTATTTTTTACCTCTGATCGGATGTAAGCGCTCCCGTAATCATCATCATAAGAACGGTAACTGCGTTTTTCGCGTGTGGCACTTCCGCTGGATTCCACATCATAAACCGGATCAACGTCGTCCGACTGCGCATCATCACGCTCGTGTCCACTGTTTTCCCCTGCGTGTGCCGCTGCCTGATCGACCGCGTTGGCCTCATCTCGCATCAGCCATTTATCCATGACCGTGTCATCCTGTTGATTGTTGGAGCGGGCGTATTCCGGATCCGCACCAAAGACATCCATCCACGAGGCGATATTGTCCGCCGTGTCGCCGCTGCTCGTTTGTCGTTCTTCAAGGGTATCGTCAGCATCCATTTGCGCTCGGGCGGCGCTCTCTTCATCCAACTGCACATCCACAGCGGGCACTTCGGCCGGTTCGTAGTCCACATCCAGCTCCTCCTCCGTGGTGTCGTTCTCGTCTGTTTCCGCGTAGTCTTCATCTAATTCTATATCAGCCCGCTTTTTCTCATTGGCCCATTGAGCAGATTTGGCCTGGCGTAGTGTGGCATCCAGTTCCTGATAGTCGTTGTCGCTCAGCATGGATTCCCATGATTTGGGATTATAGAAATCACTGAGATCGAACGCATCCTTCGCGTTCTTCTTCTACAAAAAATCCAGAACTGAAATATTACTTTCTTACCACTTCATTTATGGCTGCAGTACTGAATTATATTTTTTCCAAAGAAGTAGTTTTAGTTGCAACCTTCTGCTTCAGAAAAGGGATGTGGTTCAGGTTCGCAAACTAACACAAGAGCTGACCTTTTTCACGCCGTCGCCAATAGCGTGCTCCGCCGCGATGTACCGCTCGTTTGTATCGGGCTTGAATACACGTTCGTGAGATTTCCTTCGCCGCAAATCCAACTGCAAAGGTGCGGCTTGCTGCAATTGCGTACCAGAATTTATGTCGACAGATTTGCAACTGCGCGTAATAAATTGCACAAGCAAGAGCAGCGATACATTCCAGCAAATCATCACAAATTTAGACGCTGGTGCCATGTGAAATTTGATAGTGCATAATTCCTACTCATCTCTTGAACTGAACTGCCATAACATCAAAACTAATATTTGTGTTTGGAAATGACAAAACGATAGGTGGAAATTCATGCGGGTTAAATTTCGCTGTGGTATTATTGAAATGCTTGAATTAACTTTCAGGTTCTTTAAAAAGAGGAAGAAAGAAGTATCTGCTAGCCATGTGCATACTGTGCAGTACAAGTTGTGCCACAATAATAAGTCAATAACATTCGTAACAAATACGTCATAAAAAAATTAAATTTGAAATCCCGGTTTGCAACCAAAACAAAACTTTGCAATGCTGCCAGACTGGGCGGATAACAGTGTCGGAAGGTACCGCCCTGCGCCAGACCCTGCCTGTGCCATTTTCTTTCGCAGTAAGCGTAGCAACGTCGCAAGGCAGGAATAAATCTTTTCAGTTTCCACTACTGTATTGAGTATTCAAATTTTTCGTTTCGAATTTAATGTTTGCATGCTTTACAACTTACAAGTGTTCTTATCGTCTAGACATAATTCTGGATTTCTGATCCTTTGTGTTTTCGAGGTTTATTAAACCTTATTTAAGAATGGATCCAAAGGCCGCATCATCCGGAGGACCCGTGCAGCTTGCGAGGCAGTACGTCCGAGATTACTTGTTACCCGAACGATGTGTGGAGGAATTCTTTGACAAACTGAATTTTCTCGACGGTAGGCTGTAGCACAGTAACATCTTCAATTTTAGTGTAACGCAAGACTGTGATGACAGCGTTCATGAAATTGTTGCAGTTGATTGCTTGAAAATTCTGATCAGTAAAGGGCTGGGCTATGGGATCGTTGTCGGATCTTCGGTTGGTAAGTTATACAATAAGTATTGTAAATAATTGTAAGGCTAGTGTAGGCTGTGAATTACAATTGAATCAGAAGTGATACGTCATTATTTAAATTAAAAATTACTACCAGTTATCATAGGTTAACTTTAATAATGTATCGTCTATGCCATAACGTATGTAATTGTTTCGGTTTATCGACTGATTTACTGTGGATTAGCTCCGTGCGGTAATTATTGTGCAGTATGTCTGTGTAATCACTACTGGTAGTCAGTGTCTGTTATTAAATACTTGCATTCAGACTTATGTACCTCCTTTTTTTAGGTTTACGTTTTTCTAGACTTTTTAATACTTATTTCCGTACCATATCGTTATAGTGAAGGTCCCGCAGATCATGAAACTTCTGGGATCCAAAAGTGGCGCTGGAATTAGTCTGACCAGTGTGTTTTTGGAGATGTTTGCGCTCACCACGACACTCGTTTATAGTGTACATTACCAATTTCCATTCAGGTATGCATTACCGTTTTAAGTTTCCTTTAATTATTGAGCGTATCTTGCGCACTCTTGCATTGTCCTTTTACTTCGATTTTTTGCGTATCGGTCCTACAATCGCGGGAACTTGAGGTTGGGAGTTTACTGTAAAATATATTTTAAGATCATAATGTTACTGAACTCTTACTCTACAGTAAAGTTCGGTAATATTATGGTAATATTTATACATAATTCCTAACTTACGGCTAATATCACTCCATAGTACAGAGGGTGATTTTGCAATATGCTTGCACTTTCTTTATGATTTTAATGCCATCCTCTCCGTGCATACGTATGTTATTCTTAGAGCCGTTAAGTTTGAAAGCCCTTTCTCTTAGCGATCATAACAAAATAATTTTAAGAAATAGAAAACAATTTAGAATACGGTAGGATTTTGCAAACCGACAAGGGTCTGTGCGCAACGCTGTAACATTTCGCAAAACGTTTTCCTATGCCTTCCATTAAAAATTTGCTAAAAAATTGTCATCAATTCATAATCTATGGGTGCCAGGTTTAGTGAACTCTTACATTATGTGGCCTTCAGAAAACATCTGGCTTCGTGAGATTCTAAGCACGGGTACGTTGTGTTAGCTTCGTGAACTGGAAGATAGCCATTTTGACTGTTCCCCTTGCGTTCCTCCCCGGGCTGCAAATCCATATTGCTTTTCCTGAGAAGTTTTTTAAGCGACCTTTTAGTATAGATGTCTACGGTGGTTTTAACACTGGGAGAGACCACATGCACTGCATTATTGTCCCGGTAAATAATTTCGGAAAGAAACATCATTCGTTTTCGTTTTTTACCAAATTTTGATTTTTTTGTTATTACGATATTGTAGCGATAGAATTTGTACAACGTGTAAGACCACCAGTTTCGAATAGTAATGGTCATTTAACATCAATGATTGGTTGTTGTTTTACTGCATTATGATTCATAACGTCTGATAACGATTCTCCACATTTCTATGGATTTTTACCGGCCTTCTCTCGATGTCTAGAATTCTCACTTTAGTCTTGGAACGCTTGGTTCTCTTGCCGCTTCTCTTGCCTGAATTCTTGCTGATTCTCTTGCAATAAGAAACCTTGCTATGTGTTGCGTTTGCGTTGTTCCGTTTGACCGCTTGGGATGAATCGTCTCATCCCAACCGGTGCCTGCTAAGTAATTGCTGAGTCCACATCCGGCCGCACCGCAGACGGCCGTACCAACCTTACATTACATAACAGCCGCTTAATCGTGGTAAAGGTTGATCACCGCTCCACTAGAACAGTAGCCAGATAGGCCACTGTTGCATGGCGCTCCTGGGTTAAGAGCCACATATTAACTTCCGGACACCGATTCCCGCCAACACTAACCTACTGTCAACATTACACCGTTTCCAGCCGACATTAAATCACATTCTCCCACCACCCTGAAGTCCAAAGCCGCCAAACGCCTAACCAGTGCCGCCAAGCGGAATCTGCACAAGCCAAAGTCTGTTCGTTACGCCGGACCGGAAATCCCGGATTCCCTGAAGACTTTCAAGATTCCCAAACTGCATTTGGGTGAGTAAAACTTCCCACTGTGGAATAGCATTGCGCTTTTGCGAACATTCTGGTTAGATATTAATTAACATCAGTGCGCACATAATATCGATACTGGAAGTTTACAAATCGTTTGCAATTTCATTGTTTGAGTTTTCTCCTTGAATCGGTTGCATGTAACTTACATAATTTTTACGGGTAATACGATTTCTGGATATTAATTTTAACATTACGCATTGCGCCTTTGTCTGCACATAGACGTCGTTGACATTATACGAGTACTTCCCGCGCATCTTATCTTGCCGGTCAGCGCGCCAAAAGTTTGGCGCCGCAACATTACAGTACGTGAGAAATACAGATACAGTATATACAGGACAGTGACGGTTCCGGTCCACTGCTCCCATGGAATCTGTACCTAACATTACACTCGAAGATCAGCTTGACGATGCTTACACTAAGACCGAACTGCAACAGATTGGTAGACAGTTGAACGTTCGCGTCAAAGCGCAGGATAACAAAGCAGTTCACATTACCGCGCTAGTTGGCCACATGTCTGCACAGAATATTACTTTTCTCCAGTTGAGCGAACGTTTCCCGCCGAAATCCGCCGCTAGCGCTCACAGACAAAACATTACAGCTCCAGCCGCGCCTTCTGGTCAACACGTGGACCATGTGCGCGATGAGTCAGATGCGAATGTGAGTGAGCCCGCTGCGAGAGAAACTGTCGTATACACTAACACAGGTCAGCGCGTAGTGTCTGAGAGAGCTGACAGAGAACCTGCAACACATTCTGCGCCACGCGAATTCTCTCTCTTAGATCTTCCCAATGACGCTCTCGATCACACTGAGAGTCCAGTACGGCACAAGGCCAGAAAATTGTATCACAGGCTGGGAGAGAAATTACCGGATGAGGGAAGAGAGGATCTGGATGATCTGTTGAATGAGACACATGTTACGTCCATTGAGTTGGCACAGGCGCTCGCTCAGAATGTTGTGAAGGCGAGAGACGATGAGATTAAAGCGCTGAAGGCAGAGCTCACTGCCGCACGCCGCATGTACACTGATCAGCCAGCGCATTCGAGTACAGTACCAATGCACGCACGTTCTGCATATACTGATACATTAATAATGCCCAGCACAGAAGCTGTGTATACCGCGCCATTATGTGATCGAATGCCTGCCGCACTGCATACGCCGCTTGTACCTACGAGTACGCATCGCGTGCCGCGCAATAAAGTCGAAACACCTGATCTGTTTACAGTGCAGCCAGTTGCACCCACGGTCAACTCTACTACTGATATTAATTCACTTTTGCAAGCAATGTCCGTTCAGAATCAACCCCGCGAGACTGCAAAAGACTTCAAAATTCAAACTTTTGAAAATAAACCGGCATATGTCATAACTGCCTTCTTTCAACAATTCGAAAGAGTTGCAGCGAGATTAAATTGGGATTCAGATAAGAAAATAACATCACTACCAAACTACCTTGGCGAAACTGCCCGTGCTTATTTCGAATCTTTATGGCCCACGCACGCTAAGAAACATTATGAGGTCTGGAAAGATGCAATGATCGAGCGATTCCTACCACAAGACTATCAACTTAATAAGAGAATTGAACTATCAAAAAGTTTTCAAAAAAGGGAGTGACATTTCTCTGTTCTTTGACGAACTGCAAGTACTCTTTACGGAAGTTGACCCTTTAATGTCAGAGCAGAGTAAAATCGCTGAAATTACCCGCGCCATTAGCGACATTCCGGAATACAGAAAGCTTTTGGCCGCGTCCAAACCGACTACTGTAAGAGAAATGCGTGCCTTTCTCACGACCCTCGGTGTCGTAGATCGCGTAGAAGCGCCAGGTACAGACACTAATCCTATCGAAATTAATTTCGCCGACCAGAACAAAAAAATTAATTCATCGGAACATACACGTCGTGACCGATCGTCCAGCTGTAACAGGCAGCACAGTCGTGAACGATCTTATGGAGACCGCCGTGATGACAATTACCGGAACGCGAGCCGTGATCGGTACACCCGTTCAGACAGCAGAGATTATGGTCGCAGCAACCGTGAGGGACATTATTCCCGTAGTAGTGCTGACAGCAGTTCACACCGTCCAGATTACTGTGACCGGCTCAGTAGAGACAGATCACGCAGCAGTGACATCCGCCGGTATGATGATCGGTACCGCTCGCGGAGTCGCAATTATGGTAGACAGGACAGCCGCCCCGAGCGCCGCTCTCCCGACCGGCGTTATGACAGTAATTCCCGCGATCGATTCCGTGGTGGTGACCGCCGTGACTCGTCGTCATCACGAGATTTCCGCATTGACCGCAGATATGTGGACTTCGACAGTTACAGACTGTCCAATGGTAAACTGTTCTGCCCGAAGTGTTATGACTTTTTACACTCGTACCGTGAGTGCAACAAACGCGAAAAAGATGACAAATTTAAAATTGCTCGTATCTGCCCTGGCGAAATCATTGATAAAGTACAGAAAGAATACGATTACTTTGTCGAGCTGCGTCTATCCAAACAGGGCAACAGCTTCTGGAGTACACCGCAGGGAAAAGATTGAGACCATACCGTAAAGGAGGGCCGTATGGTCATCAGTACATACCTCCCGTATATTACAGTATTCCTGAAACCGACAGTGAAACTTCCGACAGCGAAAGTATTGACAGCGGACATGTCAGTGATGAGTCTTCTCCAGAAATTAATGCATTCAATGTCAAAATGAGTGAAACTGTTTTACCAATATTACCCAGTAAAAAGAGTGAATATGCCGCATATAAAATGCCAAAGACAGTGAGTCCTACTTATATCATGCTGAAAATTAAAGACAAAATGTTTCGTGTTCTAATCGATACTGGAGCAAGTTTTTCTTTAATTTCTGAAATTCTTGCAGCAAGTCTAAAATTAAAGTTCAAACGCTTCGCAGACGGTGCTCCTAAATTAAAAATTGTCACAATTTCCAGCCGGCAGTTTTCTCCTGAATCTTATTATACTGAGGTTGATATGGAAATTATGAACCGAGTTATTCGCCATCCAGTATATATATTATGTAACACTCCTGGCGATATGTTCATATTAGGAAATGACTTTCTAATGGAACATAACATTTGGATTAACAGTCATAGTAACCGAATATGTTTTGAGGATGAGCCTCGTGTGCCTAAAACACAGAAATTACTCCGTCGCTCCCCGATAGTGTCTGATGTACAAGATATGATGATGGCAGACATGTTTGTACCGCGAACAAGTTTCGTACGTAATTATCGGACAAAATTAAAAGAACAGCGCTCAGCAAGCGATCTTACAGAAACTATCACGGAAGCGCAAAATGAGCAGCATGACCAGGCTGGTTCCGATATGGATGCCCCGTGCAGTACTCGTACAGATGCCGGGAATACAACTACAGAGTACAGCTGCACACCCGAGATATTAACACACGAAAATGTTGC